AACTTGGGTCAGTTATTAACAACCTGACGTCTGTTCTCGTGGCTCGTAAAGCCCAGTCATGTCACAGCAGACGTCGGCAGTGGTCATCTCGCACGTCTTCTAGCCTCTCCGCGGGCGGGGTTGATACCAATGGCGATCCGCGGACAATTGGCGCCCGCCAACCTGCACATCTGTCTGATGGATATTTCCCACGCCCTCGTCAGCGCAGGACATATCGATAATCCCACCCACTGGCCAAGAGTAGCAACAGGCGGTGGATGCACGCCCAAATTCCAACGACCTCAACAGCGAACATCACTTGCCAATTCCACAAATACCTGGCCTCTGAGCCACAATGCCATAATGTCAACCCTCTCTCCAGGCAATACGAATCAATCAATAAAACCAAAGCTGACCCAGACCTGTTCCAGTCCTTATGGGTGGGCTTCAGAACCTCAATTGTGTCCCTCTTGGTACTTGTTGAAGCCCGCCCGTCCCTGGACAGTCCCATCCGCTCCCCACTCTCGTCAGAGGGCGTGGCGATAGCAGATTTACCTTGCAGATGCCACGAGGTGTGCAGTTACGACCAGGGGTCCAGATACCTCCCCTCTCATGTATCCCTCTCTCGTCCCCATGCCCCCGTCCACTGTCAAAGCCCTCCATCGCCTGATGGGGGAATTTCCCACCTGTACCCACTGTCACAGACCTGGACCTTGCGAGGCGGAGAGACCTCAACCCTGGACCTCGTCGTCCGTCCGTCCGTCCTAACGACCGTTTTTTTTTTGTTTTTTCCTCTCGATGCAAGCGCTTCCGTCATGGCTCAGACATGGACAGGGTAGCTCAAATCCGTTCACAGTTTGCTCAAAACCAAAGCTTTGCGCCTTGCTTCTCCTTTCTCGCAAGGTACCTACCCTACCGCACGTCCTGGCCCTGTGCTCTCGTCTCACTCATATATATCCCATTGGGCCTCGACCGACCACACATACGTATCTCTTTTTTCAACCAGCCTTCGGTGCCCGAATACAAGACCAGTCTTGACTTCCTTTGCTCTCTCAACCTCATCATATACTTCTCATTACCTGCCCGGCCTGTCATCTCTTCTCTCCTCCGTCTGTTCAACTTCGGACCTTGTGACGACCAAGTTACCAAATCCAGTTCCCTTCCGCCCACATACTAGTGTAGCCCAACGCACATATTTTACTCTTGGCAAAAGCTATGCCTAGGCAGTGACCGCGCCCTTCAAATTTGGTCACCGACTTGAAGCCCATCTTCAACTTCGTCTGCAGCATTACAAGGACATAGTTTCCAACAATACAGGTAGGGATGCTTCCTCGCTAAGGGTCACTGAACTAGAGCACTGACCGAAGGAGCAGTTCTTCGCCTGGTTGCCCATCATGTGCGACTTTACCAAGAACTACTACATTTACACCTCATGTATCGACCCGGGTGCGCACTTTTTCAGAACATCAGTCGATGGCAACCGGAGTCGTGCCTGTGGCAGCGGCCCCCACGAACGATACATCGTAGTTCCAGGCCACTGCCCCCTTTGCAGCGGCTAAAGTGTCACTACCCGACGGAACGTTTCTGTCGACTTGCCTCAGCTGAGAGGCACAAGATTCGGACCTACAGCGAAAGGCTCAATAGTCTGCTATTTCTCCATCTTACGGAAATTTGACCAACGCACCTACTCTGATGTCACCCTCACCACCCAGGCCTGCTTCGGGCCACGCGATATCTGCCAAGTACTAGAAAGTGCTACGAAGTGGCATCGAGAGACGTCAATCCAGCTTCTACTACTTCTGCTTCGATCCGGGACTTGGTGGAGGAGTACATGGGGTATGGCGCAGCTACGCCTCTGGCGAATGGTGTGGATTCGAAGCACAATCAGAAGGACGACACCGGCGTCTTCAGGATGGACTCGCCCCAAATCTTGGCAACACGAACGGTGTCGAGACCGGTGCAGCGGAATCGCGGAGGGAATCTGGTTAGAGAGTGATGTCGGCACACCTCAACCTCATGCAAAATACGGCGACACCCTGAGTCTATTCGAAGGGAGGGACTGAAGGGAGGGACTGAAGGGAGACTTCTTCAGGGGGCAGCAGCGGAAAAGCAAAAGCAGAATCACAGCAAGCGAGCACAGCACAGCGCAGCACAGCATTTGTAGCCCATTCTCCTTGGTCTTTTTCTTTGGTTTCCTATAATTCTTTTTCTCTCTATTTTCTTGTTTTTCTCTTTCATATTTCATTGGGGGGTCACCACATCGGCATATTCGGCACAGTAGACTGTGTGTTTTTCGGTTGCGGTCTGATCTGTGGTGTTTTCATACCTTTTTACCCACTTCTGGGCATTGGGAACCGGCGCACAAACATTTGGAAAGAAGTATCTGGACAAAGCAAAGTGGGATGGGCAGAGAAGATTTGAGCTGATAGTAGAGAATACTGTCTGTACACAATGCTGCTACATGAAGCATGGAATGAAGAGAAACCAATGTTACCACGTTTGTGGTAACCAAGCATGTGTCACAACCTGATTTCTTTCCAATGATGTGCTTCTGTCATGCGATGCCATCAAACATCATGCCGCCGAATCTTGATGCCTTGGTCAGCTGCCATCACAGCACGAATCCAACAGCTCTGCGCCCTTCGCCACGGTGTAAGTGATCACCAAATATGCGTACCAAAGTCCCCACCCTCCTCAGCCGATACAGAATGAAGCTGAATTATTTGACAGCGCTATTGCGTACTATACATACTCACACGGGCCGCTACCGGTGTAGGATGCGTTCGTTGGCTGGGGCAAGGAGGGGGTTCGTCATGATATCCTGCAAGCTGAGCTGTAACACCAAATACCTACAGTCGTTGTTCCCTCATCGCCCGGTGCGGACCGGGCGCCGGGCTGCGGCGGGTTCGAGGGTAAAAAGCGATGCAGGCAACCGCGCGCCCGCCGCACACAAAAAAAAAAAAGCTAAGGGTGTATAGCAGAGCCGCGATATACCCTCTCCACAAACAATGGTTTTGATTTTTTGCTTCATGCAAGCCGCTGTTGCCCTGCCCGGTCCCCATGTTTCTGACCTGTTTTGAGCACCCCTCGCTTCCCACTTTTACACTTTGTTGGCTCTATAACCCCTCATCTGGTCTCTCTCGTGGATCTTCGTGGGCGGCACGAGTGCCAATAGCTGCATGTTTGCAAGGCGACTGGGTTGCATAAGCTATGGATCATCTCTGGCCCTAGCTCAACCTCTCCCATGAAGCAAGTGGTGATTCGCGGGAGTCTCTGAGCAAACACATATAGCTCGTTGATCGTGTCCATAGCTCCCGCGGACGATAATGCGACAGACAGGGTGGTGTCAGCATCCATGCGTGTGCCGTTGATGGCTTGCAGTCCGTCGAGTGGAGACAGCTCCCGCGCCCTCCTTGACTGGATGTCTATGTCCCATAATATCTGTAATTCCTCTTGCAGTCAGACGCTTTGATACACACAAAAGGAGGATTACTCGCTAAGCTTCGTGTCGTACGGGTGCTCCTTCGACTGCTGCATGGCCCCCGCCCTCCACTCCGGGCTGCTCTTGTGATAGTGTCGGAGCCCTGTTTTCGTTATCCGTGGTAGGATCGAGATGGTCTCAGCATCATGCCTTGAGGTTATGCGGACTGTCTGCAAGCAGGAGGCTCAATTTGCTGGCAATGTGGCCATTCCGGTGTGGAGATATTATACACGGTCGGTCGAGGAGGCGTTTTGAGGTCAGGGTTGTGTTTGGGTACTATGCGTAGTGAGTGTCTCAGCCTACCTTCGCGAACCAGTGACGAGCTACTTGCAACTGCCTTGAGCTCGCTCGCGCATAGCACTCTCGGTCAGTTATAGGTGTCATACTCCATACTCCAAGGAGAAGATACTCATTGGTATGCCAACATTCCCATGGCAAGCCCAGACCCATCGCGGGCGTCATTTTGCAGATCGATCACGGAGGTGACTCAGCCTGCTATCCAGCTTGATTGTAGCATTGTGTTTGGTCCGTCGTGGGGCTTCTAGATTTCGTCAATTCTCAATTTCTTAGGAAATCGCTAAAATACTAAGTGGCCGTAAAGTTCCTTCAAAGTCGATCAGTTCCGCAAAGAGGTAGAGAATGATACACCGCACTGAGTCGTACGAGAAAGTCTCTGTTAGGGCTAGATGTCGATCAAGGACACCGACTGGTGCCTCAAGTCTAATATGCATGCATCGTGACGTCGGCCTCGAGATTCAATAGACGAAGATTCAAATGTGAACAGCAGCGGGTCGGACTGGGTCTGACTTTGACAGGACCACCTGGAGAGGGCCGACGCACGAGACCTCGCGGGCAGTATTTGCACCGAATGTGGCATCTTAAGCCCCATGCCAATTTCTTGTCCAAGCCCCGACCCTGCTCATGACCCTCCAGGGACGAGTTCGAATAGAACGACACATCGTCAAGTCGCTTATTCCACCAATGTCGCATCTGGTGGGCTATGTTCAGTGTGTTCTGGGCCGGTCCGTGGTCTCGGGACCGAAAGGGCGGCCGCTAGCATTTGTGACGGGAGGCAAAGTCCAAAAACGGCGCCGTCTCCGGGTCGGCAAGCGACGTCGCATTGCCGATACGGTATGGTGGCCTGATACTGCTGCCCTACGCAATTGTCCATGGGCGTCCCTAGGCTTGCATTTGATCGACCCGGCCCTCCGGGCCCGTCGCTTGCAACCACCCCGGCGACACGTTGCGAAGATTTCCGTCTACCCCGAGCACAATGGCCGACGGAGGGTGCCGATTCCATGTTGGGGTTCCTGGTCGTTTACCTAGCCCGGTGGGATATCGTATGTTGCTGTCGCACCAGCCGAGTTGAGCGGATCAAGAAGCTCAGCAAACACCCCGTCCTTGTCCCCCGAAACCTTCCTCTGGCCACTGCTGCCGTTTTGCCTTTGGAAGAACCCTTGTCGTCCGCTTTGGCCCTTTTAGCGGGGAAGAGTCTAACAAGTGATTTGAGGGCGACATCGTTCCCCCATTTATCTCAATTTGCCGTGGAGACTGGATGCCGTGGAGACTGGATGCCGTGGAGACTGGATGCCGGGGTAATCTGCCGGCCTGGTCCTAGATGTCTCCGCCACCTCGTCATCCCCTCGTCCTGGCACTGAGCCGATCACGACGGTTCGCACCTGTCAAAACGGTGAAGTGGAGGCCGCGGTATGACACTTGCTCGTATGATGCCAGCGAGTCAGCCGAATGATGTCAGGTCGGGATGTTTGCGCCGGATGGTTGCGATTTCTTCTTCCAGAATTAGTAGCCGGGATCGTAGTGAAGGTTGGCCGATGGCACCATGCCGACAGTTTCCCCCGCAAACTCTCGGCAATGGCTCCAAGAACCATCAGGAACTCGGGAAGTCGACAACCCGGGCGCCTCGGATTACTGGGTCGGCCGGCGCACATTCGGTTTCGCAACGTGTGCTCCAAGGACCGGCCGCCCGCAGCTATCCAGGATGTGCCAAGGAGCCGCTGCTCCGGGCTTCGGACCTTGATTAGACGGGGTCGGAGGGGTGCTTCGTTGTCGGTCGAGGATCAGAGAAAACGTTGCAGCTCCTTCAATGGTCAGCGAACCCCTTACCCAGAACCAGGGGATCGGGTGCCACATCGGACCCAGAGTAAATGCCAGAGTTAGTAAACCTCCGCTTTGCTACCCTGGCGGACGACATTGGTGACAGACATGCAACATGACAAGTCTGCTGTCAACTCTCAAGTTCTCAACCGCCGATCGATGGAGCGGGGCGGCACTAGTGAAGTTGGGAGATTGCTTCGCTTTGACATAGGGTCGGGGCTCAATGATCGGGATCCAGAAAACCGCCTAAAAACTTCTTTGAATATTCCCAAAGAGCTCTAGATTCAGCTTGTGAAGGCCTACGCCCAGCCGGAGATGTCCTTGATCTTCCAAGTCGAGACGAAAGAGTTATTCAGAGCAATCGAGTCGGGGTCCAAATTTCTGAGACGAGATGTTCAGGAGATATGGGCAGCCGATGGAGGCTCCACGCCGCTAGGACTCGATCCATGCAAGTAGGACGACCGTTAGACTAACCAAGATTGAATCTTGGAAGCAGCTAGGTTGCGGGTGTCGTGCAGCGATGGAAATATCCGGCTTTCAGACGGACGACATGTTGGTGGGCCATTTGCGAGTGATGCTGAATTGAGGTGACATGTCGGCAGTTGGGTGTGACGAAGCGGCGGGGCGAGTGTTGGTGCGACACTCGCGGACAACGTAATCTCGTTGTGTAAGTGGAGGAAGGTATTCCTGCTTGTGCAAAACACTTGCTCCTGGCATCTGTGCAAGCATTGATACTGAAAGCGCGATTGAGCAAGGGACAACATACCTCCTGAGTACATGTGCTAAGTACTCCTAATGGAAGATATTGACTGAGGGTACCTTCGTTACAGAGCATTCTTGTCAATAGGCGAGTTACGCCAGCTATCACATCTGCAACTGCCCGAAGTTGTCTTTCTTCCAAGCACTCGATATCCTATCGAGCTTATGGGAAGTCAGGAGGTCCATTCTCTCAACATTGAGCAGGTGGCTGGTGCTGCTGTGGCAAACACGAAGCAACAAGACCATACGATCGCGACAGATGACAGGTGACAGCTTCATACTCAAGGTAAAGTGTGTCGAAACACACGCTTGTATGCAAACTTTTAACTCTCACATTCCTCCCGTCTTCCCCTGTTCGCTTTCTTGGGCACTGGTCTTCTCGCCTTTACATTCATAAGAACCACTCACTATCTGCTTGGGTTTCGCCATGATACCAGTGTCGCTTCCTCTGAAACCACGATCTCTGCAAATACCTCGAGTGTTCCTACCGATATTTTCAGACCCCGAGACCCCCACGTTAGGCACCCTATGACCTTCCATGTGTAGGCACCCCAAGGTAAAGAGACGAAGATTGCCGATACGGCGACAGACTTGCCTTCCGTCGTTTCGAGAATTCGGCGGCTGCTTCCTTCGCAGTCAAAGCTGTTATCTAACTGGTTTTGCTTTCTGGAGATATGGCTTCCTCAAATTGAACTACCATCCTGGAAGCTGCACTTTCTGACAACAACGTCAGGTAACCATGCCAAATGAAACCGTCAAACGAAATAAGCCGGATATCGTCGCCTATAATAATACAGCCCACACTCGCAGACATAACGACCCTAGCTGCAATCATATCGAAATCGAGAAGCACGGCCTCACTGGTGACCCAAATTCCAAAGTAGACCGACTCTGGGGGTGCGCGCTCACAGGTACTCACATGTCGCCATGTTTCCTCAAAACAATGCAACCGAGACACACGATCTGGAAGAGCCTCGTACTCCAGAGGAGGATCGGATTGAGAGTGTTGTCATTCTTGTGGTATCGGTTTTGTCACTTTGCGGTGCTGGATTCATCATGACAAGCTACTGGGTCAGCCCTCATTCCAAATCGTTTAGCGAATTCCATCAAACTAACAAGGTATTCAGATCTTCCCGAACTTGCGATCTTTCCGTCACCGTCTTATCATCGGACTCGCGATAAGTGACTTCCTCATGGCATTCAACTTCCTCTGCTCAACAGCGATGAATCTCAGTGGCAGACTTATCAAAGATCCTCAACAGACCAGCTTTTGTAGCCTCAATGGCTTCATGGCCCAGGTCTTCGTCATTCAAACCGACTACTGGGTCTTGACCATTGGTGTTTGCACATTCTTCATCTTGACTGGCCAAAAAAAGCGAGCAAGCTGGGTGCAGAACCACGAAGTCGTCATCTGGGGACTTCCATGGGTTTCCTCGGTTTTATGGGCATCTATAGGCCTCGGAGCGGCCGGCTACAAGAGCATTGGGGCTTGTGAGTATTTATGGCCATGACGAAAGGCTCACAAAGTACTAACCCTTGTGGACAGGGTGCTGGTTCAAGTCAGACAAAGTCAGGTTGCTCGCCAACTTCGTTCCTCGATGTGAGTAAGGCACGATACTGAAGGCGCGGGATCTGGACTAAATCTGTTGTGTAGGGATTATCATATTCATCATGTTTGCACTTTATGCATATCTCGCCCTTGTCCTTTATAGAGCCCACAACAGGTTAAGCTCAATGCAGGAATCTCCTGGGCATCTGGAGTCCGGGTACTCGACTCAAGATGGCAGCCGGGCAGCAAGCACTCACGAAGGGCTTGAAGGCCGATCCATGGTTTCCATTCGAAGGCTCAAAAGGGTAATAAACGTGATGCCTCACAACGTAGAAGAGGCAGACACTAATCGCGATCCAGATTGCTCGCCTATTGCTTTTGTATCCGCTTGCTTACGCTATCATCTGGTCCCTCCCAACTGCCATCCGGATATACCAGGCAACAACGAATAAGTCGGCACCATTCGCATTGCAAAACATCGACCAAGCCTGCATCGTGGTTCAGGGGCTTGTCGACGCCGTAATCTACGGTATGAACGAGACCTCAGTAGCAAGCTAGCGCACTTGTTGCTCACGTCGAGGTTTTCCTACCGTCCAAGGGATAGAAACTCGAGGCCCGGACATCGCCTCACCAGACATAACCAGGGAGCGATCCGCTCGATCCAACGACAGGAGAATGCGAGGAACCACACTATCTAGTTCCGAGTTGGCCGAGGTCGACAGAGATGATGATTCAAGCTCGGTCGAGCTGAGAGACTTGAGGGCGTAGGCTGCCCCGTTGGGAGTGGAAGGGTCTTCTTCGAAGGACTTCGGTAGTTCGGATGGGGGCAGTGGACAGCCAACTACGCCCCTCGCCTGTGCGAGTCCCTAGAGCATTCATCGATGGAACAGACTTGCTTGGCACGGTGAGCATGGCGATGAGGCCGTGGGCGAAGGGGAGGTTTTGTACACTATCAATATTGTGGTACGAGACCACTTCCTCGGGTTGCCGCCCGTGCGCAGGGCATATTCATCATGGTGCAGGGATTAAAGGCAGTCTCTTGAGTAAAAGGGTGGTATCAACATCTCATTACTAGCTCATGTCCTCTAGGGACTACCATTCACGACGCATTCATCGTGACTTCATTATCGACCACAAATCCATCGTGAACACTTACACGCCCACAATCATTTCTTACATTACGTGCTTAGTGCTTGGCACCGCCAGTCTGCTCCGCAGTAGAAGCAGCAGGGACATCCTTTGCAATCTTGGACTTCTTGACCAAGCGCAGGCCACCGATAAGCATAACGAGGCCGAGAAAACCTAGGATAACAACCAGCGTCACCAGCGCGCCAATGACGCCCGCAACGGGGGTCGAGATGCCTCCCTTGCTACCGCTCGAGCCGGATCCGTTGGCATCGGTGCTGCCGTCCAGACCCAGGGCCGTGGCGCACGTGCCGGTCGAGTTGCCGCAGGCGGTGCACCAGGTCTTGGTATCCTCGACGGCGAACTTTTGCATCTCGGTGACGAAAGTGTTCCAGGGCAGCACGGTCTCGGATTGTCCAAAGAGCGGGTAGACGGTGAGGTTGTTGATGCCAGCGGAGCCGTTGGCGAAGCGGAAGCGGACGGCGACGTCGTCGGCGGCGGGGCTGGCGGAGGTGGCGTTCGTGACGAGCTCAAAGACCATAGAGGAGGCGTAGTCGACGACGGTCTGGAAGTCGGCCGAGACCTTTTGAAGCTGGGCGAGGCCGAAGAAGGAGGAGAAGCTGGCATAGGCACCGAACTGGATGTTGGCCTTGACGGAGGATGACTTTGCGGCGTCCTTGAGCGTCGCGTTGAGGGCCAGGAGAATTTGGCCGGCCAAGACCTTGCCGGCGATGGCGCGGATGGGGTCGCTCTCGTTGTAGGCGAGGTTCCACTCGTGGATGTTGGCGTAGTCGGTCAGCGAGCGGACGGTGGCGTTGGTGAGGAGGGAATCGGAGGGGATGCTGTCGTTGTGGATGCGGGCGACGTTGATGAGGTCGAAGATGGCGTAGGCGTTCTCGAACGTGGCGGCCTTTGCGCCGAACGTGCCGTTGATGACGGGCAACAGGTTCTGGTAGAAGTCGCGGGACTCGGTGTCGACGGCGGCGTACTCGGGCGAGGAGAAGTAGTTGTTGGAGCTGACGACGGCTTTACCGCAGCCGCTGCCGCCCTGGAGCCACTCGCTGCTCTCGGCGTTCGTGCTCGTGGAGGCCGTGGACACGGCGTTGATGGGGATGTACTGGTATCCGCCGAGGGGCGCCTCGACGCTGGAGCCGTTGGCGAGAGCCTCGACGGTGCCGGAGGGCGGGTAGAAGCCCTGGAGGAAGGCGTTGGCCGAGGACTGGAGGACGACGTCGACGGGGGAGGTGACGGAGAGCTGTTCCGGGAAGACATCGTCGGTGCTCATGTTGCGGATCTGGTGGGTAGCGTTGTCGCGGACGTAGAGCCGGCCGTATTCTAGGCCGGAGGTGTAGACCTCGTAGGCGCCAAGGTCCGTGAAGCGGACGGGGGGCGTCTTCTTTGCTGTGCGGTCACCGTGACGGTGGAAGACGTAGATGCCGAGGACGGTCTCTGCGGCCGCGGGCATGATGGGCAGGCCCATTGCCAGAAGGTGCTTGAGTCCCATATTTGCGATGTGTTATTGGACTCTGAGAGAGTGTTGGCTCTGTTGTTACTGCTCGTGTCCTCTGACTATTCGGTTTGATATGTGCATATAATCAACAAGCAGAAGCTACTACTTACTCGCCCAATTGAACTATCAGCAGCGTGCTGTATACAAACTCAGTGCCTGCCGGAGTGTGAAAACGGCTGATGAGATGAGATTGAAGCCGAGTTGCAATCCCTGTAGCAAAGATATACAACAGAGACGACGGTTTAAATAAACCTCACGGGAGCTGAGGAGACTAGGACGATCGGGAGTCGCCTCGACGCCCCTCGCGAAGCCGGGTACCGCCGGCCCTTTTATGTCACGACCGACAGTCGGACTCTTCGACGCTTCAAGAGGTTAGAGTCATCTTCAAAGAAATCCTGCAGCCCACACATGGCTCAGCGACAAATGTTCCTTCCATTCCTCCTCCCCAGTTCCCAGCATGGTTCGACCCGCTTGCTCGCTCCGGACCAGTCGATGGTTGGCGATAAAGGAGGGGTAAAAGGGAAAGGGTTCGAATAAAAACGCACTAGGCCCATGGATTAGCACCAGCCGGGCCAGGTCCTATCACTCTGCAGGTTAAAAAGTGCGATTTCACTGCAACCATGGGCGGCGAGAGCGGGTGAGTCTTGCTGCTCATCCGCATAGCGGGCGACGGCGGGAATGGATGGATGCCACCACCATGCCACTCAAAGCTGTCTGCAATTCGTGTGGCCAATGAGTCAAGCTGTTCCTGATGGCCCCGCCTGAGGTGCAAGCTATCACCTGCAGGTCGAGGGATGTGGATGCCGGCTTGGCTCGAAAAGCTTGAGTGCGCCGCACCCGGTCCGGTCTTTGGAGGACACTAATTAGTTGGCTTGGTGACCGACACGGTGAGAAAAAAAGTGTGTTCGGAGGGGGCAGCTTTGCAGCAGCATCTCCGCTCCCGTCCGCGGGGCGGCTCGGCCTGTCGGCGGCTGGGAGATAGGTGTCTAGCCTGATGTGGCTGAGTAGAATTGTGGTGCCGATAGCCGCTTTGCTTAAGGATTGAAGGGTCTGATTTGATATAACGTAAGGTAGGATTGTACAAAATGCCAAAAGATCATGGTTATTTCTGAAAACGACTGTTGGTTGGTTCAATACAGTGCCGTTTCCTGCGGTTCTTCGAATATCTAACAAGCTCTGAGCGGGTCAACAACCACGCCCTTGCGATGTCAACTTACAATCACCATTCTCTCCACCCCCGGTCGTTGGATTTTCTTTGTCCGCGGACTTGCTGGAGGTGATCCTTCCGACCCCACCACGGCCGATTTGTCGGTGCCAGCTACAACTTCGACTCTGTCTTTCGGCCGCTCTTCACGTGCTTCGAGATTTCTCCCTTCAAGAGGAAATCCGGGTATCTCATGTCTTCATCTGTTCCAACTGCTAGCGCACCCTGGCGTCTCCAGGCACCGCCGTCAACAGGAATTGCTTGACCGTTGACGAAGCTGCCGGCGTCGCTGAAGAGATAAACGGTGGAATCGGCAATGTCCCGGATCACGCCCCACCGACCCTGCGGCACCACCGCGTCGGCCTTGGCCTGGTCTTGCTTGCTGCTGGACAGCCGTTGCATGCCCTCCGTATCCTTGATCGGCCCGGGGGCAATTACATTGCTCGTGACTCCGAACGGACCGTACTCCAACGTAACCGAGGCCATGAGAGCATCGACGGCCGCTTTGGCGGCTGAGACATGTGCTTGCAGCGGCATACCTGTCCAGTGGAATGTGGCAGAGACGAAAATGATGCGGCCTCCAGTCAGTCCGTTTTGGCTGGGCGTAGGGTTGTTCTTTGCCGACTCTACCAGGTAGGGAATGGTAGCCTTCAGAGTGTTGAAAGTGCCCAAGACATCAATATCGATGACCGCCTTGAACGCGTTGGGGCTCATGCCGGACAAGGGTGCGATGAAGTTGCCAGCAGCTCCCGCACTGTTGGTAAGGTTGTCACTGTTAGCAGTCTGCCCCAGGATTGAGACCCTTGTGAATCGGGCGCTTACATGACAAAGTCGATGCCGCCGAGCTCCTTGGCGCATCGATCTGCGGCGTCTTGCAGGCTCTGGGGCTAGATATAAATTGTCAGCTGCAACGTTTCTGGCAGCGATATGTGTTGATGAGCACATACATTTCTCACATCACAACCGCCGATACCGATGACCTTTGCACCAGGCCTAGCGGTGGCTATGTCCTTGGCCATGGACTCTGTCTTTTCGACATTGCGGCCGATGATGCAGGCATTTGCTCCGAGACGGACAAGAGCACGAGTTTGAGCACTGCAAATGCTTCCAGCGCCGCCGGTGACAAAGGCGACTCTGTTGTCTGCACAGCGCAGTTAGTCTCCATGAGGGTGCAGCAAAGAAAAGGAAGCCCGGAAGCCACTTACTAAAGATGCCGTCCTTCCAAACCGGACTCAAGTACTCGGACTCGGGAATAGGCATGTTTGCAGGGACTAGATGTGGGTGATGAGGGACGGGACAGAGACAATGAACAAGGTATCACAGGTGGTTCGAGATGATGACGTGTGGGACCTGTTTCCACGAGATTAAGGCGATAGATTCTGATTGTTTGGGTACCCTGACGATGGAGGTTTGGTGGATCCGTTGGCTGCACAAAGATATCGGAGGTTGCACGAATCTCGAACCTATATGTCACACGAGGAAGAAGAAACCAAAAAGAGTCCGGTTGGTACGATGTCTTGTTGTGCAACGGTCACGGCAAAGCGCAGCTCAGATGGCAGCAGTGGTAGCGCGTCGGACCTTGGGACCTCGGTAACGGAAGGTTAGGATACAAAAAAGTGCGGAGCCTTCCGCGGCACGTCAAACCAAATGATTAGTTATTCCGCTGCTGACTCATCCAGAGCTCGGTCACGATCACGGGGAAAGACACAGGCACACAGGTTGGGGAAGGAGCTGCTGATTGGTGGGGGAGAGCTGAGGAAAGAGAGCAACAGTTCTCTCCTTCCAGCCTCCAAACGCACCTAACCCTCCCGCACGGGGCCTAATTTAGCGCGATTTCCTTATGTCGCTCCCGGGATCAACGACCGCCTCCCCGTAGACACCTTCCCCAACCGTTCCTTTCAGACCGGGCAGGCTCTCCAATGCCACGCCCCTTCATGTGTTGGTTGCCTCTATTGTCTATGAGTTGCTAGTTGCAACCGTTGGTTTGAGCCATGGTCGAGGTCACACGCTCACAGCATCAGTTCATTTTGAATGACATGTCATTTGACATCGAAACCCAGAAGAATGGAACCCGCAATGTCTCGGTTCTGCAACTTCTTCAACATTGGTGTCCCAAGGACGTGGTGGCGGTAATCTCCCTTTCAAGAACCGTGTATTTGGGTTATGGGCGCATACTGTGATCGATATTCTTCGCTATGGGGGAAAACAATCACGGCAGACAAATATCCGCGCCTATCAACTGGTGCTTTCCTGTCTCCCTCTGTGTCCGGTAGTGATGAGAGCGATACCCGCCACGTCGCGTGATCCGAAACGAGAATATGTGAAGGTATCCTGTCGCAACATCGTCTCTTCACACGCCTACATATGCAACGGCTTGTATACGTGGCTCGGCGGAGTGAAATGGTTGGGTATCACAGGGGAACGTACCCCCAGTACTGATCCGCCAAGCACCCACAGGGCCTGCGAATGTCGTATATCCAACCTATGGATCTCATTGCAGAAATCATACGTCCGAGAGTGACCTTTCGGGAAGCAGGAAATCCGTCTCCACGAGCCAACTGCATCTGTGCCGCCAACATGCAGGACCTATTCCCAGTCAAAGAGAGGGGTAAATTAAGTGCCTTTGGAACTCATAAAAGTCGCGAGACAGAACCGGGAAAATGCAGAATCAGTTTGTTCAGCATTGTGCAAATTCGCAAATTGTCAACAGGCATCTGTCCGAGATCTTACAATGAGTAACGCTGAGTCCGACCGTCCCGCGGTGGCAGGCCCGGTCATCGTCGCTGAAGAAGGGGTAAAAACAACTTAAGCCCTGCGGTGGACTGAGTGATTCTAACAACTTGACTAGCATTGGGATGATAGTTCTTCAGACCATGGATCTGTAGGTGACGTCTCTTATTGTTTGACTTCGCTCCCGCAAGCACTGCTGATATCCATCTCAGAGCTTTGCCTTGTCAACCACCAGCCTGAGCAGCTCCATCTTCCAACATCGACTTGAAAATGGCAGAACTTACCACAAGTACAAAGATGGCAGTAAGACGCCGACCATGAGGCTCATAGGCTGCAAGCAGTGTGAAGTCTGACATGTACAGAATACATTTGGCCAAACGACGAGAAAGAATCCGACAGACTGGGTATGCGCCTCCATCTGACCACTTGTCTGGTGAAGCCGCCTAACGCTACGACCAGATCTGCAGCACAATTTGTTTCTTCTAACCTTCCACTACAAGCTGGGTCTCGCTCCGCCCAACGCCCAAGATTCTGGGGTCAAGCGCGTTCTCGATCTTGGCACTGGCACCGGTCTTTGGGCGATGGAGTTTGCAGATGAGCACCCTGAGGCCGAGGTAAGCGAAAGAACGCTTTTCCTGCTCACAATTGGTACATATGCTCATTCATAGCTTAGGTTCACGGCGTTGATCTCTCGCCTGTTCAGACGTCAGCGTGAGTTGCATATGCCTCGGGTGCCTGAAGTTAGTTCCCAGCGCTCAACGTTGACCCATTGCAGAATTCCTCCTAACGCCAAGTTCGAGGTCGACGATATTGAGGAGACGTGGACGTATAATGTGCCATTCGACTATATCCACAGCAGAATGATGACATCCAGTATTTCCGATTGGAGCAAGCTTTTCAAACAAGCCTTTAAGTAAGTCGAGGCTGAAGATTTAGAAATTCTAAGCTAACTCGATAGGCACCTGGAGCCTGGCGGATATCTGGAAATTCAAGAGCCCGTTCTTCACCCCCATTGTGATGACGGCACCCTCAAGCCAGACCATGCAATGGAGAAGTGGCTGAAGCTTATCGGTGAGGCCATGGAGATTTTTGGAAGACCTTTCGTGGACATCCCTGGTCTCGTAGCAGTCATGGAAGAAGTCGGATTCGTCGATGTGACCATTGAGACATACAAGTGGCCCATCAACGAATGGCCCAAGGACCCTCACTACAAGATGATCGGAGCATGGACGCATGCCAACTTCATGGAAGGTCTCGAGGGCTGGACTTTGGCGCCCTACACCCGGGCGCTGAACTGGACGAAGGAGGAGGTCTTCGTCTTCCTGGCAGAGGTGCGGTCCAACCTGAAGGACCGTAACATTCATGCCTACTGGCCAATGTAAGTTTTAATGTATGCGTCTTTTGGACCGAAGTGATTGGTGCTAACACGGGGAAAAGCTACTCTATTTACGGCAGGAAACCTGGAGAGAAGAAGAAGGCGACCACGACGACGGAGGAGCCAGCCACGCAAGAGTGATAAACGACTTTAAAGCGAGCACTTTTCTATCTAGACCTGAGCAATTGAACGAGTCTATAATGAACGAGTCTATAGTTCTCTCTAATGACGTGGCTCGAAATGAAGCCTGTATACTCGTCACTTCGCGAATGAAAAAGCTGCGTCGACTCAAATTTGTCCAAAGCAATGAAAGACTAAAAGACAAATTCCAAACAATGAATCTTTGAATACATCATCAAACTCAAGCAGCAAAAACTATGGTAAGTCATCAACTTGGGGGGTTTCAGAGGAATCAGATAGAGACAACCCGATCTATAGTACGGAATGAAATTGACTTCGCTTGACCTACTGTATTCATGTGGACCTTCCACGAATTGCCTCACGGAGCTCTCAATCCGATTATCGCAACGGATCAAATTCGTGGCTGGAGCGATTGGACGTATCAGGGGTTCTAAGCGAACTGACTCTATCACATATGACCTGTTGTTTGCGCTGTCATACCGTACGTGCGTAAAGCAAACTGCATCCGTCCTGTTGGAAGCGATCAGTACCCACGTATTTCCCCTTGCCACAGACCTGCATGCAAACACCTGGCCGAGAAGAGGGGTAGTATTCTCGTCCCACATAGATAAATGGTTCACATCCAGTGGTTTCTTGTGTCGTATTGCTTCCTTTGCGAAAAGTAGAGAGCCCAACATCACAGTCAGCATTCTATGTTTTGCAGTCAACGGCCAACATGTGCAACGACCAGGCTCCCGTCCCGGCCAACCATGGGCCAGTCATTGTGGCTGATGAAGTGAGAGTGCCAATCCCATTCTGCGTGAGTAGGACATACTAACACCTGTTGCAGATCACAGATGATAGCTCATCGGAAAGATTGTCGGTGAGTAGCGATTGACACAGATTTCACTCCATGCGCGACGCTCAGGCTTAACCTTCTCCTACAGAGTATAGCATCTTCAACCACGAGCTTATCCAGTTCGATTCTCCAACATCGGATTGAGAACGGGAGGACATACCACAAGTACAAGGAAGGCAGTGCGTGCTACGCCCTTGTTTCTCTCTCCAATCTTTCAGTATTCTAACAACTTCAGGATACAATTATCCAAATGACGAACGGGAGAATGATAGGTTAGGTACATATTGACATCGCCCCTTCTTCTTACACACCTGACCCTGGCGTGAGACAACACTCACACCCGGCTTCTCCCCCAGATTTTCAACACGAGCTCTTCCTCCTCACCCTCCACGACAAATTGGGGCTTGCCCCACCGAATGAGCCCAACTCCAAAGTCAAACGCGTACTTGACCTTGGAACTGGAACAGGAATCTGGGCCATTGACTTCGCCGATGAACATCCAGAGGCGCTGGTGAGTATGTCTAGTTGCCGGTGATCCGGTTCAATGAAGCTGAAGTGCGCAACAGGTATATGGGGTGGATCTTTCACCTACACAAACAGCCGCGTATGTACCAGCTGCCCGTCATTGAAAACCATCCCTGTCATAGGTACTGACGGTCTCCAGTGTACCACCCAACGTCAAATTCGAGGTCGATGACATCGAAGAGCCCTGGACATACCGTGAGCCGTTTGATTATATCCACTGCCGTGCACTGACATCCTCTGTCTCCGACTGGAAGAGGCTATTCAAGCAAGCCTTTGAGTGAGCATTCTTCTTATTTTCACACATGCAGTCGACTGACGTCAACCAGCCATCTCGAGCCTGGCGGGTGGTTCGAGATGCAGGAGGGCCACGTCCGACCCTTGTCCGACGATGGCACCTTGACCCCGGAGCACTCCTTATCCAAGTGGGCGGATTACATCGAGGAGGCCTGCAACATCTTTGGCCGTCCCTTTGCAGATGTGCCGGGCCTCGTGGAGGTAATGAAGGAGGTGGGCTACGTCGACGTCACGTACAGCACCTTCAAGTGGCCCATCAACACTTGGCCCAAAGACCCGCATTACCGGACCCTCGGTCAGTTTAACCACGACAATTACATGGACGGGATCGAAGGTTTCACACTTGCGCCCTTCACCCGGGCTCTCGAGTGGACTCGGGAGGAGGTCGATGTCTTCCTCATCGGTGTTCGCAACGATCTGAGGAACAGGCACATCCACGCGTATATTCCCATGTAAGTGTTGTTAACCCACTATGTTGCTGTCTCAGATGTTCTAACGGTCAACAGTCAGTTGGTAAATGGACGGAAACCTGAGGAAACGCCAGAGACGGATTGACGGGCATGGTGACTATACCGTGATAGCTGATCGAACTTGGAAAGACTGGAAAGCTCATTGCAAAGAAACAGGGGAATGTAAGGCTTTCAATACAATACCTGCCCTAAGAATCGTAACCTGTCAGAGGCTTTGAGGCCCACATAATGTCCGTGAAGAACTCTGAATTGGGTCATTCGTTGTCTCTCGGACTAATGCAACGGCCCAAAGCCGCGGTCCCGGCCGGTCGTTCGCAATCTGCATATAGATATAAAGACAATCGAAGGGAATTCAATGATTCGCCACGCTGTTGGACTTCTGCTGCTTTTGTCTCAGAGGGGGATTGGCAGTTGGTTGTGATACGTTCAGAATCCTTGCTCGTTGGAAGCAGGCTGTCCCCACGAGCAAACCGAATCCTTGCCACCAACGGTCCAACATTGCCAACATGCATAATTGTCTCCATTCTAGAAGAGGGTAGCATTCGTTGGTTTCACAGAGGGGCTAAGATAAATGATGGCTCGTGCCGTCGCCGTTAAATTTGTCACTTTGCAATCTCGACGGCTTCGACAGTGAGCGACAAGATTGAATCGACTCCCTCGCCTCCACCACGCATTGTGTCAAAACTCGTATCGCGATGTCGGAAAATCCTACCAGCCCCGCGCCTCCGGCGCCTACTGATGGTCCCAGTCCGACCAACCCTGCGCCTGAGGATGGTCCAATTGTAGCAGCGGACGATGATGTAAAGTACCGTCCGGAGTTTATGTTCTCCGGTGCTAACATGATCGCAGCTCACCGATGACACCTCATCCGACAGGGCAACTCTAGGTTTTAGTTCATTTCTGAAAATGCTCACAGAAATTGGAAGAATCTAATTCAATCAGAGAATTGCGTCTTCCAGCACGAGTCTGGCCAGCTCTATCCTGCAACATCGCATCGAGAATGGACGTACGTATCACAAGTGCAAGGACGGCAGTAAGTTTCACCGCTTGCCCAAAGCCAGGCGCGATGATATTAACCAGAACCAAGAATACCCGTTTCCGAACGACGAGAAGGAGAGCGACAGACTCGGTACGTCACGTTCCTCATGCGTGTGCACGTAGCCGTCTCATTAACATGCTCCCCCCAGATCTTCAACACAACATCTACTTGCTCACCCTCAACTACAAGTTGGGCCTGGCTCCTCCCAACGAGAACCTCAAGGCTCAGCGTGTCCTCGACTTAGGAACTGGAACCGGGTTGTGGGCTATTGATTTTGGTGATGAACATCCCGAAGCTGAGGTGACTAGAGATTCATGAACTCGTACACTTGCATGAGCCACGTTGCTGACTTGATACTACCAGGTGGTTGGAGTTGACCTCACCCCGGTGCCAACTGCATTGTGCGGCTTTTCTAGATGTGGTATTCCCGGTCTAGTATGTTGACTAACTTGTGCCTAGCGTCCCGCCGAACGTCAAATTTGAGGTCGATGATTTTGAGGAGCCCTGGACGTACAGTCAACCTTTTGACTACATCTACATTCGCGGGCTTTCCGGTAGCGTTGCCGACTGGGGGAAGTTTTTCAAAAAGGCTTACGAGTAAGCAAAGCCTTGATGTCTTTCTCAACTTGTCAGTCCAGCACTTGGATTGACCAACTAACGTACCCGTAGTCATCTGACGCCCGGCGGCTACATCGAGCTGTTCGAAGGGCACATGAGACCCGACTGCGATGACGGAACACTGACATCGGAGAGCGCTCTCATGAGGTGGGTAGACAAGGTTGAAGAGGCCTCCAAGATCTTTGGCCGCCCTTATAGACGTTCTAGGCCTGGTACCTCACCTTAAGGAGGCAGGCTTTGTTGATGTGGAAATAGTAAAGTATAAGTGGCCCGTTAGCCCCTGGCCCAAGGATCCCTATTATAAGGAACTTGGTGAGTGGTGTCTCGAGAACTTCATGGAAGGCCTCGAAGCCTGGAGCTTGGGCGCCTTTACGAGGGCCCTCAACTGGACCAAGGAGGAGGTTCAAGTCCGAAATGAGTTGAAGGATAGAAGGATACACGCCTATTCGCCCCTGTAAGCCCCCCTAACGCCAGCTCTGGGGCTCTTTATGTCTGAAGACTGTCTAATCCGGAACAGCTGGGTGATTTACGCGAGAAGGCCGATTGAGAAGGAGGAGTGAAGAAGTCAAGACGCATCGGTGGCCTAGCTTTCGGGGAAGAGCGTGCTGGAGAAATTTGGTGGGCCAAATGAGTTCGTTTCGAGTGATCATCAAATCGCGCCGACAACCTCATAGGGTTTCTTTTTTTCATAGGGTGCGTCTTCTGGTGAACCAAGTGGTCACTTGTCTCGAGCATCTTTCGGCCCTCGTCAAAGTCGGCGCTGGACCGCCTCCATGCCGTAAATAAACTCCTTTTCCATTAAACGAGTCAAGGAAAGAAGCTGCCATCTTGATCCTGCGAGCAGAAAAAAGAACTTTTCATGTTCTTGAAGATAAGGCAAGGACAGATAAGGGGACGTCGCTGTGCCTTCCATTGATATTTATGCCGAAATGTACAGACGTTTGTGCAACCTCGGGCCAGCTTCGGGACTAATGCAAGGCGCACGGATAATTTAAGCTCATGGTACCCCATACCGTCATCGGGAGACTCCACCAAGGTACCCACCCCAAGTCCCGGCCAACCAGATCGCCGCCAAACAAGCAAAGGACTAATTCCCGCGCGAAAGAGCGGCAAGCGGCAAGCGGCAAGGCGGGAAACGTCAGGTCGTCAACAAGCGTCAGCGTCAATCAAGTCCATTCAATCCGGCCATTTCCACCTCCCCAAAACATCTTACCATCCTGTGACGCCTAACTGGTCAGGCCGGAAACCATCTAACCCCCCAGGTCAGATCAGACACTCAAGTTCCCAGTCCAACAAAGAGTGATACCGCCCCTCCCCGCCCCGCCTTCCCGGTCAGCAGCAGCACCACCAGTAAGGCCGTACCTAAGCAGCGACCCGACCGACCGACAGTTTGACGACACATCCCATACCGACTTCACACCTCACGAACTTCGACCTTACATCCTTTCCGCCTCCATCGATCACCCACATCCAACGCCTCTCCCCGAACCTCCTACGAATTCCCGCACCAGCCACCATGGCTTCCAAAGGAGTTTCCCTCCTGAAGTTCGTGGGAACTGTTTCCCTCGGTCTTCTGACTGTACGTTTCACCGCTCTCCCAGCGTGCACACAGCCCAGCTCGCTTGTCGGACCATCATCAGTGACGCCACTATCCCATCCCCAATCCACCCCTCCCCCCTCCACTCCCCGCACTCAGGACTCCGAGATACCGAACCAGCCTCAACCCCATCGTGAAATGCTTCACCCAAGATACTAACATCGCATGTGCGCGCAACAGGGCCTCTCCTACTCCCTCTCAACCGTAACAGTCCCTTCGATCCTCTCCCTCCCCTCCGCCTCCGACGCCCTCCGCGCCTTCAAGAACCTCTACCCATCCGCGACTGCCCGCCTCCGCCTCCTCACCGGCGTATCCGCAACCTCCTTCCTCCTCGCCTTCTTCCTCTCCTCACGCGCCTTCCGCCACCCCTACCTCGTCTACGCCTCCGTCCTTACACTGACCTCCGGCCTCGCCGAGCAAATCACCCCCTACGTCCTCAAGAGCAACCCCTCCACCTCCAAGGAATCCATCGCCGCCCGTCGCCAGGCCGCCCGCGAGCGCGAGCAGAAGCGCAAGGCCGCTCGCATCGCGCGCCAGGAGGCTCGCATGGAGGCCAGCTACGAGGTTCTCGGCGACACCCACAGCGACGGCGCCGGCAGCGCGAGCGGCGACGAGTCCTCGGCTGCGGCTGCTGAGGCGGAGGAGGAGGCGCTTAACGGCGAAGAGATCCGCGGCGAGGTGGACGGTTTCAGAAAGACGCAGCTCGTGCAGTCTGCCGTTGCCTCAGTCGGCTTCCTGCTTTCCGTCATCGGCATCTGGGGTGATGGTGCCATCCAGGTCTTCAAGACCGAGACTGTGATTGTCGGTGTATAAGAATGACGTGACGCGGGTGTTGAGCGGAGCAAGGGGTTGGTTGAGCTGTACCCAAGTCGTGAAATTGTTGCTGGTGTTGCGCATAGGAAACTTTGAGATTGCGTGGACGGGAAACGATGCCACACTATACTATACTAGTACTGCTTACCAGAGAGAAAGCTGTCATACTCGTTACATATTATTCTCTACTATACCGGCCTAATTGGAGACCGGATAACATGGCAAAATAGACCATTAAACCTAATCTACTTGCCAAGGTTACACGGTCTTTTCGTAGTGTAATGCTTTGCCTCCGCGGCCTAGTCCCGTTATTTCATACCTCGTTGAAGCGTCCTGGCTGGCACCCGGCCCTCGGCCCTGTGGTGTTTGCCTTTTTCATCCTCCCGTATGGGTAGCACGGCTTGAAATGGTCGTTCGAATCCCATTACCAGCTCAAGACTTTAACCTTTCACTCCCCGCCATATCGTCCTGCGCATCCTTGATCAGGAAGCTGGGTAAGTGTTAGCAGTCAATCACGCAAGCCAAACCCAGTCCCACTGCCGACTTACTTGTACATCAGTACCGTTGGCGGAATCGTGCCCAGGTGCCATAAACTGTGCGCATCCAAAGCACCCCATACAGGTGGGAAGTCAAACAGCTCCAGACTCATGACCATGACCACGACCGCGACAACGATACTCGGCCAGATAGCCCAGGTCCTCCGTGACTGTCTGTACTTGTTCAAACTGAACCACAACCACATGAGGTTCTGAATCACACCAATAATGACATTCGCCGTCATGTTATACGTGTAATCCCACCGCACGCCCTTCAGGTAGGCAATATGCCCAGCATAAAGCAGCACGCACAGCAGCGTCCACGCGCGCAAGACCGACCTCCGGCGCGGCGTCGGCCGGTCTAGGCGCATGATGCGCACTGTAGTATAGTACAGGCCGTACAGCACGCTCGCGCCCGCCGCAAAGTAATCGAGCTGCTCCGTGGCAACAAAATCGCGGGTGTGGAAGATTGCGCTGAAAGTCCACGAGGCGATGCCCACGCCGGCGAGCCACTCGTACCAGGGCCGTAGCGGGTACGACGCCGGGATGACGGCACGGAGCTTGCGCCAGCCGTTCTGGTGAGCCCAGAGGTTCCCCAAGCTGAAGAGTGTGCTGGCGGGCTCCTGGATGCCCAGGATGCGGGGGAAGGGCCATTTTCCGTGGAACTGCACCACGCGCTCGCCGGCTGCGAGGCGCTCTTTTGTGATTATATGTTGGCAGGTGTAGTCGCATTCGGAGGCGCAGGTCCAGAGGAGGAGGCGGCGGTGGAAAGCTGTGTGCAGAAAGGAGTCTATTAGCATCTTGTTTGTGTCTTAGTGGCAAGGGGGGGAACGTACGAATTGGCGTAGCATCTTTGCCTGGAGCGCAGTTCTCATCGTGGCAGACCTGGATCGCGGGGGAAGCGCAGAGCAGCATGTTAGTCACAAGAGACTAAAGAGTTTCTCAAGCATTGCTGTTCGCGAGCAGCAGCGCGCGCATGCGTGCGTGTGTGTGTGTATGGTGGGCACCAACTTGGACGCATTCTCGGAACTCTGGTAACCGATCGCCGTATGAGGCTTCGACAGCTACTGCGAAGATGATGATTACGGCGAGGAATAGGAACAGAGGAGACTTGGTATGTCTCCCCGCTCGTGAGCTGTTCATGGCGTCTGCATCTATCGCTCGGTATTCGTGTGGGAGTCGGTTTGTCGTCTCTCAGCGGGTGTGTCGCGTGCTACGTGTTTGGAGTGAGGGTTGCTCAGGGCGGGAGGTGGAGGGAGGAAAATCAACAGGAAGGTAAGCTAAAGGTATCCGTACGGAAACATGGGACACAAGGGTTCGGAGGTCTCGGACAGCCACTGCCCTGTCACTGCGGGTTACACTGGTCGAATAAAGGTCCGGGTCAAGGTAAGCTCTAGCTGCGCTGGCGGGGAAATTCGCCTGCTTAATTAATTGGCCGCTCTTTCCGGGGCATAAATTTGGTGGGGTTCACTCAATTTCCAATCCAGGCAGAAATGCACTTTCCTCCAATATCAAATCATGCACCTGTATTGTCATGTACAACAACGGTCAAGGTAGTTAGTTACAGTCCCATCTCCCTCAATGTTCTGTACTTGCTTCTTGAAGAAGAACTTCTGCAACAGCGGGGCGGTTGCATTCTCTCGCCCGTTCAAGGGCCGTTTGACCTGATGACGTCCGCGCATTCACATCAATACCAGCATCAAGGAGAACCCTAGCCTTGGCATCAGACTCGTGTCCAAAGCCCAGGAACATGGCATCCGGGCTGCCCGCCGTCAGATGCAGCGCAAGTCTCGCCGTCGTTCGTCGTTCGTCGTCGCACTGAGATCAGCCCCGGCCGCAAGCAGAATCCGAACAAACTCGGCATCGCCCCACGCAGCTGCAGCGTGTAACGGAGTTTTTCCTTCATCATCAGTCGCCTCGAGGTCCGCGCCGGCCTCGAGCAAGAGTCCTATCAGCTCCGCCGAGCTCGCAGCCGCTCGATGCAGCAGGGTGTCGCCGCTCTGACCTTTGGTAGAAACGTCGACGCCCTTTTCTATGAAAAGTTTGACCGAGGCCGGCGCACCGGAGAGGGATTGAAGAGCGGCCGTGTCTCCGTTGTTATTGAGAGCGCTCATGTCGGCGCCTGCGTCGAGAAGCACCTGAACCACACCGAGGTGCCCGCGGCTAACAGAATGATGCAACGGCGACTGGCCATAGCAGTCTCTAGCAGCAATATCCGCACCAGCAGCGATGAGCAGCTTCGCAATCTCCTCGTCTCCAGCCCTAGCCGCGTTATGCAACGGGATCTCGGCGTCATAGGTGCGGGCGTTGACGTTGGCGCCGGCCTCGATGAGCATCCGCACCTGCTCAACCCCACCTTCGGCAGCCGCGAGATGGAGAGGCGTGGTCTCGTCGTAGGAGGATGCAGAAGCGTCGGCTCCGGCATCGAGCAGGGCTTTCAGGGCTGCTTCGCTCTCCGGCCGTCCGGTGAAGTGAATCACTTGGAATTGACCAGGCCCCGATGTCTGTGAAATGTCGGCTCCGTCGAGAATGAGCTCCGTTAGGCGTTGCGTGTTGCCGTATAACGCTGCCTCGTGCAGACATGCGTGCGGACATGAGTGCATTTCGCAGTCGGGGTTTTCAGGGCACATGTTATCTGACGAGACGAAATGTGTAGGAGAAAGTGATGACAAGATGGTAAGAAACAGAATAATGAATACGCGTCGAGGCAGCATAGAGAGAGAGAGCATTTGCTTTGTGAGCAGTGAGTCTCTGGCAATTAAATCACTTTGCCTCAGTCGAAGAGTCGTCTAATTCTTTTTGAACCATTTTTAAGAGCCATCTCTAGCCTGGAGCGTTGGTAGGCAGAAGCGGCAGATCAAACTCTATGAGCTGAATACTAGGCCGAGAATGGCATGTATCCACACAACATGAGATGGGGTCTCCAACACATCACGACGAACAGACATTTCTCAGCGGGATTGTCGCGGTCAATGTTCACTGTAATACGCATCTTAGGCAGAAGTGGCAGGCATCATGGTTTATCGAGAGTCGTAAATCGATCCAAGTGGAGAAACCCATGCAGCTTGTGAATCTTTGACATGCTCGTGAACCAAGACCATACTCCTTGACATGCCTTTGCAACATCGTAGTCAGTACTTATTGCACAATCATAAAACAAATGGAAGCGAGTGTGGTCAATCGGCTCTCACTACCCGCCTGCTCGCAGTGTCTTGCCCTCTCGAATCTACCCAAAACATCCTTTCCAGGTCCGATAAGTTCCTAAATCGACTGGAACAACATCAGGTTGGCTAAGCGGGAGGCGGGCAAGCTATACTGAACTCGACGAACATGCAGCCAGAATTTAAAGAGATAGATGTATAGGCACGGCCAAATGCGGAAAGAAGAATGAATCGAGGAAGTAGGTTCACATTTACGAGCGTGGTTTTGGAGGATATCAGGAAAGAGATGCTTAAGCAAAAATAGGATAGAGACAGGGGCTTTTTTTATTTTATTTTTATGAAGAGCCAAAGGCCTAAAAGTAGAAGATCATGACCATTCAGTTGCAGGGCGCAGATCACAACCCAAATCCTCGAGACTCCTCAGACAGCCTTCGAGCCCTTCCGCTCCCCTGAGCTCCTTCTTTTGGCCGTCCATGACCTGGCAGACCTCGGCAAGGACAACATCCTCCAAGTGCGCAACCTTGCGCTCCAACTCCGCGACTTGTGCCTCCAAAGCTATAAAACGGGCCTCCGTACAACTTGTTCATGGCCTCTATCTGCTGGCCACCGATCTCCTGCATGCGCTTCTTGCTGTCGCGATAATCCTGCGAGAGGAAGTCGTACTGCTGGAAGAGGCCTAGGTCCGAAGGTAGGAAAGCTGGGGTTTCTAACGGGAGGGAAGTCGTGTGTACTGCATCGTCGCAAAGGAACTCTTATGTCGCTGCCTCATATGTCTTCTGCTCACGCCACGAGTATTCCTCGTAGAATACTACCGGAATGAGCTAGGTAGGGTTTTGGTCTGTACGTAGTTGTTCTCCATAATAAGCGAGACTTGAAAAACAGTTGACCATGCCGTACCCCAAGCTGGTAAGTTTGGTGACGTTCCCAAGTGAAGGATCCGCGAGAAACTACCGAGTCATATGTTCTTTTCCCAGAGTGATCAGCGACTGCAGTGACGTTTGTAAGGTGACCTTTCATGCCGGATCCTTCATTATATGCTGATTTGGAGGTTTGGCGTGAAGTACAGCACAAGGCTTTTGGAGGTCGTAGCTGTTTGGAAGCAATTATACATTGGTATTGGCTTTCAAGATGAGTATTTACTGGAAATTACCAGGAACCAAAGGCAGCGCTTCTCTATATTGCGCTTCAACCGCAGCTGCACCGGTAAGTGTCAACTTGAGAGCCAAGCGAACTCATTCGTGGTGACCCAAAGTCGCGTTACTCGATCAGAAACACTACAAGACTTACTTGAATCCAAAGTAGTTCTAGACTCTGTAACTGGCTTCAGAAATTTCATATTTTCTCGAAAAATGGCCAAGTCCGCCTTCCTAGCCTTGATATAAATGTGGCCTTTTCATAAGTTGGTAAATATCCTGCCCTCAATTACACACGTCGCCTGACTCTAGAAGGTAGCGAAATGGACGCTCTTTGACGGCCAAACAGACAGGATATGGCAAAGAAGTAAGTAAGGAAGGTCATGCCGCCAATGAAACCGTTTTATTGCAGTGGATCGACCATGATCATCGGTGCAAGAACCATGTAGACAACTCCGTGTGCGCAGAAGTCGTAGGACACGCACCTCTCAAGTAGTGTCTGCAATGCGAATGTGGCCCGGTAGGTATATAGAAGCCTCTACGGTCCTCATGAATTTTGAAGAAGGCTAGTATACGTGATGAAGTCCCCTCAAAGACTATGGGGGCCTGAGCCGACTTCGGGCAGGTTCGCTGTTGTACCGTAAGCGAAAGAGGGAAGTAACCTATGCTGGACGACAAGACCTCGGTAAGACAGTATTCTGCAGTTTTCTTAAGGGCATCAGGAGCCTTTATAAGACTTGTCAAGTATTGGTCAGGCAACTTTCACTTCCAAAAGGTCAACGGCCATCCGCCAAAGCCCTCGTCTTCCTCAATGATCTTGCAACCCCTATGCAATCACCTCTTTCTGACTCTGTACGGCAGCGACCGAGCCTATGAAGGTGGTCAATTCCATCGTACTCGGAAGCAGAACCCTGTTTTTGAAGAGCTTCTAGGTGTGAAATACACGCCTAGGTCCATGGCTGTTACTTGATCAACGGGTGTTTGCCGCGTATTTCCCTCGTTTTCAGCGCTGAACTGATCGTTCTTGAGCCGATTTTAGAGAAACTAGTTGTCGGCTATGAGATGGCTGAGCTCGCTGATAAGCCCAAAGACACCGGTATAGAGGTTTCCGAGGCTGCCGAGCCTGATGAGAGCCAACGACACTTAGGTGCCGAGCCTTCGAAAAACTCATTCTTGGCAATGCAATTGATGATGCTTCCCGGCGTCGCCCACCAATTCTGGTCAATAACCACAACTATATCCTGCCAAACGTGACGAGACCTTGTGGTTTTCACTCAGCCATCTTTTCAACTTGAGCTCTCTCTGGATCGTGTCCTCGCAACTATTGGTTTCGGCATATCGTGCCTTTCTTGGCAAGGGCTGAACTAACATGATCAGCTACTGAGCCCGTCGTAGATCTGAACGGGGTGAAAGAACCCTGCTCACCATGCTCATAAGCTATGATAGATTTCAAGTCTAGTTCGTCTTGAGATGTTCGTGAAATTTGTCGTTGTTACGGCGCTGGTGGGTTGAGTTGAGTAAGCTCCGCTGTCACGATGAGAATCGGAGACGACGGGAAAAGAAGAAGAAACTGAAAATGCCTGTTGTTTCTAATAGTTTATCCTGGCAAACAATCTGGCCAGAACTGTTTCCAAGTAGGCCTATTCGTTTAAATCACCCTGGGACGTTCTCGATCTGGTCACTAAATGCATGGCTTGTTGAGTCGATCATTCCCTGGAGGCGGGCTTCATCCTACCAGATAAATCTTACCCAATACTCCTAGAAGCAGTTCTCTACGAGGCCGTTGAAAAACATCATCAGCACAACTCGGGAACTTGACGATCCATTCATCGTCGACACTAGAGAGTCCTAGATCCTGGCGGATAACAGTGACCTCCTCGCCAACGCATCCAATACCCCCCAAATGCCATTGGCGGATGTACAGATAGCCTTCAAGAACCCATCGCATAACGAATTACCAACATATCGGTGTCAACTGAATACAGAGCTCACTGCCATTACAAGGGATCAACTAGAGGTCATGATGAATAGAAGAACACGAGTGCTTCTAGTCTATGGCGGCCTGCTAGCAGTACTTCGTCATTGAAGAAGTCGACCCCACGGCATCGGTCGATCACGGTTACGGCTTTCTTACAAAAGACTACCGTGCAAATCTCGAAAGTGGTTTGAAGGAGACACAGGGGTTACGGGACCATGCTACAATCTCTTCTAGCTAAGGCTTTGATCATCTGCCTTTCAGCTGTTAGGAGCAATTCGTTCCTCGTACGGCGTACCCAAGACCTCAAGCATGAGTAGCTGGCATTTGCTCCTATTCAGCTCCTTTTGCCCCCATGATGCTTCGGAATCGCTTCACTTCACCCAGGGTATAGGACGACTGGCCAACGTATATAGCGCGCGCTCCAAGAAAAGGGCTCATGTAAGTATCCCTTTGTTAGGCGTTTGCGCCGAAAATGCTCTTTACTAATATGATTATCAGGCTCATCCAGCTTAACCGAGATCGCCATATACTCCATTAACCTCACGCCGTAGTGAACGTTAATGCCTTCCCTACTCTTACATATTCCCGGGCATGCGCTTCCGTCGTCCTCGTCTCCAATACCCTGAACTCAGCCCAGAAGTCTCCTTCGACTGCCATTATTCCGTATCATCACAGCTAAACCCAGGCACATACTCCATCAATATCCCAGGAACCTCAAGAAGCCGGTTCTCAACATCTCCTCCTATCGACATCTGCACCGTGCAATGCACCTTGGGCAACCTAATACCCTTCTCCACGCCCATACGGGTCTGCAACCGATTCAACCGCGCATTGGCAATCCCATCACACTGAGACTGGCGGATGACCTCCTCCTGGAGCAAATTGACAGGCGCATCCTCCTCTTCCTCGTCGTCTTCATCGCTATCGGAGTCCCAAAGGGACTCGTTGTACTCATTAGCGGCGCCCCGGCGGACGTAGTCGACAAACTCCTTTTCAAATTCTGGCGTCCACGCGCCGTGCTCCAGTCGTTGCCGCGCCCGTTGGATACACGGCGAGAAACGGCGGTCAAACAGCTTCAGAACGGCCTTGGTCGGCGGACCGGAGGGCCTCAGGACGGCGACTTCCAGGACGGTCCAGTCGGAGGGTTGGAAGACTTGCGCTATCACCATGCGCAGGTTGCCGACAAAGGGGTTCCTGCCGCCGACGGCTCTGCCGGTGATGATGTTGCCGCGGTAGTATGGGTTTCTTCATAGGATTTGTCAGTAATGTTTTTTTTTTCCAAGCCTTTTAAGCATTAGGTAGCTTACGGTGAGTATGCCATCTTGAGCCAGTTCACGATGGACCTGTAGAAATCACCAGCTCCTCGCGCCAATCCGAGGAAAAAGCTTTTGATGGAGTGCAGAATGGCTGACATTCCACCTGCCTGTGCTGTCGTACAATAAGAATTTTCTTCAAAACCTAGGCTAGGTATGTCGTGTTCTTGATGGTACGATTTGAGGCTGAAATGAGGGCGAACGTGGGAACAAAAGTTGGGATGCAATAAAATAACATAAAATAAAAATAAAAGTAAAAAAAGGCACTGGGGCGTTGAAGGTGGTGGAGGACCCCTGTCTAACATGCCCGATTGGGTAATTAGCTGGAGCTTGTGTGGAGAAGTCGTGCAGAGAGCATTGACGCCAGAAGTGACGCTAGCGGGCCGCTCACCGAGACATCCCAGCCCGCCGGGTCCGACAGTGAGTCTCGGTGTGGCCGGCGTGGTCTAAGATAGAGCCGAGAGAAGATGAGCTTCTCGCATTTTCTATCTGCTCAACAGCTTGACGGATGTTGATCCAGCATCAGGCAATGTCTGAATACCTCCATGTTGAAGGCAATTCGTCTCGACACAAACGCCGCACGGACACATCTCACTGAAAACACGCCACAACCTCCCGCATGAAGTTTCATGACACTGCAACGGAAGACCGGCTCCACACACCCCGACTTTCCACGTTTCCGGCCGGGAGAAAGGTGTCCTTTGGCTGATAGTTTTCGTCTCAACCGGCTCCATGCACTTTGAGAATACCATGTTGGCGAAGAGGTCACGCAGCTGCGAGTTACCCTGTTTCCCTTGATTGTCATTTCCATCTATTGGTATCTAGTTCCTAGCCAGATACCTTTGCTTCCTGTTTTCAGCATCTTATTTTCCGAAAATGAACCCCAATTTTCTCCTAGTACGCCTCCCAATGTCCCATATCCAACTTACACACTCTCAATATACACAATGAAACTCCCGCCTCTTTGCTCCCCTAGTTCCTCTTGCCATACAAAAGACGACATTGGAGAAAGAATCAGCACAACCATCTCGACGCCGCAAACCCAGCAACGAACCCGCCCAAAACAAGCGAGACCCCAATCGCCACCGTAAGACTCTCGCTGACCTCGCGATCAATCCACCGCTGCCTAAAGCTGAACTTGCCGAGGCGCATATGGAACATTTCTTTAACGTCGACTTCGCCCTTCCAGTTGGGCTTCACCCGCATCGATTCGCGTTTGGAGAATCTTCTCTCCACTCTTTTTGTGGTTAATCGCGTCTGGTTAGTTTTCCGTCAGTTCCAAAATAAGATGAAGAAAGAATACAAGAAAGAAAGAAGAAGAAACTTGAAAACAGAAAAGTGGAAGGATGGAAGAGGAGATGAACGGGCAGGCGGAACTTACACCAAAGACAAGCAAATATCTCCCTTCAACTTGGCCTTGAGCTCCAGATCAACATCCAGATTCAACCCAATCTGCAACCTCACAGGCTTCTCATCCCGGTCCCCGCCCTGCCGGGGAATCACCACCGTCGTCTGCCTGTTGAGATTCCCGCCGTTTCCATTCTTGTTATCAATATTGATACTTCCAGCGCTGCCATTAAACGCAGCCTGATGATTGCCATTGCCATTGCCATTGCCATTGCCATTGCCATTGCCATTGCCGTTGCCGTTGCCGTTGCCGTTGCCGTTGCCGTAGTTGTTATTGATGCCGCCGCCGTTCCCGTTCCCATTCCGGTTACGATTACGATTCCTCCGCCTCCTCCTCCGGGCCCCGGCCCCGCTCCCGCTTCCCGTATTCTCACTGCCGCCACCGTTGACGTTGACGCCCGAGTCGACGGTCGAGAATCCCGTGCTGGAGTCGCCCGCGCTCGACGCCGAGTCGTCGGCGCGCAGGCCTAGTTCGGCGAGGATGTCGTTTGCGTCCGGGGCGTAGGTGGAGGGGCTTATTGGGGGCGAGGCGTAGCGTCGGTGGTGGGCGTGGGGGTAGGTTGTTATGACGCTTCTTGGTGCCATTTTTGTGTTTCTTGGGTTGCTTTGGGTGATTTGAAGTGAAAGTGTCGTGAGGCTTGATTCGCCTGGATTTTCTTTGGTACTCGCGGTGCTAGTTGACTCCTGTCTTCCTCCGAGGCCCTAATTAAGACTGGGTATAGAAATCGAACGTCGAGGAAGATCCAACCCTCGAATAAATACGTCGGAAAAGACAGCGGTATCTGAATTATATACCTGTCCAGTTCCTCCTATCCTTATTCAAGCCAAGGCAACCCATGAAACCTCTCGCCGCACCCAACAGAACACAAAAGACCATATTCCCTGAACCCTCGTTTCAACAAACCCGCCCTTACTACATCCAGGGGAGGAAAACACCAAAAGGTTGTCACAAATTGGCCAGAGTTGACTTACACGGGCCTCCTTCAACGCTGACAACACTGAAGCGCCGTCACGTGATGGGTTGATGGTGGAGAAGGACGGGTGAGCATCTCGTACGATGCCGCCAGACCCTGAAACCGTAAATGCAACCCTTGACAACCAGATCCATGATCCCTTCTCCAGAAAGTCCAGACTGCCTTCACACACTTTTTTTTCTTTCTTTCCGCCAACGAAACGAACCAGGATGTATCCGTACTGCTGATAGGATTCTTTACCATCCTTTACCAGGATGACTGAGAGAGAGGGTCAAACACTCACCACCGATCGACGACCCCTATCGTATGTTTACAAGACCCCGCCAAACCCATCAAGGCGTGGGGAGGATCATTCACTTTTCCAAAGTCTTGAACAGAAGAAAATCGCATTGGTCATCCAACTAGTTAATTCTATTAATCCCTTCTAGATATTTTCATCCGTAACAATGCAGTATTCGTTACCAAGTATCGACAACCGAAAAGAAAGATTCATCGGGGGGGGGGGGGGGGGGGGGGGAGAACCCCTATTTCCGTATGCGCCGCGCCTAGACCTCTCAACTCCATCCGAAATTCTTCTCATCCCCAATCCGTGTTTCTGCGATTTGCAAAAAAATAAAAAATAAAAAATTTGTGCCCTTCCTCTCATCGCATTTGAGATGGAGAATATTTGTCCCCTGTAGTAAAGCTTCGACGGCAAACCCATTGTTGTTGAGGATTCTAGAACCTCTTCGTCCCATATTGTCTTTCCCGCATTCATGCGATGGCTTCTAGACCACGCAGCATAGAAGGACTCTTGACCACCATGGCAAAATCACATGCTGTCTGATGTCGAAGCGTCTGTTCTGCCAGGGTCTCCCGCGCAGCATCATTGATGAATAGCACCACCTTTTCAGCAACCTTCTTCTCTCGTCCGTGAAAAATGGGATGTCTCTCAAGTACTAAGCAGATCCCTGACCGACATCCCCCGCCCAGCACCTCTCGTCGGATTCACACTAGCACCAGCAGCGCCGCCGCTCGCCTCCCCAACCGTACCCCTCCGATCGCTATTCAGCATCAGCAGCGCAGCCGTCGCCTCGTGGTCTAGATCGCGGTCCCGCTGCGGCGCCAGCGCGGGACTCGTCAGCGTCGAAAGGCTGCCGTACCCGCCACCGCCGCCGGCATACGTCTGCGGCCCGAACGCGGGTGACGTTGTCGTTGAGGTGCTGTAGCTGTAGCTGTTGTGGCGCGGATGGTCCGTCGAGACGGACGAGTAGGAGTCGTGGCGGTGTCTTGAGTCCTGCGGCAAGAGGGCAGGCGATACGGATGGCTGGTGGGAGCGGGAATGCGGAAGTTGTTGTTGTTGCGAGTATTGCTGCTGCTGTTGCTGCTGCTGTTGCATGGGCGGGAAAGTCGGTGATGGGGCCTCGGAATCGGTCATCTCCACATCGTCCGGGTCTTCTTGGTACCGCGGTACGAATTGCGGAATCTGGCCCCACGGCTCGGCGCGGGACCCGCCGGAAGGCGTCTGAAGGCCGGACTCGGTGGGTGAGCGGGCCTCGGAGGTGTCGCGTTGGGCTTTGAGCTTGGAGACGCAGTCTTCCAGGTACCTCACGTATTCGATCGATGCCTGACCATTTTGTACGATTAGCAACTTCCCCTCGAGGTTCCTCCCAGGTTCCTCCCAGGTTCCTCCCAGGTTCCTCCAGGATGGAGTGGGTGGGTTGCCAACTAACCTGTAAGATTGCCAGCTTGTGCATCTCCCCAGTACAAGCCGGAATCATGCCCTTGAGCACGGCAAACTCCTCATTCATCTTTGATCTCCGGCGCCGCTCAATCAAGCTATGAGCCGTCTTCCTCGCGATTTTGCGTCCAGCCGCACTTGTCGCTGACGGCGCCTTCTTCTTGCCCTGCGCCGTGGAAGCAGTGGAAGAGGACCCATTCGCCGCCGCCGCCGCCGCCGAGCCGGCCTTCCCTGGACCCGCAGCCCCGGACTTGGCACCAGCAGCCGCCGCCGGAGCATCTTTCGCCTTGGCCTCGGCCTCGTTCTGCTGCTGAGCGCGCGGCTTCATCTGGATAATCTTGCGTGACCTAGTCGGCGGCGGTGGCAGCGCGAAGCTCTCGTTAGAGGAAGCAGCCGCCTTTTGAGCCGCCGACGAGCGCCGGCGAGATTTCACCGTCTCGCTGGGCTGGACCGGGTACGGCTTGTTCGCGTTGACGTGGGGCGGCGAGATGGGCTGGAAGCTGTTGGTGTTGCTGTTGCTGGGCGGCGTTCTCCTTGTGTCTTTTGGGGAGAGCTTCAAGGCGTCTTGGATGATTGCTGGCGGTGGCAGCTCAAAGGATAGCTGGAGGGAGGCGAGGTCCTTGGAGCCGTCTTGGCCCTTAATGTCCGTTGAGGACGCGGGCGTGGGTGGTAATGTTGGACGCGGCATTGTGCGTAATGTGTATGCGTGCGTGTGAGTTGTGAGTGAGAGGGAAAGATGGAGAAAGACGATCAAAGGTACGAGCGGGCTCTGAGCGTTTAACACGAAGAGAAATTCCCCAACTGGACAGAAGCTAGATTGAGAACGGGAAGCCGAAGGTTGCGGGAAATTCTCGAGGCTCTACCGCCGAGGGACAAATTCGGTTGACGTCTGTTTTTGAGGCTGTGCCCGCGGGCAAAGACGACGGCCGCCGGTGTGGCAGCAGAGCTGTTCTGGGCTTGGCGACAGATGCAGACGCCCCGGTCGATGCTGGCTGTCTTCTAGAGGGATGTGTATCCGATTCGCCGGCCTGGTTTAGACGAGAACTGGGACTCGAGAAGTGAGAGAGAGCACGCGAGTGTCGAGAGCAGCTGGGGTGTCTCGTGGAAAGAAAAGGTCGTGGGAAGATGTAGAAGGGGAAGGGAAGGCGTGGCAGGGTAAAAGGCAATGAACTACAGATACGGCGCACGACCACCACGACTTTGGACTGACTCTCACTTTTTTTCTCACCATCCTTGGCCTTGTTCGTCCTTATTGTCTCTCGTGCCTGCCTGTCTCTATCTAACTACAACCCCGGACCCGTGTATCCGTAGCTGCAATGTGTTAAGGCACTTGCCTCAGATAGCCATCAGCCTCTTAGCAGCCGTCTAGCCACCCACGCCCCCCTCCTCATAATGGCCGGGAGGAAGGCTGGTCCTTCCTCCCGGCATAGTCAACAACCCTGATGGAAGTGACGAGGGGTGGTTACTCAACGAACTAGCTTGGAGGACAGAGGGCACGCGACATCCCAAGCCCAGAAAGAAAGGGTCCCCCCAAAGGGAAAACCCCCGTAACAAGGCGGGAGTAGGTACACCGTAGCGCAAAGTGGACGCAAGAGATACAGCCTGGGGGAAGCAAAGAATAAGACGAACGAAAAAGACCAAAGAGCAGAAAAGAAACAGATGTCCAATCAAGAGGGCGGACCTGGACTCCTGGGTGAGGAAACGGGTAGGAGAGGGCATCGAGGGTTCAAAGGTGTTAAGCCAATCAGAGGGCCGGATTCGAGCACATGGTGTTCCTGAATGGCAACTGAGCAATCCTTCCCCCCCCCCCCAGCGCCAAGCCGAGCGCCCGCACGCAAGGTTCACTCACACACTGCCCCTTCAGATTTCAGATGAGAATCAGAACCCCCCAAAACGCATGAGCTCACCTCACACTCATAGTCTACTGTATGGTAGAGGAGGTGAGAAGCTGGCTGGTCAAATGGGATCGACGGTAATATCCTCCCACAACTGCCAAGTCCATGCCTACCTCCGCTACAACCTGTGGATTCTTCTTAGTCCAAGGACAAGAGGCACGAGGGGAGGGGCGTCTATAAACCTGTAGCGGGTCTCTGAAGCTTACTTTTCGATGCGACTCTTGTCTTTTGGTTTGGGGTGAATTGAGGAATCTAGAGAGAGGCACGAGACATGTGCTCGGCATCCTGTTGGTCAAACAACCTTCCCCGGGCAGCCTGGGCCGGACCTCTTACACGTTCGTGATTTCCAACAAGAAAGCCGCGTTTCCGTGTACGAAGTCCGGAACCCGTAAATACCACCTTCCCTTACCCCAGCCTTCCACTTTGCTTCGCGTGCCTGGCAACGTGCCTCTTGTCTGTATCTGTCATTGATGGAGCTGTCGTCCTAGTGTTTGAGGTTGATTTGCAGAGCTGAAGGAGGGTTTGAGCCTACTCGACTCGTACATGCGGACCAAGTATCCGTACACACACGACCTTCCTAAGTATGCGGGACCGATGACGAACTGGGCCCCTGTCCTCTTGTAGAGTGAGCACGTGGGCAACTCCTCTGTTTTCTTTCTTTCCAACTTGCCCTTCACGTCTTCACATCCACGAACACGGGGACTTTCAACACACTCGCATTCTGTCGACCGTTTCTCCTGCTGCTCTGACCCGGGCCTAGCTTCTACGACCCTGTTGCACTCGCCGTGGAATATCATCCCAATTCACCTTCATCCCGTACCAATCCGATAATTACCTCAGTCTTTTAACCAAAATTGGACATGATGCAGAAAAGAGGCCGCCGACAGCATCTTCTATGAGGGAAATTTCCCAACTGGCAACGGTGGGAAAAGGCTACCCTGAGTAACCTACCCTCACGTCTGAAAAGTTATTTCCTCTCAGTTAGGTAAGCTAATTGGAAAGAATCAATGTTTTCATTTTAGACCGTATCAAATGCTCGTCAATGCTTCACACATGCCGTGATGAGTGAGTGTTAAGTAAACCAGATATCCCATACCATCGCCCAAAAATTGACAGAACCGTAAAGAAAATCAAACCCCTTCACAACGTACCGTACACCCACCCACCCACCCACCCCTCAACCCTCCCCTGACTTCTCTTCCACGACGACACCATTTTAAACCTCGTTACTCGGGTACGCAACCTTGGTCGTAGCCGCAAACTCCTCCTTGATACTCCTCAAACTCACAAACCGACTCAGCAAGTTCTGGCTACCCGCCTTGTCGTTCGTCCCGCTCGCCCGGCCGCCGCCAAACGGCTGCTGGCCCACCACGGCGCCCGTGCTCTTGCAGTTGATATAAAAGTTGCCCGCCGCGTTGCGCAGCTTCTCCTCCGCCACCACCACCGCCGCCCGGTCCTGCGCGAACACGGCGCCCGTGAGGCCGTACTCGCCCGTGCCGTCAATCAACTCACAGGCCTTGGCAAAGGCGTCCGCCGGTGCCGAGGCGTCGTCGTACGTGTGGATGACGAGCACGGGACCGAAGAGCTCGGTGCTCAGGAGCTTGTGGTTCGCGTCCGTGGTGTGGTAGATTGTCGGGTGGACAAAGTAGCCCTTTGAGGAATCGTACTTGCCGCCGGCGACGAGCTCGAGAGATGCATCGTTCTTGGCCGCGTCAATGACGCCCGACAGCTTCTTGAATGAGGCGTCGTGGATGACGGGACCCATAAAGTTGGCGTGGTCCGTCGGGTCGCCAATGGTAATCTTGTTCACCTCGGCGACGAGACCCTCCTTGAACTGCGGCCACAGCGACTTGGGCACGTACGCCCTCGACGTGGCGCTGCACTTTTGGCCCTGGAACTCGAACGCGCCGCGGATGGTCTGCTTCACGGCGTTATCGACGTCTGCGCTCGGGTGAACGAGGTGGAAGTTCTTGCCGCCCGTCTCGCCGACGATGCGCGGGTACGACGCGTACCGGCCCTCGGCGACGCCCTGTCCGATGGCGCCGTATAGCTTGCGGAAGATGGCGGTGCTGCCGGTGTAGTGGAGGGACGCGAACTTCTTGTGCGACAGCACCTGGTTCGTAATCGCCTCGGGGTTACCGGGCACGAACTGGATGACATCACGGGGCAGACCGGCCTCGAGAAGGATGTTGTAGACGAGCCAGTTGGAGGCGATGGCGAAGTCACTCGGCTTCCAGACGACGACGTTGCCGAGCAGCGCGGGGGCACCGGGGAGGTTGCCGGCGATGGCTGTGAAGTTGAAGGGGCTGACGGCGTAGACGAAGCCCTCGAGGGCCCTGTACTCAACACGGTTCCAGACGCCGGGGCTGTTGTGCTGCGGCTGCTGAGCGTAGAGCTCCTCGGCGTACTGGACGTTGAAGCGCAGGAAGTCGGCCAGCTCGGCCGCGGCGTCGATCTCGGCTTGCCATGCGTTCTTGCCCTGGCCGATCATGGTGGCGGCCATGATGTCGTAGCGGTATTTGGTGGCGATGAGGTCGGCGGCCTTGAGGAAGATGGCGGCACGGTCGGCGAAGGGGAGGGATTCCCACGCGGGCTTGGCTGCGAGGGCCGAGTCGATTGCCTTGGTGATGTCGGAGGGCGAGGCTTGGTGGTATGTTGCTACTGTGGTGTTGTGGTCGGCGGGGTTGACCTGCTTTCCGGTGTTGCCCGTCAAGATCTAGGTAGTTTTGTTAGCTATACACGGTCGAATTGGGAGCCAAGGAGATGTGTATGCTTGACTTACCTCCTTACCGCCAACAACAATTGGAACCTCCAGGGGTAGCTTGCTCTGCAGGGTCTTTACTGCGGCATCGAGGCCTTCACGCTGAGCAGAGCCCTTGGCATAGTGGTGCTGCGATGATTGTCAGCCAACTGCCTCCTCACCAAGCTCCCTCCCAAAGCTTCATCTGTTGTGTCACATACGTTAGGCTCGTTGGAGATCTTGGGGATCTTAAAGGCAGCAAATGTCGCCATTCTGGTGGTTGTCCTCGTCGCGGGAGCGGACAGGCGTGTTGTGAGTCTGGTCGTCGGAACTGCAGAGACGCTGCGTCCAAGGGATGTGATGCGGGAAGAGCTTCGAAGCTGGGAGTTAAGAAGCCCAGTTGCTCGTGTGGACGCCATGATGGGCAGAGAGGACAGCTTAGTGCTGTGCGAGCTGTCTTGTCTATCGGATTGGACGGGCAGGAAAGTGAGGCACGCACACAGAACAAGGTGATGAGCGTGGGCGATGTGTTCTATGGGTGATGGGCAATTGGTTCGCAGAAGAGCAGGTGACAACTCGGGGAAGAAGGAGAAACGGCGAATCGACTGGCTATTAAGTTTTCCGTAACGTAAGGTAACGTAACGTAATGGGAAAAGAATTTTGGACGAGTCGTGAGACACGGAAATTGTTCCCTGGATACTTTTCCCCTTCCCAAGCAACCACCGGGCACCTGCCACCGCGAACGTCGGGTGGGCGCGGGTTAAGAATGCGACGAAGCTCGCGGGCGGAGAGCTTGTGAGGGGCTGCGGGGGCCTTGGAGGTAAGAAATCGGGGGTCCCGGTGTCGCTTCGCTGCCGATAAGGATGTCACCAGCTGCCTATCGCAACCTTGAACAGCTTTGCGGGGAAGACACGAACCAATCACAAGCACCAATTGTGCCCTGACCTTGGATTTTTGGGGTCGAGATAGCAGCACCGCAGCGGAGTTGATCGGCTCAGTGGGCCCGACCCGACCAGATAGAGGCAATCAGCAGGGCTTTCCCGATCCCGACGCTGTAAAGTCGGGATCGGATGGCTGCTCCGATATGGAGACATGCCGTGTATTACCACCCCAGAGGCTTACAGAACCGAATTACAACTGAGGCGTACGGAGAAGAGAAAACTTTACAATCCAGGTAACAATGGCTCCGTATTCGGACGAGCCCTCATCATTATTACTTAGTCTTTTGAGATAAGAACATACACAAACTTCAAAACACAGCAAAGGTCGAGCCTCCCCCTATAACATTGTACATCCATCTTCTCCCTTTCCTCTTAGCTCCTTCGCTTCATGGGTATAACATAACGTAATGCAACCAACAACGCATCGGATGGGGTCTCCGACAACCGTTGCAGCAATGCTAGCCAACGTCGAGCATCGATCATCAACCATCTTCCCTTCACCACCTTGAACAGAGCCTCTTTACTCGCGCTGTCCATTCTCGCGCTCCTGCGCAGGGAAGGGCTCAACCGGCTCCGGATGACTGTTGTAGTTGAGCTGGGGGACAGTGACACCGTACCCCTCGGTGAGGCCCTCGCGGTTGTGCTGGTCAATTTCGACGCGGATGCAGATGTCCAAGCTACCATCGTTGCCGGTGCCGTGCTGTTTTCCAGCTGCCTTGTGCTTTGATCCCGATTCAACCTCGCCGACATGGAGGAAATCGTGCCCGCCCTTGCCGGAAATCACTGACCGCGTATCCCCGTTTGCCGGCACAGCCAGCCCATTGTTGGGCGAGTTCTCCGTAAGGATGGCAAAATTACGGCTCGGCATAGTAACATGGTTGGAGTTGGATGTCTTGCTCGAGTCGCCAGGATCCTTGTCAAAGAATTTGAGCAGCGTCTCGTCCGTATCGTGGTTCAGGTGATGGATCTTGTTTCTCCTGGCCAGCAGATTGGCAATCGCCACCGGCGGTGGCTTGTTGGTAATGGCAGAAGAGACCACGTTCGCCATGTAGCGGTGGTCGTTCTCCGAAGCAATGTTCAGGCGAGGATGCGAGTAGAATCGGCCCATAGCCGCCAAGTGCACATCGCCACCCAAAATGGTGATACGGACTGAGAACTCTGATGCGATGGCCTGAAGCCGCTCCACAAGAGCGTTGCGCTCCTTCTTGTGAGTTCTGGCCGTGTAGTGGTCGTCAAGATCGTCGAGCAAGTCGACACTGCCGTCAAAGTGGTTGAAAACACCACCAGCTGGTACTGTTAGCAAGCCAAGACTTGTCTTGCCTTTTCATTGTGCACTTACCGAGACCAAACCTTCGGTTCAGGAACTTCACAGGACCCATAATAGGACTGCGGAAGACGTTCTCAAGCCATGTCAGGCGCTAGAAAGCAGTCAGTTTCTGCATAGACGTTTTCGCAAGTCTTATCCACATACAGGGTACGCAATCGGGATTCCCAGCAAAAGAATCAAGTGCTTGAATGGGCGTCCAGACTCCTGAGCTCCCTTGAGCTCTTGTCTGAGGCGACTGAATATCATATCGTACGTCTCTGGGTAGTTGATTTGATGACGCGTGCGCTTTGAGATGTTGTTAGCTTTGGCCCTCCATCGTAGGGGGGGGGGGTTCATCGTTTCCTTACCTCCGTTCGGGCATCAATGCCTAGGAAGGCAATACGCGCACCAAGCCGGGCGAACATGTTATGTGAGTGTTCAGCGACATAGGGCTAGGGGACCATTTAGCTGTGCTCTCAAGGGGAATTTGCACCAGTTACTTACACCAGCCTGCTTGCCGACAATGTAGCTGGGATCCGACTTGGCCGGTGCAACATAGGTATCCATGAGTTGGTTAGGGTCAAGTCCTTGGCCCTCGGACGTTGTCGTGTGGTCTGTCCAAAGATTAGTCTAAGTTCCTTCACTGTAAGACTAAAGACGTACCCGAGGTGTAGGTAGATGGTGGTGGAGGAAGGTGATGCTGGAACAGCATGTAGTACTTGTGAGCAGTTCCACCGATACCCCTGAACACATCGCATCGCATGAATTCGTCAACGTAGGAACCAAATCCGTCAATGATCTAGGTTGTCTGGTTAGCACATTGTTCATTGCATTTTGTTCGAGCTGCCACTTACATCGTGATCATCCCAGATGTTGAGCTGCGCAATCTGGCCATTGGCGGTCGCAAACGGCTCCGTGGAGTACCTTTTCGCAACGTTAGCTCTCGGAACCTTTATGTATTTCCTTCGCCATACACATACCAACGGACATAGTTCTTGAGGTAGTAATCGTCGCAAGCCTGGCGAAGCTTCTCGGGGAAGGGGAAGTGTCTGCGCTTCTTGGGGTTCGAGATCTCGGTCCATTCGCGCAGAGGCCCGTCGACTCGGATTCCATCGTTGTAGATCTGGTCACCTCCTCCAAGCCTGTGCGGAAGTCAGCAAAGCAGCCTTGTACCCAATTTGGCCGAGACATTGGACTCACATGACGTGGAATGGTCGCTCCTTGTGGTGTCGGTTCACATCGTTCCACAAGGCGGGGCCGCTCCAGGCGTCTTCATCAGTACCCACGCTGAATCCGTTGCAGGAGTGGAACATGATGCGCATCGACTCGTTAATGGCCGGGACGAAGAAGTGGTAACGATCAGGCCTGATGTTGCCAGCCGAGAATCGCATATCGGGGATCGCATACTCCCACTTGGCCTCCACTTGGCTGAGCGGCAGTGATAAGTCAAAGGCCCAGAAAGTGTTGCGAGGGTCAGAGTAGAGACATTGACCCTGGGTTTCTGTGCCATGCGTGCCCGCGCCATTGGCTGCGCCGGAAACCTCGCCGTTGACAGCGCCGTTGGTACCGTGGACGCCGTTCGTCTCGGCAGGGGCGTGCTGGCCATTTACCGCATTCGCAGGGCGCAGAACCAAGTGCGGTGCGAAGCTCTGAGTCTTGCCGCCGCCCTTTGTGACGATCAAGACGCTTCCGTACCAATTGTTGTCGTCCATCCTGCGGTAGTTGAGCAGCGGTCCACAGATGATCTGCCTGCCGTCGGGGGCGTCTTGCTCGTGGGCGTGAGTCTCTGTCGCGCGAGGTTCCTCCTGGCCAGCGGCCTCACCAGCAGCAACCATGATGGGCTTGAAGTTGGGCGGAGCACTGGGGTTCTCGGGCTCGACACGATCGCGGTTCAGGAAGTCGGCCAGGTCGTTGGTCGTTCCTCGTTCTTGGGGGTCGCGGGGTTGCGCATGGTTGTGGGCGCCGGCGGCATGGCGGAGGAAAGCTGAGCTCTCCTGGTGGCGCCATCTGTTGGCCGAGGCATGGGGGTTGTGCTCGATATCATCGAGGGCTTCTCCTTGAGGATGCGAAGCCATGACTGCGAGTCTATGATCGATTTGTGATGCTGTTTCCGTATTTGTCTGCGAATAGAACAGAACAGTCAGATCGAGGAAAAAGAAGCACAAAGAATATCCCTGGGCAACGGTGGCTCCTTACAATGTCTCAGCGCAAATTAGGCTGGCAGGGTCCAGTTTGCGCGCGCTGGTCAGTTCTTGAGAAACCCAGAGGGTCCAAGGAGTTGTTATTTGCAAACTGACAGCTCGAAGAGAGGGTATTAACGGCCGGGTATCTGGTGTTACGACGCCAAACAGAGACGGTAGCAAAGAAGGAATCTTGAAAGAAGGGGGAAAATCAAAGATGGGAAAGGGAAAAAGCAGCAAGATTAAACGGAAAGAGGGTGTTGTCGAATCCCACCACAAATCGCACGAGAAAAGTGTGTTGTGTTGGATTGGATGCGCTGCTGGGCCAAGGTAAGGTAGCGCAGAGTGACGCGAGCTAGGAATTAAAGTGGCAGGGATTGTCGGCCATGGTGGGGATGATCCACTACGCAACCGCTGTGGGCAACGTCCTGGTCTGAGGTGAGGTGAGGTGCTGCGCTACAGCTGGAAACTCGTGCTAGGGAGGTCCAGGTTCGGTATGAAGCCGCCCAGGCTGCCCTGTCCGTTCGTGCTGCGAGCTGCAGCAGGGTGAAAGGTGAGGTGGACCGGGGGGCGGTTTCTAGGGGTGAACCTGGGACGGACAGTCGGACTGGGTCCAAGGAGAGGCCGTCTCATGGAGTTTTGTGACCAGTCTGGGACAGACTCGACAGAGAAGGATACTTTGTGGTGGTGTTGGACGAGTGCCGGTGTCTTTGTTGTGGCGATGACCAACTTTCTGGCCGTCATCGACAATGGACGTTTTCGCCCCCAAGCAAAGTGCCATGTTGACATCTACCAGGCAAGTGTGGTAAAGTAGAGGCGGCCTCCGAAATCCCCTTTGTATCCCTCGAATTGAGTACTCCGTAGCAGCGCCAGGAGGACCGGGCATTCACATCGGTCCAAGTCCGCAATCCTTGTTGCAGCAAATCAATCCACCTGACTCCATGCAGAGACACACATGTACTTGCGGTAGGAAGAGATAATGTAGGTACACACTAATTACTGTGTGAGAACCGGGTCCGAGGTCTTTCCATCCGATCCTATTCGTGTAAGTATCCGTAATAATACGCGTAGTCTCCTGCCATTGGTTTTTGGGGCCTATCGGTTGACAACGTGTTGGCGTTCCATCATCCGTTTGTCCCCCTTCCCTCTTCCCCCATCCCTCACCTCAAGTTGATTGAGTGTTTGCGTTGCCTTGGTCCTTGGATGAGGCCAGGGCCGTGAGTCGTCGGTGACAGCCGGACAGCGTTGGAGCGTTGGAGTGTTGGAGTGCGCGGACGGCCGTTCCCCAAATCTCTCAGCTGCCAAGGTCAAGGTCCTCGTCAGCGATCTGTTCGCCGGCGCGTGTGCGTCTTGGGGACTTTGGGGGTTGGGATGACGATATGTGGCCAGAGCTCCCCCAGACCAGACCAGACCAGCTCGCATTGGGCAAACACGCCGGTTCCATGCTTGCAGGGCAGTTCCCAGGCGAAAAGGCCAAAAGGCACCACTCACGTCGCGCACAATGCAACGCCAGCTCTGACAGTGGCGGCGTAGCCCTCTGTTCTTGCTTTGCGCCAAACGTAAGGTAATATGGATCAGAAATACATGTTCGCTGAGTGGGAAACCCGATTCGAGAGGTAAGATTAGCGGCATGCAAGGAAGAGTACCGGTATGGGAGGCCTGCGAAAAAGGACGGGTCGACGGGTCAATGGGTCAATAAAGGGTTAAACCGTAACCGTAAATGCCAACGTGCCGCGGCAAGCTGCTTCTGCTGCTGCGGCTAAGGATAAGGTAGAGGCTGGTCCTCGCTGGAGCTGAATTAGAGTGTGACTCGAGTGTGTTGTTGTGTTTGGGTGCCACGGGTGTGTTGACTGATTGATTGTTGATTGATACGCCAAAAGTGGCCTGGTCTAGCGGGTTGAAATTGTTACCTACGTCAGGACTTGTGGTTCTTTGGAAATTGAAACAGGAATGCCCCCACAGGGGCCAAGGCTGAGATGATCCACTCCGGGTCCCTCCCATCCTTGCTTCTTTGCTTCTGAATCCCTGTCGTCCCTGTCCTCCGCTGCAGCTCTTGGCCCCGGTCTTGGTCCGCGGACTCGGCGTGCTTTTTTGCTTATGCCACATCCCGTACAAACGGATTGCCGTTGCCGGTTATCTCCTTGGCGACCCGGCTTTTCTTTTCTCTGCTGTGTTGTCGGTATGCTGTTCGCGGCTGCCCAGCGCCGGTGCTCGCAGTTAGCGCCGCTCCGGGTCCTACGATGGCACCGAGCTCGGCTTGCTCCCCACCGCCCGACCGGCTGCGGTCTTGGGCCGATCCTAGTGGATCCCGTATTCGTTGCATCGGAGCCGACGAAACACATCGCAATCAAATAAGGGCCCAGAAACCAGACGCAATGACACCACCCGCAATCAACATTAGCTGAATTGTGACTATACTGAGAAGAAGTGGGGCGATAATTGAGCCTCTTATGCCTTCAGATCTGGATCTGATGTTTCTTTATGCAGAATTCTTCTTGGGTTATCCCCTGGAGCAGCGCTTGTCATTGTGTGCTGCTCATTGGGTCTACGTCTGTCATCAAGAAATAGCTGTGATTGGTAGCCGTTGGCTCAGTGATCCGAATGTTAGCTGGGTTTGTGTAAGATGGCTTAATTCTTGGGGTCCATTTCATGACGAAACACTGGAGCTTGCATTATCTGGAGCGACTTCGTGGGCTCAATTGGTAGTTGAGTTTATGTGAGTGATTCACGATTGCCTCCAATTGTTTACACCTTGCGGAGTACAAGTGATATGATGACCACAACACGGGATGAGGAATTAGAATGGCTGAAGGATCTCTGCAGCGATGTGTTTGCCCTGTCACTCATGAGTGATGAAAATGACAATGTTTATCGGGCGATGTGATCCAGAAACAATCAAAACCGACAAGCATATGATTTTCTGAATGACAATTGAGTTTAACATCTTGTCGCCTGTTCACTCTCCAGGATAAAGGGGAAGCATAGATCATGATTCTGCCTGGCAGGACAGTGGCAAAGATCAGATGACACCGAAGCTATTCCCGACCACTGACGTACTGGGAAGGTCCTGATCCATACAACATCTCACTTTTTGTTCAATTTATGTCTTCAAATTCTCATGAGATTCAGATGTCTAGGCTGCAGCCGGCCTCGGATGTCGTCCATGAGACTGGAATCGACTCAATTAAGATCGTGTCAAGGATGGGGAGCGCACCAGGCAGGCAACAGCGGGAATAAACAAGTGGGTCCATACGGCGGTCACTGGACTTCGTGTCAAAATCTCCCCGCGATTTAGGCAACATACCCCCCCTGCATGTTCCGTACCGTGTCAGAGCTCTCCCTTTGAGCGCGTCTCCTGCCTAAATTTGCGCGACAGCTTCATGCGGCACAACTATTCTCTCATGTCTGTATCCATATGTGATGCTCGTTTCGCCATGGAACCTTGGTGCACTAGCCATTGGAGATAATTTCGTCTAGGTGAGTCGCGTGGGTGCTAACGGTACCATTTCGCAACAGCCCTGCGAGCTGAGCTGCTCGTTTGACGACGCTTCCGTAATGGCGCTAGGCTTATGTACCTCTCGAATAGAGATGCCACGAAAAAGGTACCTTGCATCTGACATGGCTTTGCCTGGGACGATCTAAAATCCTCACCCCTCCTTTTTACGAGAACAAACGGTCAAGAAGGAATGCGCCAAACGATGCCCTCCAGATTATAAGATAGCTTCAATTCCTCATCTTCTTTTCCAATGCATCTCTTGTGAACCTCCATACTCATGACTCCTTCTCTTCTATTTCCCTTGTCTCTCAATTGACCCTCCCAGCTTCTTCTCATAAGCTTACATTGTTGATCATCTTCCCCGCCTACATCTACTGAGCTTGGACTCCGTCTGTTCAACTCGAGTTGGACAGTTCCATCTCCCGGCATTGCCCACGACCAAGACAGTCACATCAACTCCCTCCAAGAGACAACCAAGTAACAACCCCGTTACTTGCCCACAATGTCTCTCCCGGAGCTCCAGCAGTTGCCAGCCCCCCACGGGGACCTGGTCAACTACATCCACGACCACCCAGAGAAGAAGATGGTCGAGATCCTAGAGCCCTACCGTAAGTACGAGGCCCAGCTGCGCTCCGTTTTCGCCCAGGACCGCAAGAATCCCGCCCTCAACGACCCGCACATCAACCTCGTGCCCCTCTTCACCAAGGACACCAAGAACATCAGGACCCGCGCCCGCTTCCTCGCCGCCGAGACGCAGGAGGAAAAGGACCGCTACATCATGGCCCTCCCGGACAACAAGCGCCGTGCTAATGGCTCGCCCGCCGTCGTCTCCGGCCTCAAGGACTTCCAAAAGAACTTTAACGTTTTTTCCGAGTCTTCTCTCGTCGATATGAACTGGAATAACGTCGTTGCTGCCGGTTCTTCAGTCATCAACACTCTTCTTCCCGTTCCGCCAGAGTTTAACACGACCAAGCGTAAGCTTCGAGAGTACTACCACGAGAAGTTCTGCCCGGCATCTGATGTGGATCTTTTCTTGTACGGCCTTACCCATGAGGAAGCGCTTGAGAAGATCAAGGAGATTGAGGCCTCTGTTCGGGATGCAATCTTGACAGAGGTCACGATAGTTCGTACCAAGTACGCTATCACCATTGCTTCTCAGTACCCTACCCGTCACATCCAGGTAAGTATTCCCACGTTTTCTTGCTATTGGTGAATAACACTAACCTTCGTTTCAGATCGTATTGCGTGTATACAAGTAGGTAGGCCGGCAGATGTGTCAACTTCAAAGTCAATAGCAAGCACGAAGCTAATCTTGAAACAGGTCTGTTGGTGAAATTCTCACCGGTTTCGATATTGACGCAGCCGGCGGTGCCTACGACGGAAAGCAGGTTTGGGTGACTCCTAGAGCCCTGGGGAGCTTCGTCACTCAGGTCAACCAAATCGATCTCACCCGCCGGAGTCCCTCCTACGAGAACCGACTGTCCAAGTACAGCCACCGCAACTTTGAGGTGTACTGGCCAGAACTTGAGCGCAGCCGCATCGATCCTACCATCTTTGAGCGCAGCTTCCAGAGGACCCTCGGTCTCGCGCGTCTTCTCGTCCTGGAACGACTTCCCACGCAGTCGGTTCGGGATACATACCTCAACAAGCGACGAGAGGAGAGAGGTCGACCCACGACGAACCGGTTCAACCCCCATCATCTGCATGGCAACATCAAGGACAACTTTGAGGACGAGGTGGCCGACTGGGTTGATGAGAATGATGTGTCCAACTACCACACTTTCACCGTACCCTATGGTCACGGGTATGTCCTAACCTTCCCATCGCCCGTAGAGCATAGAGGCTGACTTCAAGCAGCTTCCACGCAAAGAAGATTGAAAAGCTCTGCTATACAAGAGATCTCTGTAAGTCACAGTATTATCTGGATGTAAGCAGTTTACTGACAAGCATGTAGTGCTCAACGCTGAATGGAACCAGCCCGACGAGAGAGAGGTGTATCTTCACCGCCATCCCGCCTTCTTCGGACGTGTCGAGGACGTCATTGAGGATTGCTGCGGCGGCTGCCCAAAGGCTGTCACACCGGAAGAGGTCGAAGTCGCCGAGAGAGAGGCGGAGATTTACATCTCAGGAAAGGTCACCTTCTTGATTGACGACCCGGGTCGGCAGCAGATTGGCTCTTTCAACCCCCTGACGGAGAACGACTGGACCGACATGGCCTATGTCGGAAACACGGCTCGTCTCTGCCAGAGTATTGTTGACGGCGATGTCGAGGAAGTCCGAGACTGGCTCTCCCAAGAGGGCGCCGACCCGAACAAGCGCGACTACACGGGACGCACACCTCTCCACCTCGCCGTCATCAGCTCCACGCCCGAGGTCGTTCGTTGTCTGGTCGAGCATGGCTCGCGTCTCACTGCTCGCCTTGCTGACGGCAGAACGGCCCTTCATCTTGCGGCCGAGCGCGGCAACGCTGACATGATCAAGATTCTCATGGACAAGAGCATTACCAATGAAGAAGAGGAGGAAGGAAAGGCCGATCGCCGCCGCAAAGCGATCCAGACTCGACTTCAGGACCAGCCCGTTTCAAAGACGTCTAAAGCGCAGGACGACGAAGATATGGATGCCGAAACGGACGGCGATTCCGACGATGACGATGACATTGAGATGGTGGACGCGGGCAACACGGACGCCGACGCGACATCTATGGCTACCGGCTCTTTCGTTAATGTCAAGGATGAGAATGAAAAGAGCAAGGAAGACCTGGTTCTGGAGGACGACTCGACCGACGAGCCCGACTTCTTCAAGACTGACGTCTTGGCTTGGGATCTGCCCTGCTCGCCTCTGCACCTTGCCATCTCCGAAGGAAACGAAGATGCCGTCAGGCTTCTCTGTGACTATGGCAGCGACGCCATCCTCCCCGTCAAGTTCCTCAACTCTGACAAGCAACCCACCGCGGCCATTTTGACGCTCTCTCTCGCTCTCAATCTGCCCATTGAGAAGGCCAAGTCGATGGCTCTCCTCTTGATGAAGCTCGGCGCCACCTCGTCCCAGGCAGACATGAACGGATGCACAGCGTTCCACCGCTACGTTAAGAACGGCAATCAGGAGATGATTGACACCCTGTGGGAGAACGATAAGGTCGGACTCAAGACGGCGCTCAACCACATGGTCTTCGCCGCCAGCTACTGGAACCCGGTGGCCATCGCGCCCATCCACACAGCCATCGAGAACGGCGACGCCGTCTTTGTGCTCAAGTTGCTCGAGGCCGGCGCCAACCCGCAAATTGACTTTGATGTTTGGCTGAAGGCTGCAAAGTTCTCCAAGTCGAACAACAGACTTGGTTCGTATGAGGACAACAAGAAGCAGTTCAACGAAAATACCGACCAGCCGTTGATCGTAGCAATCAAGAACTGCACGGATCCGGATGTTGCGCTGAGGCTTATCGAGAAGGGCGCGGATCCCAACACGATGACGACCAACTCGTACCGCGCCATCGAGAACGAGTACCAGCGCGCGTACAATAAGGGAGAGACGGCCCTCGACCTTGTGCAGCAGCAGCTCAAGAAGCTACGCGACTTCAAGCGCGACGAGTTCACGCAGGTGAAGCCCAAGCTGTCAGCCGGTATGGACGAGTTCCTCGCGAGATACCCAGAAGATACCTACCAGCACTGGTCGATCTCCGAGAACATCTACTGGCGCAGGGTCAACCACAAGAGAGCAGAAGAGAGTTACGAGAAGGCGAAGAAAGACCACGAGGAGCTCAAGGGCTTTCCTGAGAAGGTTGAGGCCATCAAGGATGTTATTGCCTCGCTTGAGAAGCTGGAGAAGGCCATCATCGATAAGGGCGGCAAGACCTTTGCGGAAATTCATCCAGACATCAAGTTCCCGGAGGATACCGCCGTCCCGCATAACAGGCCTTGGGAGGCCCAGAAGAAGTTTTACAACTACAGCTATGTTTTCTCGTTCCGTAACGTTACTGATGTCACGGAAGTCAGGAAGGCTGCGTACCTGGAGCTGTAAGTGCAAGGCGACATTTATGATCTGATGATTTATTACTGACGCCCGCTTAGGTTCGAGGCAGCTTGGTCCGGCGACTTGGAAAAGATCAAGTCTCTCACCCTTCAAGCCTGGGGCAAGGACCAGGGGGAGCCTCCTCTGAAGATGGCAGTGATCGACAGCAAGGACAACACCCCCTTCTCGCTGGCCTACCTTCGCGGCCACCACGACGTGGCCCACGCCATCCTGGAGATCGTTATGGCCCAGTATGCACCGGAAGATCGGGATGCAATGCGGTACAAGCTGGACACGGGCGGTCCCAAAGACGAAGACGACGAGGACTACGAGAGCGACGCAGCATCCAACGACGACCCCAAGATCATCTCCGAGATCGTCGACAAGAAGTTCACCATTGAGAACATTGGCCAGGTGTCGATGCAGGTCAAATCCACGACCAAGCCGGTCGACTTTCTGGGCCAGAAGACGCACACATTCAAGCCCGTGGAGGGTAAGGCGCGCAGCTGCAAGAACTCGAGCCAGACGCTCTTCCAGTTCGTCCTGCAGCACGACGACCTTGCGGGGCTCAAGACTCTTCTGGATATGGCGAGCCACTTTGCGAGCCAGAAGCTCGTCAGCGGGACTGGCGCGGCTCAGGATGAGGAGGATGGCAGGAGTGGCCGCTTCGAGTTCCCTGAGGGTGACTTCCTCTGGGCCGTCAAGCACGGTAAGACGGCGGCTCTCGCGGAGATTATCAGCCGTACTGGTGCAGGCATCCCGCTCGACGACCTCGTTAAGAAGAGCGGCGTCGAGATGAAGCGCAAGTCCAAGTACTACCTAGGTCTGACGGTCTACGGCAGGAAGAGGTAAGCAGAAATACTCACCCAAACTAGACTCCAGTATATCATCAGCAGTTTGCTGACTCCTCGTAACAGAAAGGATTGGGCCACGGCCGGGAGGAACATGGTGGTTCGCTCCACCGGCGTCAAGACGCCGCCCCTGCTGCACGCCGCCATGGCCGGCAACATTGATGGCGTCGAGTGGTTCCTCGGCGACGCGCCTCACCGTCACTACGTGGACTTTGGCAAGTCCAAGGCGGCTCGCGAGGATTCGAGACTGAAGCATCTCAGCCAAGCACCGGGCGGCTTCGACCGAGCCATCTCCAAGTGGCTAGGCATTCAGAGCGAGTTACCCCCTTTTTTTTTTCATCCTTTTCCGTCTCTCCCATCAAATGCCATCTAACACAGAATTCTAGATGAACTCGTAATCCACTGCGCCGTCATGGGCCCCCCAACAGAACTCACAAACCAAGTCATCAAATACCTAGCCCAAGCCTGCCCAGCCTCCCTCGACTACAAGTCCACCCTCGGCGACACGCCCCTCTGGCTCGCCTTCCACTTTGGCCGCCCCGACTTCGCCCGCACCCTCATCGCCGCCGGCGCAAACCAAATGGCCCGCAACAACGCCGGCGACAACATCCTCCACGCCGCCCTGCAAGGGATGCCCCGCGCCTGCCGCCTCGCGCCCGTCCTCGACCTCGTCGACGCAGGACTCCGCCCGCACCTCGCCCAGCAGCGCAACAACCTCTCCGAGAACAACGGCACGACGCCGCTCCACGCCTGGATCACGGCCGTCTGTAACTCGCGCCGGACGACGTACCACTACAACCCGGTCGCCAGCAAGAACTACACAGACGACCGCCAGATCCTCGACGTGCTCGCCCGCCTCCTCGAGTTTTCGAGCGGCAGCGGCGGCGGCGATAATGCCGAGCTCGAGATGCTCAACGGCGCGGGCGACACGCCCCTCCACACCGTCGTCATGGCCCACGACGACCTTTTGGCGCAGGCGTTGCTGGAGTACAGACCGAAGCTCCTCCACCGCGAAAACGCAGTCGGTCGCACCCCCGCCGAAATCGCGCGCGAGAACGTCACGGGCGAAAAATTCCTCGCGCCGAGCCCGATTACGCTGTTCCAGAGTAACCAAGACCCCTCGACCATCGTCAGCCGGCCCGTCGAGTCCTTTGTCAAGAAGGACGGCGGCGATGACAACAGCAGCAGCAGCAACGACGATAATAACAAGGATACGAACGGCGCCCGCCTCACCAACAAACAAAAGACTTGGCGCACCGTCCGCGCCGTACAGGAGCAGAACCCGGACAAGCGGCGCCTCGTCTCCCTCAACGAGGCCAACGACGTCGCGAAGCGGTTGGGGGAGAAGTATAACGCCAGTCGGTACTTTAGCATCACGGCGCGGCAGGACGAGTACGCGGACCCCGAGGATGCGGCGGCAGCAGCAGGTAACAGGGACGATAAAGATGATTTCGCGGCGAGGACGAGGAATCTCAGCGCCGGGCAGACGTGGAGTTTCCCGCAGGATGAGAGTTTGGACAAGTGTCCTGGCTGCGGCGAGAAGCATGAGTGAAGAGGTGAGACGTGTCCTGGGTTTCTGTGGGAGGTGAGGGATTTGGAGGGGGGAGTGGAGAGTGAGGATTGGGTTGCAGAGGTCTTGGCCGATTTGAGGTTCTTGGTGTGGTGGTTGTGGGAGTATTTTCTCAATGTTGTTCGGGTTGTTTTTGTCTGTCGGAAACACGGCGGAAAGGGTTGGCTTTAATGTGTAACGAAATCCCAAACAGAATGCTCAAAAGACAGAACGATGTGATAACAGGCGACTTCTCCTTTTGTGCTGAATGCTCGAAAGCTTGATTGCGATGAGTTGGCGATATTGGGGAGGCGCAAACCGTTGTGGAGGGCAGCTAAACAAGCTGGTATAAAATAGGGGCACCTCCGTCCCATTCCAGCACATTAAACCCAGCTTCAAGAGGTGCAAAAAGCTATTTCAAGTTTCCATGCTAACGCTACCTCCCATGAGAAAAGACGCTAAAAACTCCCCCGGGTATCTTGAATTAAATCCCTCCTCGAGACCTTGTCTTTGCCCCTTTTCTCCAGATATCCAGACCCGAGCCACTGCCATTCCAGACAGCGGCACCAGGTTTGCGACGAGCAAAGACTGGTTCGAACGGCCTATCCGATCTCGACCATTTCGACGAAGGGGGCCGGGCCATCATCTTATGTAGACCTCAATCGTCTCCATGTCGCCAATATCAGCCTCCTCAACCGTCATCTCCTCCTCGAGCTCGTCGCCGTCAAACATGAGGGTGATGGGCGCGTCCGCGGCCAATCCGCGCATTTTCCGAAACAGCTCCATAAGCGTTCCGATCGTGGTCGACGGCCTCACCGAAGTCTTGAGCGGCTCGTCCGTCTTCGTCTTGAGGAGAACCTTGATCTTCTGCTCCGTCTCCGGCTCGACGGCATCCGCACCATCGCCCTGATCTCCGCCTTCGTCGTCGGAGTAGTCTCCGAGATCGTGTCGCCTCCTTCGCGCCTCTTGCCTTTCGTGTTCTTCCCACAACTCGTGCGTCCACATCTGCAGATGGACGTTTTTCCAGTCGTCGTCTTTGAAGCCCTCGGACAAGTCTCCTCCGCCGTCGCCGCCGCCGTTCTTGCGGAACGTGGCTTCCAGGTCGAGACTATGCAACGTCGTAGTGTCATACAACTCGTGGCCACGCCATGTAAGGAACACGCTTTCCAGCGCCGAGTGGGGCATCTGAATACGTTCCAGCTGAACTTCAATCCACTTCATGCGGATCACCTTGAGCGGCTTGACAAGTGTGAAGCGGAATTGCCGATCTCTGGTGCCTGGTATATCCGAGGTGACGAAAACGTTGACGAGCTGGTTCTCGTCCTGCTCGAGAGCCTTTTTACGCTCCATGGCGCGTCGGACGTATTCCTCAAACTCGTCGTCTTCCTCTTCTTCCTCTACCGCTACTGCGACTGGTAACTTTTTGTCTTCATCCATTCCTTCTACAAAAGGGTCGTCCGAGTCAATAACGAGAGGCGACACCTCGGGCTCGGAAGTCTGTCTCCGGCGTTGCGTCTTGCGCACGGGTGAAGCTTCGTAGATATCGTCGCTCGCCACATCGTCCACGTCATCGAGGTCTTCGTCACTATCTTCGATCGCGATGACGGGCTTGTGAGGTATCACCTGCTGCTTCCGAGGCGTCCGCGAGGCGGCAGCGCGGGTTAAGCGCTTCGAGGGTGTCTCTGTGCCTTCACGGCGCTCGTATGGCGACTGCTTTGTTCTCGATTGCGGGGTTTCATCGCTGGTTCGCGAGCGCTTTGATGGCGGCGTGCCGATTTCCCTGTAGTTGAAAGCGGTGTCAGAAGAAATCCAGAGGCAGTAGTGCAAATAACATGTTGAAAAGCGTACCTTGTGTCCTCTTCAACGTCGTTCTTGCCAGGCTCCTCGCTGGCCCTCGGCGCAGGCTCCGTCTCGCGCTCTGGCGAGCGCGCTTGTGAGCTCTTCTCTCGCTCCGCCTGCTTCCGCTTCATACGCCGCTCTTGCTCAGCAACTGCGACGGGAAAAAACTCGGCGGAGCGTTTGAACAGGCTAAGTCCATCGTCGTCATCGTCTTCTTCGTCGTCGTTCTTCTGCGGCGCAGGCTTCGGGTCGGACTTTTGTCGCAAAGCGGTGGGTTTGAAGGGGAGGCGCCTCTTGGGCTTCGCTGCGTCTGCCATGGCTTACAAGCGGACGTTTCTTCTAGATACACCAAGTGACGGAGCAAAATTTGACTCGGGATTCGTTATGCGATTCGGTGCGATTTGCAGGGTCGAGGGCGCAGTAGTTTGGATAAATGTGATTTCGGGAGCAACTTTATGGGGTGATGATGTTCTGTAAGTGAACTTTTTAGGACGAGAAAAAAGGTCAGGCCATGCAGAGAAGGCGCCAGAGGCTGGGCCCAGTAGAGAAGGCAGCAGGTAGAAACATCACGAACAATGCGACAGAAGAAGAGGAGGGGGGGAAAGAAGAGGCGTCCTGGCTCGCGCACCACCACCAAATATTCGGGTTGGGATTTGGGGGGGGCGGCGGCCGTTGTTTCCGTGGTGAGAGCAAAAGATTGATTCTGCTGGCCCCACCTCATCAGGGCCCAGGGGGGGGACCTGGAGGAGGATGGAGTTCGCCTTTGCATGCTGCTCAGCGCGGAGTGTGCGCTGCTCGGGTAGCCCTACAGTGCGAGCTACCCTGGAAAAAGCTAACACCAGGTGTGATCGAGGTACCCCAAGCATTCGATGCTCTAACAGGTGCGCAAACTCGCCCAGCCGTCAACGCCATCGTCGCCAGCTGCCAGCAATTCTGCCAACATCATCACCAGTTTGACGTCCCGCAGCCTCAATCACCACCCTCACGTCAACCCGCCACGGAACAACCTACATCCCGAGTCACCCTCCATCCAGTAAGCTCACCTCCATCTCAAAATATCCAGACAACGACAATGGAGAACGGAAACATCAGCCAGGGCGAGGGCAAGGACCCCTCCAGCTTCCTTAGCGACATCATCGGCAACCCCGTCACGGTGAAGCTCAACTCGGGCGTCGTCTACAAGGGTGAGTGCCTCGGCCGTCATTACCATGAATGAGATGATACGAGGTGGTGTGCTGCGTGTAGTGAAAGGGTTCTGACACTTCACTACAGGTGAGCTTCAGTCCGTTGATGGCTACATGAACATCGCGCTGGAGAAGACGGAGGAGTACGTCAACGGCACCAAGAGGCGGTCCTACGGCGACGCATTTGTGAGAGGAAACAACGGTAATACTTACTCCATTTCATTTCTAGTCATTCCGACTGACAGATAGCGTAGTCATGTACATCTCGGCAGACTCTTAGGAGGTGCGGGTGAAGATATCAACAATGGATCGGTGACTGGACTCTATTCCCTGGCGAAGATGTCTATGAACGAGTCTAGAGTGCTCGGAGGATGCCCTTTACCAGATCTACCAATGCAGAGAAAATATACCCTTAATTCTACCAAACGACCAGATGCTGTTCTGCAAATCTCCCGTCTAACCAATGTTCAAGCAGACACCTCTCACCAACAACGCAGTCTCTCATCCACGCCTACAACCTCGAAGTCCACGCAAAATACGTAACCCCATGCAACGCAACCTCCCCCTTCTCGTTCCTCTCCACGCTCTTCCCAGCCAAAATGACATCAAGCTCGGCCTTGAACGCCGCCGCCCGCGGCCCCTCGAGCACCGCGACCTGGCTCAGCGTCCTCAACCGGTTCCACACCGCCTCGGGCGTCAGCCAGACGGTAAACGGCACCTTCTCCTCGCCCACGGGCACGCTAAACAGCGGCATCTTGCGCCCGCCCTCGAGGACGACGTCCTTGACGGCGCGCAGCGGGTTGGCGTCGAGCTGGCTGTCAAAGATGTCCTTCCAGACGAAGTCGCGGAAGCGCGGCTGGCCGTCGCCGCCGAGGGTGAAGACGAGCTCGTTGAGGGATTGTTCCCAGGGGGTGCTTGCTTTCCAGTGCTTTGGCTTGTTGTCTTTATCGTGTGGGATTCGTTAGCAAACCTTTCTTTTTTCCTTTTTTTTTTCTTTTTTCTTTTTTTGGTTTCCTTGGTGACGTGTAATGTGTGTCTCGAGGGGATGGGTGAAGACTTACAATCCTCAATGTTCCAGATGAAACCGAGCACGGCGGTCGGCTTCAGGACGCGGTGAATCTCTTTGAGGGACTCTGCTGTTGCGAACCTACACTTTCATGAGCTGCTGTTTACACCCTGAGTCCATGAGATGGACCATCTTACCAGTGAAACGCCTACACACAACACAAGTCAGCCATCTGTTCCTCACTCAAACTCATCCCTCACACCCCAAACCCAATCTCCAACAACCTCCCATCCCAAAAGAAACACAAAAGAAAGACTCACCTGCGCAACAACAGCACCATCCCCCCACTCCTCCCCCAACGGCACCCTCGCCGCAAACCCATCCCTCACATCGACGCCCCTCAACCCCTTCCTCTCCAGCTCCGCCCTCATCCCCTCATGCGGCTCCACAGCCACAATCTCGAACCCTTCGTGCCGCGCCGCCAGCACCTCGGTCATCTTCCCCGTTCCCGCGGCCAAATCCAGGATTTTGGCGTGCGGCACGTCGGCGAGGCGGAGGTGCTCGAGGAAACGTTGGGTGGCTTCGGGTGGGTAGGAAGGGCGGTAGGCGTCGTAGGTAGCTGCGTCTGCGAAGCCTTTTGAGGCGCCTTGGTGGAGGGTTGTTGGGGACATTGTTTTTTTTTTTTTTGAATGTGTGTATGTCTTACTTTTTGCCTTGAGTTGCTTTTTGGCTGTGCTTGGATTTTACTTTGAGATCCTGGTTCCGTCTTTTGAGGTTGAATTAACTAGAGGATGGGCCTGTCTTTTTAGACCACTTATGCGGAAAAAAATGATGATGTGGTTATGGCCGGTTCCGTTTCGTCGATGAGAGCTGGTATTTGCAGAAATTCGTAAACCAAGATGCAGCTGCGCGATACTTCTCCCAAAAAGTAGTAAATCACGACGAGAGGTGAAAGGAAGCAAAAGACAGCACAATCACTGCAAGAGGGAAAATTATTTGCGGTTTATTCCTTTTGGCTGCCGATACGGATCATCCCTCCTCTCCATTCATCACGCACGTCATGTCCAAATATGTGGGGGGTGGAGGATTGCCTCCATGGGGGGTTGGATGAGGGGAGGTCGAATGGGGCGGGGTTGTTCTGCGCTCGCATAACCGGCGCCGGTGCCGACGTGCGCGGAGCCACGCCGAAGTCCGGAGCGCAGAGTTGCGAGCCGAGCGGCGCTACCTAGGGAGCGAATGATCGCATGGTACAATCGAGTGCTCTTCTCATTCATCACCATCAGTCTTACTTCACCTCAGATAATTGATCAGGATTTCTTATGAAATGTTTTTTTCTTGTGATTGTTCTGTTCTATGGATGGATATCGTCCTTTTAGTGATAGTCTACCACCCCAATCTCTCATACTGGAAAGGGAAGGTCGACGAGGGACTTTGCAGAGTCCCATCGTCTGATGTGTTCCCAATGAATTTTTTTACATGCCTGAAACGCCTTTCCCTCGTGTGCCATCTCTTTTGTCAGTGGCCACGGAACCTAGTTTCCATCCCCGCTGTCCATATTCGACAGATTTCCCATTGTTATTCATACATGTACTTTGTAATTACTCTCCGAGTTTGTGAGATGATTCGCGATAATAAAAGGAAGCCAAAAAAAAAACTTAAAAAAAAAAAACTCGCTTTACCATCCGATGCTGATGTACGTCGACGACCCTTAGTCCGCCACCGACTAAGTCTACCAAGGTAACGGAAGCTTAGTTGTGGTTGTTGCTGCTACTGCTGCCACTGCTCCCACTGCTACCGTCACCGCCATAACGCTGGCTAGTGATATACTCAACATTCGCAAACTTGACGTGGTTGCCCTGCTGCTGCTGGGAAGGAAGCAGCGCCTGGTCGGCACCAGGGGTAGTCACAGGCGTAGCAAAGGGATCAGTGGAATCCCCGCCAGGCGAGCCCTGCGGCACGGTAGAGTAAGTTCCCTTACCGTTCTTGGGCATCTGTAAGCTACCGCTGAAGGAACGAACGCCGCCGCCGGTCGTGGGTTGCTGGGCGGGACCGGCGTCGGTGACGTTGCGGACCTTGTGGAGCTGGCGGTTGACGACGGGCGAGGCCCGGATGGGAACGCGGACGTCGATGCCGTTGTAGTTCTCGCTGCTGATGCCGGCGTTGCCGCGGTCGACGGGGCTGACGGGGCTGGTGGCCTCGTCCGAGTAGGCCTCGGAGGGGGCGACGCCGTGGCCGGTAACGCGGGGTTGGTAGGTGCTGTATGAGGGTGCGTTTGGCGGGTTCGGGTTGCCCTCGAGCTGGCTCAGCGCGTCGGCACGACTCACGACAGCGTTCTGGGAGAAGGACTTTGGGCGGTATGTTTGAGGACCAATCGTAACACCGCCGTTGCGAGACGAAGGCGGGGAGCCAAAGGGGTCTGAGGAGTTTGTCGAGGCGGGCGAGATGGGACCGACGGAGACGTACTTGCCCTTGCCCTTGGCTGAGTTGGGAGGGGAGTCGGCGGCGGGAGTGTTGGGGCGAGAGATCCAGATACCGTCGACTTCGATGCCGGACTGGATGGCGCGGACGCCAAAGGGAATTTCGGATTGCTTTCGTGGGGGCGGCAGGCCGGATGATTCCATCTCTGAGGCGTGTGCCCTCTTTTCCGCGTCAATGATTTCGAGCTTGGCCATGTATCGGTTTGACCACCATAGCTTCACGAAGCCTATGATGAAGACGACGCCGATGGCACAAGCCAGGACCTATGAGATAAGTGTGTTAGTCATGAACTTTTCCGGGGTGGTGATGAAAAAAGACTTACGAAAGTCATCTGCTGCCACAACTCCCAGTCGACAAATACTCTCTTAGTCATTGTGAGTCGCGTTGAATGAGGTTGATGTGTGTGGTGATGTGTAGTAGTGAGAGAGGGTTTGCTCAGTGTGCGAGCAGGTAGGTGAGGAAGGTGCGTGGTATCAGGTGTGAAAATGTCGACCAAGGTGAATGAAGATGGAGCACAGCTCTGTTCTTGAAGTGAGGAGGAATACGCAAAAGCAAGGGTCCCTCTTGCGACCGAAGTCGGTTCTGGCCTCGAGGTGTGACGTTCTCTATACTGCTGCAATCGGACAGGTTCACAATGTCTCGTTCGAATGCGGCGAAGAGCGTTGTCGGTGGCGATGGCGATGTACCCAGAACAAGCTCAGAGATTGTGTTTTTTCGATAATGGGCGAGGCGCTGTGGCTTTTCAATCGGTTAGGAAGAAGGGATCGTCCTGATAGTATTTTTACAGAGTGTTGTAGTGCGAGTCGTTTGTTGAAGGTCGAAGATGATGTCAAGAACCGAGGTAAGGTACAAGACAAGGCAAGATGCCACCGTTATCGAGTATTAGTTGCACGGGGTAGGAATAGAAGGTGACCTCGTATCAGAGAGGGCACTGGTGAATATAAGGGGACTTCAAGGGGTCCTTAAGCGGTGGAGGAGGGAAGCAAAAAGCCTGGATGAGGTGCGGGATCTTGGCTCTCAACAGTCAGACGGAAGCCGGCAGGTTATGTATGAAACAGGGAACACGGATACCGACAGCAAACAACACGACACACACACACACACACGTCCATCTCTCTCATCAGCCATATTGCCTACCCGTCCGCCATGAACGAGCTCGTTGGATGGGGTGGGCCTGGACTCTCGAGCAGTGCTGGACTGGGACTAGACTGAAGAGTGACCGAAGCCAGGATCCGTCTCGGGCGGAGTGTGTCAGTGGCTGGGTTGCCTCGCTCTCTCTGTCCATCGTCCAAGTGGAGATGGGAGGAGAGATCGTGGTGTTATCACGACGAGAGCGCCCACCGAGGACGTGCGTGGGGTGAAGGGCGAGGGCAGGACTACCACGTCCGGTCGACAAGTCCATCCCAAAAGGGGATTTGTAAGTTGGGTGTGGTAGCAATTGGGTCGTTGGTGTTTTCTGAGCACTGCTCCCGTAAAGTCGTAGTCTCGTACTCATGCCCGCTGCAGGGCATGGGTCTAGAGTACCCCTGCTCAACCCCATCGAGGATCCCATCTTGCGGATCGAGACAAGCTGCTAGACCTGTTTGCGTTTGGTTCAATGGCGCTTTGGGATGACTTTACCTCTCAGTCAACCGTCTTGCTATGTGCCGCCGCCATGTCAAAATGCTTGGGAATTGGGCCGGGCGTTCGTTACTGGAATGTTCACCCTCTGTCTGCAGAATCAAAGTGCGAAAGCGTACCTTGTAAGTAGAAACGCCACATGAGAAAAATAGTTGTGGGGGGGATGAGCGGGCAGAACCAACATGTTGCTACGACGGAAGTGGTCTCAAATGGCCGTTTGCGGAATGCAAGGTACGGCGCGGGCTGATTTAGTCTCGCCCACTTGGCGCCGAAGGATGGGCGGAAGAGCAAGCCACACCTGATTTCCAGACCCGGGACGGGGGACCTTGACCAGCTGTTGCCTCTCATCTATAGTGTTCCTGAGTGTGTTCTATCCCATTACCGCATGTTATCTCCATGTTTTCGGTTGCGGACAAGCCACTTTTGTCCGCGTTCTCGTGCTGTCGAGCCTGGACCGTTATCACATGACCCTATATGTCGTGCAACTCAAGTTAGACGTTCACAGGTAGCCAAGAGGTAAGTAAGCTGTTTAATAGTTTTCCGCACTCGCCCCGTGGTCTGCCGGTTTCCACGGAGTCCTAGGAGGCCGGTGAACGTTTGCCATGGTACTGCATTCTAGGGGTCTCGTCAAATCATCGTCTGAGTGGTCGATCGATTTCGGCATAGGTTCGACGTGGAGAAAGCGGGAGACCAGACGGACGCAGGAACCAGACGGACGCAGGAACCAGACGGCCTCAACGCGACGCATAGCCTCAAAGGCTTCCCATGGCCGCTTCGGTCGCGCTGCCCCTGGAGATACCACATTCGTGCTGATCTCTCTCGTCCTGCAACCTGCAGCATGCGGGCGAAGTGTGTGCTTTACATAGCATCGCCTCGCGAGTGGGGCCCCGCGGCATCGAGGCTCGACCTGAAAACGACCATTGGCCTTGGCGAACCACGGGAACCGTGTCATCCAGTGCTACTCCAGCGACGAGAGGTCGACTAAGTTGTTTGAGCTTCACTCTCTCCTTATGACAGCAGCCGTTGACCGTCTCGCTGCAAGTCGTCTGATGTTGCTCGGACGCACGCTCAAGGGTCGATCATTTCATGTCCTTCTTTTCTTAGGTACACGGGCATGCATGGCGTCGGCCTAGCGCCCACGCCACGAGATCCAAAAGCGCAGGCTGGGGAGAACAGACATCGTCCCGTCAGGTACCGCGATGAAGTTCTTATTTCTTAGGCTTGAGAAACCCAAAAGGTGGGTTGAGCAGGCGTTTGATGTCAATGCGGCTGTTAGGCGCGGGTCTGTTTCGTCCTTCTCACGGACAATCGAGATTACGTGCGTCTCAGCATCGACCACATCCTTTGGCAGATCGCACCTGAGGTCTTTGATGGTGAAAAGTCTTTCCGGGCAATTCCCGTACGTGTTGTCAAAGATCGGTAGATTGACATATTCACTCGTGCTGCGTCCACCAAACGGCAACGTGATTATCGCCTCATCATCCCATATGGCAGATCGCAGCGAAACCCGTTCCAGTATTGATGGATCTGGGATGTGTTAAAGTTCTCGTGGATCTTGCTTCTCAAGCTTGAATGGATTTCCGGCCAAAATCGCCTGTTGAACAGCGGTATGTTCGTAGCAGAAGCTCGAATCGTGAATCTCGATAATCTGATCAGTAGTCGAGCCAGATACACCTACCCCATTCAGGGCTTCGACAGGGTCGTTTTGCGATGGCATCGGCACATCAGCAGCGAACCCCCACTGTCGCCGAGTATACAACATCCTGATCAACCCAATGCTTGCTGTTTTCCTTGAAGGCAAGTTGATCACCTCTTTGTCTGCAAGCGCACCATCTTTGCTTGGATTGACGTATAACGCCCAGAATCGATCCAGATGACCATGGTCCTTTTCAGATCCTGTGTCGATGACGACGATGCCGCAGACGATGGCGAGGGTCGTAAATCGATCCACATGATGAACAAAGGACTGAAGAAGCGCGGTGGTTTGGGCGAAAGCGATATCTTGTGAAGCGCGACGTTGTGAGCCGAACCCAGGTCGAGGTCGGCGGATACTCTGGCGATCATCTCGAGACAAAGAGATATCTCGACATAGGCGCAGTTGATCTGTCTCCATCCGGTGGACCGCTTTTCTGATGTATAGAAACGCGACCCAGCTGATGATAGCGACAGATTCAAGTGCAGCAATGTCTTCCCGCGCAGCTGGGTACTAAGACGGCATCAGCTGGTCAACCGCCGAAGCATATGACAAGCATAGCCAAAGTCCGTCGAAGTCAACATGGCACCGCGACAGGGCCGGTGTTAGGCATCGCCGACGCCTAGACTGGTGGTGTCGACAGACCGTCTCAATGGTGCATGGTTGCGTGGGTGCGTGTCTGCCTGTAGCGTGCCCGCTCCATCGGATCTGGGCGTCTACATTCCCAGTTGTCTGTCGGACCGCAGCCACCTTGGGTAGCCCGAAGTCACGATAACCCAATCCGGCGGCATGCTGGACCACGATGTGAACGGCCCTCAAGCTCCTCGTTGCACGTTGGACAATTGCAAATTGTCTCGCTTCTGCCCCGGCTCACGGTGTATGGGCACTGGTTGACTGGCCAGGCCGATGTCTACAGAGTAGGAAGGACCAAGCCAGCGAAGCCATAGCCGGCGAGGGCGTCCGGGAAGGCGACTTTCAACGAGACTTGTGCGACACAACCTACGAGGAGGCGTCTTGTTGTGGGCGAATCCCGCATGCAGACAACTATCACTGAGCTAAAGATCGAAGTAGCTCACAGCCTGCTTCCAGACCGGACGTTGTTTAAAGAGATGCAGTCGACCTCGTGTTGATGGCATAGACCGTGGGTACCAGGGAGCTGACTTCCAGCGAGGACTACCGTTCTCAAGTTGTGAGATGGCTTCACATCGTGGAGGTTGACTTCCCTCTGTCAAGCACTGACATGATTGGTGTCTCCGGTGTACGGCTTTTGACTCGTGGTTCGAAAAGGCGAATCATAGTGGTTCTCCTCCGTGACAACACTTGCATCACGTGTATCCCTTTCCCAGTCCATAGATAGCACCCCTCATCAACATGATGAGAGCGTGTGGTGGAGCATTGCGCCGGCGACGGCGATGACCAACTCCCGTTCTCCGCTCGGCAGGTCGATGATCCGCTGAGGGAAAATGTGGGTTGGATAGAGCGTCATGTAGCGAGCGGATCGGCGCAGCCAACTCACGTTCCGATGCGGTCAATCAGGAACAATTGGACGGACATGATGCAGGTCCGCAGAAGGGCGATATAAAAAGGAAGTGCGGCACGGAGATCAAATTGCAGTTTTTTTGTGCTCCGATGCCGAGAGATCCGAAGTGTGCCGTCCGAACGTTCAGGTTTGCCCAGCGTGGCAGCGTCGTACTGTGGATGAACACCTTCCGGCGGGCGAACAGGACTGTGCCAGGCAATCGAGGCGAGACGGAGAAGAGATCATAGATGTCCGTTTGGGGGCCGAGTGTTGGACGCTTGTGACTGAGCAGAGCTTTCACAGGTCTGCCAGTATGCGCCTAGAAATGAGCGAGAGACGCTGAATGGTGGGCGCGGATTTTAACCGCTGTAACCAAGGAGAAAGAATGCCAGGATAATCAGGTTGGAATTTGGAAAAGGGCATGCCCCGTCGCGGGGATTCGGGGCGCAAGGTTGGACCGGACAAGGTAGATGACGGCAAGCGTCACCGCGGGCCTTCCAGAAGGGAGGGCACCATGGGGTGTTTGGGTGATTACATAAGAAGGCAAAATGGGAGAGATACTTGCGGCGATGCTTTGTTCAGGGCACTGTCACATGTACCGACCCGCATCCCACCTCATGTCACTGACGGCAGCAACGAACCATTCAGCTCAGTAAGGTACCAAGAAAAAACATGGGACAAACACATGTCATCGACCAAGGCCCCTTGCCTTTTGAAAGCTTCTCAAGCTTGCAGAAGCAGGCACCCGAGGACCAAAAAAAAAAAAAGAAAAAAAAAGCGAACACTTTAGACCAAGCAGTACAACCACCCTATCCTCCATCCATATTTCTATTACCTTTTTAATACTAACTATAGCTTAAAAATATTATTAAAAACTACAGGAAATAGCCAGTCTCTGAATTAATACTAGCGTACTTTTGAAATATTTAATTAATAAAAAGGTACTGAGAAAAATGCTGCTCTATGTGGCGGCTTGTTAGGTATGCGCTTTATTTTGGTCCCCGGGTGGCAGGGTCGGTGTGGCCGGTCCATGACTCCATCCACTGAGCAAAGGCAGAGAGTGTGTGAATGAGCTAATGTTTGATCATGTCTTTCCCCGGTGGCCTGGGCCGTTGGTGGCATGGTATTCGCGGTTCGTTCCAAGTTTTCCGGTTTCCCGAATCCCCGTCCCGCCTACCTACCTTACACGTAGAGCAGCCGCCATCGCAAACCCAATTCTCGAGAGATGTCATTGAATGCTTCGTCAGTGCCAGGCTGTCCATGCTGCCCACGCTGCCAACTCTCCACTGATGGACATAGGCCGCGCAGTGTTTGCAAAGATGTTGGCTGAGTCGTTGGGTATAGTGCCGATGATCTGCCCATGTCGATGATGGGGAACCGCTGCAGCATCTTACACACCTTTACCGTTTAGGGCTCCCGGACTTGACACCTTCAACACGTCCCTACTTGCCTGCTCCCTGCCCATGCCGTGGAAAAGCTCTTTACAGTTCCCACTTGACCCTGAAGAGTGATGGCGAAGAGTCCGGGCGGGACCGCGGTCTCTTCACCTTTTTCACAGCGGCATCGGCAGCGGCTGCGGCACCGGGGTTCTTTTCCTCAATCTGAGGTGCTAACATATGGAAGTTGCCTCATGATCCAATGGATGCATCTGCAAGAGGGTCATTCGTCACTTCCAAGTCTGATGTGCCCCCCCTTGCGTCTAGTCCCTGAGTGGCAGTAGCGCGTATCCGCACCTACTTTTCCCGTGCTATGGGTGGATGAACCAAGTGCAGCTGAGCCTACCACAGTTCCAGTAATGGTTGGATGCAAGGAAGGAAAGGAATGTAGGCACGAGCGGGAAGAAAAAAGACATGACAGACACTCACACCTCACAGGGGAAAGGCAAGCACAGCCCAAAACCTGCAGATTCCCGCCCGATGATATTGTCCGCCAGTTCTAGCTCCCATCCATCTCTACTTTCAGCTTTACCGTCTCGTCTACCTTACCTTACTCGCTTCTTCTCTACGGTCTACCTCCCAACCATACCTACTCCATACGCAGCACCACGTCTCTATTACGTCCTCAACTTTCAACAAGCGCCAACCCCGTCCCCAATCTTCGTCTCCATCTCCCTGCGCCTCACTTGGATCTCCATCATCTCCTGCATCCATCTCTCCTCTAGGACGTCTACCGACCAATACCGTTCCGCCTTGCCCATCCCAAGCCACCGTCTTACTGTACATGTAGACGAAGACTGGGCCCTCGACCAACTCAGACACCACTACCTATCACTGCGTACGGTACCGAGTACACTACCTACATCTGCCCGAGTGGGAAATAGGACGGGTCAAGATTGCCATATAGTTCATCGCCATCCCGCTACCCTATTCCCCGCCTTCGCCTTTTGGGTCCACCCGTCATTTCTTTGTCAACCCGTTTGGTCCCAGCATCAACCTCGAAACACAAACACAATTCGAAACATTACGCACCAAGTTTTCCTCTCTAGCTTCTAAACCCGAGTCCGCACCAAGGCCTGGTCTCCAACACCTACACCCTCGCGCCAAATCGAAATTTGCTTCTCACCAGCTACCATCCCGACCTTGCCGCTTTCGCGCCATCCTCCGCCATGCCCATCCGCAACCCTTTTGCCCGCCGTCCGGGCCCTGCCACTCTCCATGCAGACGAAAACTCACGACCCGATGGCGAGAACCCGTCGCATCCCGGCTTTGAGAAGCAAGACACGGTCGGATCCAAAGCTTCCTCTTCCCTCAGCGTGAGGAGTTCCAAGAGCCAGGACAATGGCGAATACAAGATGAGTGGTATGCACCTCCACACACTCACCCATCAACCCCTCGAGCCAGGTGTTATGGCGCGCATATGGGACCAATTGACTTACTTTTCTCTGCATCACAGTCGTAAATGACAGCGGCGTCTATCTTCCGGTATGCACCCCCGCAACAACACCTCACCCTCGCTCGAGACATTTGCTAATGCGCATGCGCAGCCATCCCCAACTGAAGAAAAAGGCCTGTGGCCGAGCAAGTACCTCGGCTCTGGCCGCAACTCGACAGACACTCGCAGCAACAGCGGCGAGATTGAGCACTTCTCTATCTCGAGGGAATCGTTCGATTCGTACAGGCGATCGTTTGTATGTCGAGGCTTTGTCGTGAGCCCAAGCTGCTGTTTGTGGCGCCATCGCTGACCGCATTTGCGTTGCAGGACATCACAGCACGGTCCCCAATCCCCCAGAACGACTTCCCAGCGCGCCAAAGTCTCGATTCAGCCCGTTACCCTCGCCTACCTCGATCCGCGCTTGACAGACACCGGGAACTTCCTACGGCTGACGAGGGCTTCGAAGACGTCGGCTTAGACGACCAGAAGCATCAACAACAACATCACCAATCCAGCCGCATGCGCGGCCTGTTCTCGCGCTTCGGAGACTCAGACCACAAGGAGCCGAGCGCCAACTCGCCCAACTCGAGCGTCACGCGCTTCCTGAACGGCGCTGGTAGAAAGCGCGGCCAAAGCGGACAGGGCTCAGAGTTAGGAACCATCGAGCGCCCAAAGTCGGCGGCGTCTGTCGAGACTACCGAAATTCATTAATCGTTCTCCCGGGCATCATTTTTAAAGTTTGTATATACGTCCTGTCGATGCGGCCCTCGACGGCTTGGGATTTGGCGTTATTGGGTGGGATATGTCCCAAAGTATGGGGTGCATTCGCTATGACATGGTTAGAGTTGGGCCAACCAGCCTGTACACTCGTCGGGTTGAGCCGCGTTATGCATATACGGGCGGTTGCAAGTCAACCTGGCGAGCAGAGCTCCGAGTCCGAGTGTCTTGGAAATAAGCTCTTAATGATAATGATATTGGTTGACATGTCTTGGCCTCAGGGTTCTGCTGCGTAGTGACATTGCCCGTGACCTACCTTAAAAGGTGTTAGGCACAGTCAGTCCGGGATATGAACGAGGATTACTCACTGGAATGGCTGAAATCATGGTCCGAACCTCGGAGGCATGACTGGCGGAGACTCGTCAGGCATCGTTGTTCCAATCGTCAGTATGCTTTTTGACGTGATTTTAGCAAAGACTTTTTGATCCGTCATGCACTTATCGCACCATGACCCAGCTTCGGGATTTGGTTTTCGACCCCACCTTTTGATAAGGTTCCACGCAATGGAGGGGCAGCGTCCCAGAGACGGCTTGTTCCCGGCACCGGGCCGCCCGTCTTGATCGTCATCCGCGCCGATTTGTCGTCGGTGACTCTTCATTTTCCCTTTCTATAACACACCTCGTCTAAAGGTTTCTCCTCTGAACCGTAGATTTCAAATTCCTCTAGTTGGTTAGACCTCATCCCGTTTCTCGCCAATGTGTCCCAGGACTCTTTTAACCCCCCAAATAAGAGATACCGAGACCCCTCCTCCTCCTCCTTCGCACTTTAACAATAAACACCATGGCTGGAGATATCCCCACGAACGGCGACACGGCGATCCGGGCCGCTCCCGGGTCCGGCTCCGAGGCCCCGACGACGGACAAGAAAGAGCTCTCGCTTGCCACGCTTACCGTCCACGCCGATGATGGCATCAGCAGCCACCGCGCCGTCGCGCCGGCGATGCACGTGTCTACCACGTTCAAGTACAACAGCGACCCGGATGAGCTCCGCCCAGGGGACAATGTCGATGTAGGTTTTCTGCCCTCGCCCTCATGAATTTGACTTCAAGGCGTTGCACCTGTCAAGGGAATATCAGAAATGAGCCCTTCATGAGTGAAAACAAGCCCGGTATCAATGACCACTCCCCAAACTAACACCCCCCATCACAGCCCTCCGCCCCGGGCGACTCCCACGTCTACTCCCGCTACTCGGGCCCCAACACAACCCGCCTCGAAGCTATCCTCTCCAGCGTGCTTCACGGGCCGACCTTGACCTACTCCTCGGGCCTGTCTGCCTTCCACGCCATGCTCGTGTTTCTGAACCCGAAGCGCGTGGCTATCGGCGGCGGGTACCACGGCTGCCACGGCGTCATCAAAGTCCTCACGAAGCTCAACGGCCTGCAACAGCTCGAGCTCGACGACGCCTCGCTGGAGAAGCTGGAGAAGGGCGACGTGCTGCACGTCGAGACGCCGCTGAATCCGACGGGGGAGGCGAGGAATCTGGCCTACTACAGAGAGGTCGCGACCCGCAAGGGAGCGTATTTGACGGTGGATGCTACGTTTGCGCCGCCGCCGCTGCAGGATCCGTTCGTGTTGGGGGCGGATGTGGTGATGCATTCTGGGACAAAGTATTTTGGGGGCCATTCGGATATGTTGTGCGGGACGCTGAGTTTGAATCCCAAGTGGGAGGAGGCGTGGATGGCGGAGTTGCTGATGGAGAGGTGTTTTATTGGGAGTGTGATGGGGAGTATGGAGGGGTGGCTTGGTGTGAGGTCGTTGAGGACGCTGGAGTTGAGGGTCAAGAGGCAGTCTGAGTCGGCGACGAAGCTGGTTGCGTGGCTTGATGGGGAGATTCGCGGGAATCCGGGGGGGTTGGTGGGGAGTGTTGTGGACAAGGTGCAGCACGCGAGTTTGCAGAGCAAGGATTTGGAGGGCGGGGAGGAAGGGTCGTGGTTGAGGAAGCAGATGCCGGGTGGGTTTGGGCCCGTGTTTGCGTTGTTGTTGCGGGATGAGGGGGATGCGAAGAGGTTGCCTAGCAAGATGGGGTTGTTCCATCATGCTACGTCGCTTGGGGGTGTTGAGAGTCTTATTGAGTGGCGGGCGATGAGCGATAGTGGGTGTAGTAAGAGGTTATTGCGGGTGAGTGTTGGTGTGGAAGGGTGGGAGGATTTGAGGGATGATTTGGTTCAGGGATTTGATGCTTTGGTGGAGGAGAAGAAGAGGAGGGTTTAAGGGGGTGAGGTTTGAAGGCTTCAGCTTTGGGTTTGGTGATGATTTGAAAGACGTCGATATGGTGCTGCTTAGATGGGGATCATGATAGAGGGTCTTTACCTTGACAGGAGATGGCTCAAGAAAGACTTATGTTGCGGTCCATGTTCATACAATACAAGCATTCTCAGGTGGGATGAGGAATAACTGAGTGTAATAGACGCTGGTTTCTCGTGAACTCACAACTCTTCAATGTATACTCAGTCATGTATGACTTGTTTCTTTCTACTCGCCTTCACAAAACGTTATCAGGCCGCAATCAAATGTAAGCTACTGGCGTTCCACGAAGTCTTCCTGCATGGCGTCCAAAGAGTAAGTATCGATGCAGTGATCGGTGGCGTGTAACACAAGAAGGACCTCTCCTTACAAAGTTAACTTTTCTGATAGGCTTCTCAATTGTCACAATATCCTTGAAGGCCAATATGTGAAGCAATCGAGCCGGTCTATTGCATTCTAGAAACCTTATAAGCCATCGAAGCCAATGTCTAAAACACTAGCAACAGCAAGTATAGGAATCTAATGAGCTAGAGACCGCAATCTGCCAAAAAAAAAAAAAAAAAAAGCAAAGCAGGGTATCTGGCCCAACATCCCAAAGCAGCCCCAAAGCAGTCTCAATCTAGTCTCTCGAGTCATTATCCGGATTTCATCCTTCACCGTACCCTCAAAGCAGGATATCCAACGATCCATCCTTGTTCATGCAGCCTGCCAGCTTATATCTGGTCGACTCAAGCCTTTGTTCTCACAATTAGCTACTTCTGCCTTGGGTTGCGCTGGGGGGCACATGAAAGCACTAGGAAGAACTTACGTGAACTGGACTGATCCGGTAACCATGCAGCGGCATGCATCGCAGTACTTTCTGATAATCTTCTGATTCTTCTCTCCAGCGGCTTCCTCAAGGACGGAGGTGGCAAGCTCAAAGATGGCGACAGAGTCCTGGAGCTCAGTGAGAAGGGTGTCGACAGCCTGCTGGAGCGATTTGCCTTCACCCATGAGGATGGGTACGGCGTTCACGACGCTCTCTGCCTTGGCCTCATCTTGGGGCTATGTGAGAATGTTAGTTAATATTCGTTCTTTAGTGGATATGTGGTTTTTTGTTTACTTACAATCTCTTTCTTGAGAGAAAGTATATCGTTGGTACTGTAAGTAAATTAGCATTTGCCCTTCGTTATGTTTACTTAGTATCCACGTACATCCAGATGCCTCTGCTGGTCTCCTCCCAGATAGTCTGGACCTCTTTCATGTAACGAATGTGCTCTGGCATGTTCTCTCCCAAACTGTACCTAAGTCCCGAAATGTTAGACTTTGTTCCTTAATCTTAATAAGTCTGACATGGTACTGACTCGATGAGCGCGCAAAGCGTCCACACTGCGGCCGTTCCATGACGGAGCTCTGAGTACGTCTGGATGTCGGGCAAGTCGCCCTGGAGACGCATGGCTTGCTCTTTGTGGCAGTTTTTTATGTATCGCTTCATCTGGTTCATGAAAGTTTGTCTCTGCTCTTTTGATCAATATTAGTGCGACTGCTGTTGGTTGTTCACAATTGACACATCGACTTACCACGGGTGTACGCCTTCAGCAACTGGGCTCCGATTGCCTTCAACTCAGTATTGGCATGATCATACTGTATCACCGAGCCATCATCGAAGCTGAGATCGAGCACATGCTCCAGCACTATTATCGTATTGTCGTGACGAGTCTTGGCGCGAAGAAGATCACTACTCAGGTCGTCGCTGCCCTGTTGGTCGATCGCATCGTCCCAGCAGAAGAGCCAGATGATGTAGAGTGCCAGCGTCTGGACCTGTTCCCAATCTGGGTGAGGGTAATACCTGTGTCGAAGAATTAGACTAGAGTTGTGGGAAGTCAGGAGGTCGGTGGATCGGGCTTACAAGCTGACGAATCTGGCGTAGTTGGCCTCCCGGTATTTCTCACGGAGAAGGGGCGACTTGATGAGCCTTGGTGAATAGAATTTGTGAGAAGATCGTTATTTCTTCCTGTAGGTTGATAGGGGGGATTGTCTTACCGGTCAAACGCTTCCTCGACGATGGGAATCATGCGCTTATAGTGAGGATTGGTCTTTTTGACCGGCCATCCTTTGAAGATGTCATAGAGATTCGGGACGTGAAGGGTCTGCCCCTTGAGGGCCTTTACGACAGCCTGGGAACCTGAAGTTTGCTTGTCCATTGGAGTTTGCTTGTCTGTCAGGTCATTGGCGGAGTGTGTTGGTGGGAAGTTTGCTTTGTTTGCGTCAGTGGGACCAGGGCAGCAGTCGTCCGGACAGAACGGAAAGATAAGCTGGTCAGGGTGCATCCTGACTGTGCCGTAGTTCCGATTACCTTTATTTGTATATGCCAAAGAAAAACCCCAAATACTGGTTGGTATGCGTTCTTTTCCCCTCTTACACTATCGTTGAGGATGAGGGTCAGGGTGGCGGTGGTGAAGGGGAGAGAGGAAGTCTACTCGAAATCTCCGCAGACGGAATTAAATACTCACCGATTGAGTGAGTTATAAGAGGAAGTTTCTAGTTCAGAGATAAAGAGGAAGGGACGAGCAAATTATGGAGTCGCATAACATGAGATGGAATACGTCGAGGAGGGCCAGGAGTATCTCAAGAATGAGGGCCTCCAGTGCCCTTATATTCAGGCCCAGGGCCTCATTCGTCAACCAAGCCCAATCGATCTCCATGGTCGAGCGGTATAACGCCCTGGTCCGTTAGTAAAGAACTTGGTGATGAAATCCTGAGAAGTCTTCTCAGATGGAGGATTTCGTAGGGTGCGCAGTTCGATTCCCGAACTGCGCACTTGAGCTTTTGACTTTTTGGCCCTTTTTTCTACAGTAGACCTTTCTAACTTGTCTCGTTGAATTTATACTTAGTAGATAATCCGTTATTACCAAGAAATCCTAGATCTTGTAAAATTGCTTGATGGGCAAACCTTTGCTGTTTGAGGTTTGCACCGTTGAGGATGGATACTGCTCCTTCCCTTTGAGGTTTGGGGGAAACGACTGACTGATTTCGGCCCTGGAGCCTCTGGCACACCTATTTCGGTGCTACCCTCTCGTGTCCGTTGGAAAGGTGGCGTCTAAGGTCGTTGGAAAGTGCTGAATATAATTGTCCTCTGTTCAAGGCCATATGCTTCGCCGCCACAAAGTACTGAACCGTGGCTCGCTTCATGAACTGCCACTTTCGACCCATGAGCATTCTGTCAACTACAAAGAAAATAGAAGCGATCCAACATGATATAGATACCATGGGACTGCGCCAAAATCATTTGTAGGCGACAAGCGTAGCGAGTTTCTAGCCTATCACCATCATAAACCCAAGAACAATATCAAACGAGAGCTATGAATAGCTTGGCATTCGACAAAAATTGAGCAATGACTATCGTTACGAAGTTCAGCAGCATGTGGCAGCTTCTAATGCGAAGCAATGAAACCATGTGAGTGGGGATTTAGAGATACTCGGACAAGTTTACGGGGATCTGTCGAGGACAAAAAGGCCGCGAGAGATGTCGTGGCGAACCAGTTTTCGCTCTCACTGACGGCTAATAGCATAAGATTGACAACCTCTATCGTACAAAGATCTGCCAGGCTCTACAACGGCACCAATACATGGCGCCTTACCCCCTTCGGCTCGGTCGCGAATCGCCCAATCGACTCCCTCCGAGCCCTTGCTGTCTCACGAGGTGTCACCTAGGTCTCGTAGAACATCTTTGTGTCGCCGTACTGAAACAAGCGAATGTTGGAGGGGGCCATGCCTCATCAATCCACAAAGCAGCGAGCCTGTTACGCTCGATCATGCAGCGACCCGTTCCTTTGTACGCCGTAGCCTCGAGGCGAGACTCCTCGTCATGTTTAAGCTATTATGGGCAACGTGGTATTACACCGCATTGGCCTAGGCAATGATGGCGCGGTCATGATGCTCCGCATCCCCGGCGGCTCCATGCTGCTGTCGAGACCAGCTCTGACCGCGGACTCACACGGTTTCCGAAGTCGCCGATACCCCTCATTTGAAGATTGGTTGCGCACGTGAGCCTCGAAGCGGTCTAGGGCTGGACACGGGTTGCGTATGTGCACTGTTGCAGTTGGTTTTCTTCGTCATGGTTTGGATGATTGATGCTCTTTCTCTCCCTCAATACGTCCCTCACTTGTCTGGATCGACTTCCTTGAGTAGTTCCGTGAGATTGAGAATCCTATAGCCCCGTTTTTTCAGCTCCGGAAGTACCTTACGTAGCATGGGAATGGTCCAACTCCTTCTATCGTGGCATATGATGATAGCTCCTGGACGGGCCATGCTCAAGATATGGTTGGCATTCGTCCGCCAAGAACTGATCTGGGCATCGTGTGGGTAAACACTGCCCAGGACCATCCTGTATCCCAGCTTGTCCACTAGCCTCCGCATCTTGTTGCTGAAGAATCCAGAACCCGGACGGAAATACCCAGCCACAAGGGCCTTATCCTCGTACTCGTATGCAATTTTGATCTTCCGCCTGACCTCGAATATGTCCGATTCCAACTGTTCCATAGGGAGGGACCGCGAAGCTTCGTCGTGCATGCCGTGATTCCCCAGCTCGCTGCCGGACTGAATTATGGCGCCCGTATCTTCCTCGCGACCGTTCATCTGGGATCCAATGAGGAAAAAGGTCGCATGTGCATCGTTCTCCTTCAAGACGTTGAGGATATCGGCCGTATGCTGTGATGGCGCGTCATCAATCGTGAGGCCGATGATCTTCTGGTCCGTCTTGACCTGCCATAGTACGTCGGGCCATTTTCGCGCAAAGTAGTTGATAACAAACGGAGGTGGTTTGTAGATGATGTAGAAGGGGACGACCAGCAGGACGGCCAGGGCGAAGAGAGCCAGCAGGGTGGCCATTCGGTTCCTCCGCACACGCCGGCGAAGCTTGTTGGGAAATCGGAAGAGCGTTAATCGTGCCATTGACCATCTATTCACCACCTTTGGGTTTGTCGTCGAAGAGTGAAGAAGACGGGAGGCATTGTCGAGACATTCAGGTTTTGGTGGTGGGTGAAACAAAACGAAACCAAGTCGAGTCCAGGCGCACAGCTTCATCGTAGCTACCACAGGGGTCGCTTCCAAATCCACGACCCCTTGGGAAACTGTGGCTGGTGGTGGCTTCTACCTGGCACCTGGATAGGTCCATGTGGCTGACACCAATCAGCAGTCGCAACCCATGGAAGTCCTTCCCGGCGAATTCGGTCCACTTGCTGACCTCCACCAATGCCCCGCACCCCGGTCTTCAACTCTACCTTATTCTTGACGACTTCCATTGCCAAGTCATGCCGTTTATTCCAACGTCTATGTCAGAGCACCAACACCAAAGTCCCATCCTGCCGACCGTTTTCAGCCCAGTTCTCACTCACAAGCGAATCTAGCAAGGAATGGAAATGCTCTCAATGGCTGGCTTGCACCTCGAGACCTTACCCTTTTCGTTTGTCACGACAAGTTCTGTACGCCCACTCTAGGCTGCACGATAATCATCCCGGCACAGGCAGCTATCAAACCAGGATGATCGTTAGCCACCATCGAAAGATGAGCCCAGAAATGGACATCTGCTTCTGAAATCTTTCTTGTTCGAAAGGCTTTAGAAGCCCCAAAGAGGATTTTGCTGCTATTCAACGCTGTTCCCATGGTCCTCGCTAGCTGTTGGCCACAGGGCCCTCGCATTCGAACACCTCATATCCCTCCCAGATACGGTGCGGTTTTGAAGAGACCCAAATACCCAACTTTTGTCAAGCGGCGATCTCGAACGTTTCTGAGGTGTGCCTGATCATGTGATGGTCAACTCCGGCACCGTCCTTGAAGTCCTCACCGCCGTCGGGGACGGAGCATGTTGCAAAGTATTCCGTATCCAGCGGGACTCTCAATTTCGTTGCCTAGCTGCTTTTTAGTTCTGGACCTCAGATCCTTTCAGTTGCCACACATGAGCTTCAAGTTTCTTGCTCGAAACGGATCTCAACGAAGCAGGCTCTGTCAGGCTGCTGACAATTACTGCAGAAATATGGCCTCGCGATCGGTCACATGCTTCGATCCCAAGAAGGCAGCATAGTAACCGCTTCTCAGCGCGCTAGTCGCCCTTACATACCCTCCATCATGTCTTCCAGAAGCGCAGTCGAGTATCTAGATCCAGCAGACAACATATCGGGCACACCATGAGCATAGGGCTGGTATAAGGCCGCAGGTTGACCCCCCCGAGGCCGATTCCGGATGTCCCGTCTCACAGCAGGTTCAAAAGTCCATCCTCTCTTTATGGCCATCTGTGAATCATGTTTACTCGGCAAGGCAACACTCAAACCATTATCTGGATCGCGGAGGGCCGGTCGTTGGCACATCCTCACGGATCCTCCGCAGCACCTTATCCATCCTCCTGGGAAAGAAATAAGCTTGTAGAGCTCCCGCAACGGCAAGGACAGACTTGCCGGGCTCTCTGTTGACACTATCCAGGATGTGAAAAGCTCTCGTGGGGCACATCCAGGCTTCCAAATTCGGCTTCCACAAAGTCCCTCCTCGGGCGGCCGCTCAGGGACCATGCCGTTTACTGCAACATTCGATCTCTTATTAACCACAGCCCGGGCCCAATGAAAGATGATACCGTTAGCCATTGTCATACAAATGTACCGAGCTCAATTTGAATTCCCAAATCCAGCCGGAACCAAGACTTACACGCCGTCATCTCAAGTGTTATCGTGCTCAGCTCGCTCAATCAAATACATGACCTCGCCTGCGTCATCTTGCCCAGATATCTGGAAGAGGAAGAGTCACGAGATATATCACCATGCTCTCGAGTCCTTTCCAAACGACAAATCTCTTTCTGATTTTCTCTTATACAAGGGCAATCGCGACCATTTGAACGCCATATCTCACTGGACGAGCGCGTCGGAGGAAAAGGTGCTGGGCGAGCGAGACATTGACGCTTGGCTCGACCAACAAGAGGATAAATCGACCACCGCCACCATTCTTGATACTGTCGACGGTTTTGATTTCGGGTCCGTCTCTGAGTACAATACCTCGACGCAACCCAGCAGCCCTGGTACGAGTAGCCAAGCATCGCCTAGCAAAAGGCCACGACGAGATGAGCCGCGGCAGCAAGGGGATGTGCCGCATACCCTTCGCGAGGTGGGGGCATTCGCAGACAGTTCAGTCTTCTCCGGAGAAGAAGAAGAAGAAGAAGAAGAAGCGGTGAGTAGTCCTCGAGCCAATGTAATCAGTCCAGGCAGATAGCTCATGACCCTCACAGGACGGCGAAATCGAGACATAGGCCATTGTCAGGCTGGTTCAACAATTGGCTTTAGTGTGTGGGCTGCTTTCAGTGTATATAGGTCTGCGATATAGAGTACTCGCCGCATTAGCACAGCGGCGCTGATGAGGCTTGGTAAACGGAGTTCCATTGGCGCATAGCAGAAGCAAATTAAAGATACCCAGCTTTGCTTTCCTCCTATTCATTACCTACTACTCAGAAGAATGCGGGCCAGGAACCCGAACGTCAATTCGGCAGTGCTAGCATTCCCAACGGAACTTCAGCATCAATAGGATGGCTGGCCATTGACTTGCATCCCTCTTTATTTGAGTTCAAGCAACGCTCTTGAAGACCGTTGCCGCGCCCGTTATGTCGCAACGGGTGGAGGGGCTGGCAGCGTCAAAAGTGCCGAGGGGTCCGCTCCGAGGCTTCCGAGTCTTCACTTCCAGTCCGGCCCCGTACCTCGGGGGGAGCATCCCGAAACATCGGGTCCAAACTCTGATCAGTGGGAGTACATACGATTTGACGAAAGGGAAGATCCCAGCCTCGATCCGGCCTGTCGGCACCACTCACACGATCAGACCTGGGGGGCAGCCATCCGTTCAATGCGTTGAGAGATGTGACGAACAGTTGGGGGAAGCTGTGCTCATGGTTCGAACACTTTTGAAAATTCGCTTTCGAATCTGACCAGGCGGTGATGTTCGTAGCATCTCGCAATTTCGTAACAGATCGAGCACGGGGACCCTGAGATCTCCGAATCTGCGGCAACTGCGGCATGTCGACGCGTCGGAGACTTGATGATCGCCCAATGCATGAAGACAAAGAGCCGCATCACATACATTTTCGTCAACGGCACAGGAAATGCCCATTCCACTACCCCATTTTGTCCAATGCCAGGAGAGCGGGAGGGGTGGGGGGGGAATAGGGGCATTTCCAGCAATAGGAGGAATTCTATGCCGTGTAGTGTATCCACAAGACAGGTTTCGAACAGCCGAAATCTCCCGGGGGGGGGCCGGCCGCAGTTACTCGCCGATCCTGGCCTCCGATCAAACACCCTGCCGTCCTCACGGCGGCGATCAACGGGGGACGCCAACACACGGCCCCAGCTCGCCTTACCGTATCGTCGTGCCGTCCTGGGCTCCTGGCAGCCCGATCCCCTCCTTTCGCTTGCTGGTCTGCATCATTCATGCGGGCTAGCACCCTGGACGAAGATCAAACGAAACGAACGGGGCGGGGTCCCCAGGCCCCATTGGACGACAAAGGACGGAGCAAGGATTAAGAAGCCCATTCTTGGCATTCCATTAACTTGGGGGAGAACCATCGTCAAATCACACCAGGGGAGGTAAATGGGAAAAGGAAAAGACCCCACTCTTCTCATATATGTGAAATGGCAATGACGTCCCGTCCTCTTCGGTTCGTGCCCTTTCTTTTTCTTTCTTCAGTGCAAGCCAAGGCCCGAGATCGCTATGTCTATATCTATGTTCGTAGTGAAAGTTGTCATGGCTACGCCTGGAACAGGTTTCTCCATGATTTCTTCTACCGAGACGAAAAAAGGGCGCAAAGACGATACTGTGGCTTGGTAGTAAACTTCGTCGTCCCAAGACACCATGAAGACGGGGGACCCACCTGATCCCCTTATTCGCATCTCTCTGGGCCGTGAGATAGCCAGGGACAAACAAGCTGGAAGCAAGCAACTTGTGATGGCAAGACGGGCCAGGGTGGTAAAGCAAAGTATCCCACCTCATTGACTGCTTCAACGAAGAGTATCATCACGTGTGTAAACCATAAGACCCGACAGGCCGTCACATGGCATCAACGTCGCAGTCGTCAATCGGACAGACATTTCCATAGGTAAGATGCACACTCCCGTCACCGAATGACATACCAAACCATCTAACCATCCCCCACCCGGGGCCCATCTCCCGCCGTCCACAAACGGGACCCATTCCTCCGCACCCACCACCATCACCATCACCATCTTCTCCCTTCCCTCACCCCCAATCATCAACACCCAAGAGAGACAAATGATGCATCCATCGAAAGGGTACGTCTGGTGTCGTCTCACAAACTCCAGTTGGCCAGGAAGCCGGATCCAGATGCAAGACAATATGCAACAAAACTTTGGTGAAAATCCCCATGAACACTGCCGCCCCCTTGCCCGCCGCTCTCCCCCCGGCGACGTGCCGACGATCCTTCCGTCTTGGGGCGGGAACACCGAACCAGAACCAAAAAAAAACTGACAAAATCCACATTGGATATCATTCAGATGATCAGATTCACGTACTCCGTACTACGTACAGCCTCTCTCTCAAGAGCACAAGGGCAATTACGTATACCTTCGCTGTTGCCGTTTGCTACAGACAGTCATCCGGTATCGTCGACATCCCCGAAAAAATGGCGTCCCATAGACCCGGAACATAAAATTTCCTCTTCACTATTCCTTTGTGCTAAATGCAATTTTTCCCCCCCCCATAACAAAGGGATGAACAGAGGGCAAAAAAAAAAAAAAAAAAAAAAAAAAAAAAAAAAGGGCGTTGGCGTAGGTTCATCGGTCGGGAGCACTAACTCAAGCAAGGAAAAAAGATGCGGATAGACCGCCACCGGCGACGCCGTCTCCGATAGCTCGGTCTGGCGGACGGTGGAGCTAAACCCGTCTTGCCTGCATCCCGCGCCCTCTCTCACCAAAAGTTACTAGGTAGACCTTATTGCCTACCGGTTTTCTGACCAAGGGTTTGCTAGAGATTATTCTTTGGTTGTGCGTTGCATAATCGTTCATCTGTTCATACACCGTTTTCTGACCAGTCTGTGGGTTTTTGGCATTCGAGGCTATTGCTTGTTCATCTCATCCGATAATATAAAGGCACGGATGAAATGAAGGCAGATCATCAGGCGAAATAAGGTCAGCACCTTGGGTAAATAAACCTGGACAGGCTGCAGCGCACGGGTGGCTTCATGCAGCGGTAAACTCTGGGTCAACCAGCACGGACTGCGTGGCACTCATCAATACAAGTCATGTCACACTCGAGGCTCAATAAACACATGCTGCAGAGATGGGGGGGTAGCTAGTTATCAATAGCAATATTGGTAGATGCCTCTATATGAGGCACTATCGGAGGATATCCACACGTAATTCAAAGGTATATACACAGAAACGCCAATTATCCCGTATGTAGTTGGGCGTCAGGTTCCAAACAGAGCAATCTCCCTCCGTTTCGCGAAGTGTCCGCTCCATGTGAGGCTGTTGTTGTCTGAGCCAGGTCTCATTTTCATCATCTTCCTTCCCAAGAAAAAAAGGCCGAGGTCGTAGTCAGGTTGTTTTTTTGCTTCCTGCAAGTATGTACAAAGAAGAGTTTTTGAGTAAGGCGCGCCAAACTGGCTGTAAAAACGATCAACGCATCAGATCCATGCGGCGGCAGCCATGGGACGTTGGGGTGCGTGGCTGTCGTGGAAGAAGCTGGCGAAGATGCTTTGGACCTCCGTCAAGTAGTCCTCGGCAGCGAACTTGCAGAGACCCTCCGCCTTGAGGGCACGTTCCTCCTCGTACATGACATCGTCCTTGATGCCAAACTCCTCTGCAATTTCCGTAACCTGGGCCAACTCGCGGCCGAAGGGGTGCGGCTCAGCAGGCTTCTCGTGTCTCGGCTGGTGGTGATGCTGGAATGCGGGCGTGGGCATAGGCGGCACAGGGGTCTTGAGAGCGGGGGCGACTGAGCTGTGAGACATGGTAGAGGCGGAGCTGGAACCCGATGACGCTCGTGAGAAAGTCATGCTGGCCTTTGAGGAAACGGTCTTGTCGGAAGCCTTGGACATCTGGGAGACTGAGCGCTGGCGGGCGACGGCGTCGTATGAGGCCTGCTTCGTGTGCGAGGGTGCGCGCTTGGGAATGGAAGGAATGGCGGGGACTTCAGGGATCGAAGAGTTGACAGCCTGACCTGGCGCGACAAAGTAGCAGGAAAGGTGGTTTGGCTCCTTGGACAGCTCGTGAGGCGCGACGTCGGGGCTGGTCGGCGGGGACGATGCGGCGGAGTTGGCGCTTTCCGAATCCTCCTCTGACGACTTCCTGGACGAGTTGCTCGAGGCATCGGTTCCGGTTCTGGGTCGAATATCGGGAGCGTTATATGAGAGCATGTTGGTGGTGTGAACAAGCTCCATGGGCGCAGAGATCTTGTGTCTGATGACGGGGTGCTTGGTGGTCTTGCTTCGCTGCATGATGTTGCTACGCTCCTTCCCCCGCGCGGCGTCGGAGAGATCGATGCTCTGCTTGACCCGACGGGTAGTGAAGGCTCGTGAGAGAGACGACATGGTGATGGTTGTTGAATTTGGCTGTGGGAAGACGTGGAGCAAAACGCTAGGCCTTGCTGATTATGTAGGTGAGCTTGAGTTAAGTAGCGGAACGCAAGTGCTTGATCCGGGAGCAAGAGCCTGTTGTGCAGTGACGGACTGTGAAGAGCGGCAGGTGGTGGTGATAAAAAGTGCTTGAGGCTGCAGTTGTGATTGGACCTGTGACCTTTACTGGCCGTGTGAGGTGGATCTTGTGCTGCAAGACAGTTGCAGTCAAGTGAGCAGCAGGGAAGTGATGCCGAAAAAAGGTGAATGGGGGCGGTCACCGAGAGGATCTGCCGAGGGATTGATTGTTGGAGTGATGGTGTGCTTGTGTGTCCGTCTATCCACGGTGATGATGACGAGAAGCGAGACAAGTGATTAAGACGACGGGCTGGCCGTGATGGATTATCCTGCGCAAGAGTTGCGTTGTGTTGCTATTCGTCCGAGACAATAGGTGAGGAGTCCAGTCCTGGAGTACTTTGGGAGTACGATGAGTCGGCGTCGATTCGGTCAAGACTTGATATTGTTGCTGTGTGAGCTGCGATGAGTCTTGGGGTGACTCAGTGTGATGGGGTTGATGAAATGATTGTGAGTGATACAGATCAACTTTGGGGTTGATCCAGGTTTCGTTCGTGTGTAATGACGAACGGTTCAGTGCAGGAGCTTAGCCGAAAAGGAACGTTCAACGTGTCGGGTGATATTTGAAGAGATAGGTAGAGAGTTGTGGGTGGTTTCTGCCGTACAAGTTCGAGCCCGCGACAAAGGTGAAATGGTTTCGAGTACTCCGGGAAAGGGAGAACGTCTAGAGGAAAGGTGAGAATAGAAACAAGACACAACACAAAGGGAGCGATGATGTGTTTGCTGGAGCAGAAGCGAAAGGGACAGGATCCTTTTTCCAATATGGGGGAATGGAACAGGTTGAGGAGAAGGAAAAGAGAGAAGAGAGGGTGCGTCAAATGGCAGACCAGGGCCGGGCGTGTGGGAGTAATAATTGAATATTGCAGGTGCAAGCCGCACAGCGATCTTCTCTATGGTATGGTAAGGTAGCACCGGTACAGAGTACTTCGTAGCTCTTTCCCTTTCTCTCTCTCTCCTGCTCTCTGCTCGCTTTCCTCTCTCTCTTTCTCGCAACCTTGACCCGGGCCTGATTCCTGGCCGAAAAAAAGGATGAATGGGGCTCGGGTCCCTTTGGTACCTGGGGGATGTCGCTCTTTGATTGCCCTATCGCCCATTCTGGTTGGCTCTCGACGGCCTTCCCTCGCAGGGACTGGAGCCAACGACTGGAGACTGCCACTTGCGGGTGGACAAGAATTACTGGCGCCATCCGCCATGCCGCCATGCCTGCCGTCTTTCCTTTTCGCTTCACCAGTGCTCCCCTGGTCGACGGTGGGACTTGGCGAACTGAAAGGGAAAGGCTCCCTTGCTCCTCACAGTGTCTCCCGCTAAGGCCCGAAAGAGATGGTCTCTGCACCAATGACAGTGTGTGTTTGTGACGAACCCCTGGCCCTTTCTCTTTTTTCCTTTTCTCCACTTTCCTCCAATGTATCCCTCGGTACGTACCAATTATTCCACGGTCAACTTTTTGGCCGTCCAGTGCCACTCTGTTGAGTCTTCCGTCACTCACTTCCGTCCCCTTTCAGTCCATCATCCATGCCGCTGTCCACTGTTCAATTTGAGTGTGTGCTGGCTTTGGCCCACGACCCTCCATTTATTGGGAAGAGGATGCAACCATGTGTCTGCCGGGCTTGCTGCGTGACAACCGCCGCCCATCCACCCGCCAAGAAACATTTGGTTGGCACGACTCGAACGGCGGCATGGCACATGGATCGATGCCAATCGTCAGCCCAAAGTTCAAACAAACCGTCGACAGTCGACCCAATCTTGCCGCCACCAAAGGGGGATCATGGATGATGGATGCGATGATATGCCTTCTAGAAAGAATGCCCAACATCGTCAGACCAGCACACCCGAGACCAGTCCGGCGCGTCACTCGTTTTCCTTTGACACCTCTTCCGAGCCGTTGCCATCGCTTTTGTCGGCCTCATTGGATCCTTCACTCTTAGGCCATATTCATACATCCACACACTGTCGACGGACCGACATCGTTGATACACTACGTCCAATGCAGCGACTGCTGCGTCCACTTACGTATCTGCACCTCGCCAATTGTACAAGCGTCGGCCTGCGACCGCCATGTGTTCTATGCCGTGTCGCCTCTGCATGGTTTACGGGCAACGAACTCCTGGTCGGCACACAAAAGAAAGTAGCTGTCGTGTATCCGGATGGACGGTTCATATCCAAGTCTTCCACCGCGGCCACCACCAACGGAGCATTAGAGGAGGGACCGGTCCTCTTATTAATCTACATAATCGCCAATCCACCGGCACCTCGATCAACTCGTGGGCCCCGACGGACGCCGACCCACCAACTTTGAGCGATTCGCACGCGGCACCGCTCACATCCTGGAAGAAGATTGTGTGATTCAAGATGGGCGAGCCGCGGCGCATCGTCAACCTGCCAGGTTTCTCCGGGAAGCCATCATCATCCCTGTCTGAACAGTGTGATGTGATCCGCCGCGGACGGAGGGAAAAAAAGAAGGGCTGGACTGTTGTAAAGATGTGGGTTTCTTCACCGTTCGACCAGTGATTGGAGTCGACGCCTCCAAGAATCAAGACAGCGTCAACTAAAAAGCCCAACAGCCGAGAAAGGTCTCGTGGCCGGTGGTTCCCGCCCGTCCCCAGCGGTAGCTCGACTCTGTTCGACCAGACGGAGGCAGAGGCGTCATTGGCTGGGTGTTCCGTCCGCCATCCTCGCCCGTTGGCAGGCCCCCCTGAAGTTTCACTGTTTCATCCTGCGCCATCCCATCCCAGTGGCGCCGTGTGCCTTGCGTGCCTGCGCAAGCCGAACGGGGATCCATGTCGACGCTCATGGCCCATCACTAGTCAGCGCTCCTTGCGCACTTGGGCCCAGCGATTTCACTCGCCCATCCGCCCCCGCAACACACAACTCTCTGCTGCCCTTGCGCATCTTCCAGGGGAATTGCTTTGTGGTGGTGTGGGAACCAGTCGATCAGGAACTGCCTTTTTCTCACCTTGCTGCTTGTGGGAGGCAAAGACGTTTGGTCTAGAAGCCAGGGGAAATCCCTCAGCGACGTCAAGTCTACGATCTACATAGGACGTTGGCGTCGTTGTCTGGCGACGTTCTCGCCATTTACGATCGCTCTGCCATGGCTCTGCTGACTGAGTCTGCTCGTGCTCATCACGGACACTCGGAGGACAAAAACAAAGATTGCATCTGCGAACAGACGTAGAGCAATATCCGGGCTGGCTCTTAGCCCAGATCTGATATTGGCCAACCACCTCCTTCATTATGTGTACGCATGAAGATGTCAGGCTGTTGCCGCTCCCCCCTCCACGCTTTGTTCATGCTTAATTAGCGAGTCTCCCACCCTATCACGACACTAACAGTCCATCGCAGTGGTCGACTGTGGTGAACAACCTTTGGGGGCCACGCAGTCGTGGTTTCACCCGCCTACGTTTAGCCACTTCAGATATATCAGTCTCTGACGATGCGGTCCTCACCAACAATTTTCCCGGTTTGAGCCCATTGTTTGACGGTCTTGGCTATATGTGTCTACGAGACTAATGTGGCCCATGCTTCATGCTGTTCAGACGACGGCATTTAACTTCGGTCGACTTGAGACTAACTTCTACACTGAAAGGCTGTTCTCCACCTGATTGATACAGGTCGTCTCCTTCCACCGTTTTCAACGGCGCCGGCCCAGAGTCGTCATCATCAGTGTGATGTTTGTGGCCTACTGCCTTCTAAGTTCTGGGCTGGCGCCGGAGACTACTTGGGCCTGCTGTTTCGATCTATCTGGCCAAGCCTGCGGGGAAAATTCCCCTGGCGATCTTGGACCAGACAGCGAGCAGGCTACATCTCACAACACATGTGAAAGGCCCACCATCCATGTTGATTAGCGTCTACCCTAGTCCTCGTCCTCGTCCATTGAATCGCCATCCTGCTCGCCCTCCTCTCCTTCGTCCTCGCTAGAGCTGCTGTCATCGTCGAGAACGCCAACAAGACGGTCTTCCTCGACGCCCTCCGGCTTTTGCGGGACACGCTCAGCGAACGCGTGTCGAACGGCGGCGTTGGTGCTAGTGTCCCACACATGCATGGTTCCACGGCTGCCAGCAACGGCAAGTCTGAAAGCCACCTCGGAATCGGGCGCAAACTGCGTCGAGAAGATCTTACCAACGTCCAGGTTGCGGGAAACAACCATGGAGGGGCCGCTGGCCTGGATGTTCCACAGCTTCACAGTCTTGTCCGTTGAGCCAGTGGCCATGAAGCCGGGCACGATGGGGTTGATGTCGAAGGACGACACAGACTCGTCGTGTGCCTGCAAGGTCCATACGGCCTTGGTCGCCTCGGGGGTTGACGGCGCATTGCGAATATCGTTGAAGTGGATGATTCCGTTTTCCGTGGAGACGTAGAAGTAGTTGGGGTCGTGGGGGTCCCAGCGAATGTTCTCGACGTCGCTCTCGACACCCCATCTGGGGGCCTTGGCCTCGGGAGCTCTCATGTCTGCGGCGACGACCGTTCTGTCGTAGCTGCCACTCAGCAGCACGGTGGACTCGACCGAGTGCCACGCGAGAGAGCACACCTTGTCCGTGTGGTAGGTGTATGACTTGGCGCACTTGGCCGTGTGCAAGTCCCAAAGCTTCACCGTCTTGTCTGCGGAGGCTGAGGCCAGCAGGTTCCTGTGTTTCCTGTTCGCGGCAAGGGCGAGGACTGCGTCGACGTGGTACTCATCGTTGGCCTTCTTGGCCTTCTTCTTCTTCTTTTGCTTCTTCTTCTCCTCTGAGCCCTCGCCGGCCTGGCCGAGGATGGCGTTGGGGTACAGGGAGTCCACCGTGTCGAGATCCCAGACCTCGATATCGGGGTCCATGGTGCCGATGGCGACAAAGTTGGCCGTCGAGTCCTTGTCAACGCCGGCCTTTTGAACGGGGATGTCGAGCCACTCGACGCAAAGAGGTATCGCGGGCAGCATGATGTCGTGGTGAACGTAGAGGTTGTCGGCGGCGTCCTCGTAGACGTAGACCTCGAGGTGGGCCATCTCGTCCTCGACCTTGGCCGCGAGCAGGAGGTTGTCGGTCGCGAGGATCTGCAGGTCCTCGCGGTCCTCGTCGTCGTCGTCCGGTCCGCCGTTGGCGGGCAGGGTGATGTACGGGTCATCCTTATTCGATTCGTAGTAGGCTAGCGACTTGATGTTGCCAAACATGGCCATGCCCTCGCCCTGGCCGACCTTTTCCTCGTCCTCTTCGTCGGTATCGTCGTAGTGCTCGAGGTCGTACTCCTTCAGATCGTCGTCGTTGATGTCGACCCTACAAGGAAAAAGTCCAGTGTTAGCTAACCAATGTACAATCTGCGAAACCCCCCCCCCCCCCGCTCGGCGAGAGGGTTGGTTTAATAAGTCAAGAACTAACTGCTCGGCCTTCTTGCCAGAGGCGCCTGTTGTCGCATCCTCGTCGGCGGGCTTGTCGGCGCCCTCCTCCTCGTCCTGCGCCTCCCTCAGGTCCTCTTCCGCGTCGTCCAGCTGGAGCTTGGCGAGTTCGGCGATGCGCTCGTACTCGGACTCGTCAAAGGTGTATTTTGAGGGGAAAGGTGCCGCGAAGCCTCGGGGCACCCAGGTTGATGTTGTGATCATGGACATCTTGAAGACGGCTTCAAAAAGGTCACTTGTGGTTGGGGTATCTTGCGCGCTTCCAAATGCACGCAGAAAGTCGAAGTTGGCAGAGAAATTGCACAACTTGGTAAATATTTGAGATTTTCGACTGCGGGAAGTCGAGTCGGTATGCGCAAAGCGAATTCTTCAACAGCCGCCGACTCTCAACGACCAAGAAAAAAAAATTCCCGTCGTGGTGGGGTTTATCTTATCTGGTTCTTATCGATAAGAAGCCCCCGAAGATCTTGTGCCAGGCTTCCAACTCGCTCGTAGCTGGCTAAGGTAACTCATGCATGCTTCAATTTGCAGCGGTTTACCAAATAAGCCAAATGAGGCACGAAGACTCTCAAGATTCTGCTATTTGATTGTTTCTCCAGGAAATCGAAAGCATCAGCGGACAGCATTGTGTGTTCCAACTGGAGGTCAAGTTCAAGCTGCGTTCATTGCATTATCGGACCTATCAGTGACGTCTGTTATGGATATACACATAAGGCCAGACCCATTTAAACCGTCTGGCGAAGGTACTGCCCCATTTCTCAAGCTTTGTTTACTTGGGGTTGCCTGCCTACATGCAATTCTAAACTGCATGCTTCTCTACATTTTCAATCTTTGGAATCGCTTCCATCGCAAACACCGCCCAACCTCGCACATCCACGATAGTTTCGCTCGGGCGACGGATCATTGAAGACCATAATCACGCGAAGAGCAGAGACCACGAAGGCGACGAATTGCGCCACCAAGGAAACACAGCCAAAATGTACGACAACAGAGATGGATCAGGACCCAGCTTCAAGCGCCGAAGGATAGAGGGAGGCCGGTTCCAGGACTCGGGCCGCTCGACACCGCGCGACGCCCGCGCCACCGAGACCCCAGCCAGAGACGTCCCCGAACCCACCGACGAAGACTCGAAAGCGCTGGATCGCGACTGGTACATGGGCGACGAGTTTGGCGGCCACACGTTCGGCGACGACACACACAACCCGTTCGCCTCGTACTCGTCATGGGAGGCCGAGAAGCAGGAGGCCGTCAAGGCGGAGAAGATGACGGGGCGCTTCGACGCGCGCAAGGAGCAGAGGCAGAGGGACAATGACGCGTGGGAGACGAATCGCATGCTGGTCTCGGGTGTCGCGCAGAGGAGGGACATGGGTGCCGATTTCGACGACGAGGAGGCGACGAGAGTTCATCTACTGGTGCATGATCTGCGACCTCCGTTCCTTGATGGCCGGACCGTCTTTACGAAGCAGCTGGAGCCCGTGCCGGCTGTCCGCGACTACCAGAGCGACATGGCTGTGTTTAGTCGGAAAGGCAGCAAGGTGGTGAAGGAGTCGCGTCAGCAGCGGGAACGGCAGCGGCAGGCGCAGGAGGCTACGAGTATGGCTGGAACGGCTCTGGGAAACTTGATGGGCGTGAAGGAGGATGACGGCGACAGCGCACTGCCCATGGCTTCGGAGAACGATGCGAAGAAGGTAGGTGAGAAGGAGGAGACGAATGAGAACAGCAACAAATTCAGCGATCACATGAAGAAGGACGATGGAGGTAGCAGTGATTTCAGTCGGAGCAAGACGTTGCGCGAGCAGAGGCAGTACTTACCCGCGTTTGCCGTTCGAGAAGACTTAATGCGCGTTATCCGGGAGAACCAAGTCATTATCGTGGTGGGCGAGACGGGATCCGGAAAGACGACGCAGCTGACGCAGTTCCTTTACGAGGACGGGTTTGGAAATTCGGGCATGATTGGGTGCACACAGCCGCGACGTGTGGCCGCCATGAGTGTCGCCAAGCGTGTCTCTGAGGAGATGGAGGTCAAGCTGGGCAGCACGGTGGGCTACGCGATTCGTTTCGAGGATTGCACCAGCAAGGACACCGTCATCAAGTACATGACGGACGGTGTCTTGTTGCGCGAGTCGCTTAACGAGCCTGATCTCGACAGGTACTCGTGCGTCATCATGGACGAAGCCCACGAGAGAGCTTTGAATACGGATATCCTCATGGGTCTGTTCAAGAAGATTCTCCAGCGGCGGCGAGACCTGAAACTCATCGTCACCTCTGCGACGATGAACGCGAAGCGGTTTTCCGACTTTTATGGCGGAGCGCCCGAGTTCATCATCCCAGGCCGAACTTTCCCCGTCGACGTCATGTTTCATAGGTCGCCGGTCGAGGACTACGTGGATCAGGCGGTTCAGCAGGTCCTGGCCATCCACGTGTCCATGGACCAGGGTGATATCTTGGTCTTCATGACGGGACAGGAAGATATCGAAGTCACCTGCGAGCTGATTCAGAAACGGCTTGACGCCCTCAACGACCCCCCGAAGCTGAGCATCTTGCCCATCTACAGTCAGATGCCTGCAGACTTGCAAGCCAAGATTTTCGACCGCGCGGCGCCTGGTGTGCGCAAGTGCATCGTCGCGACGAATATCGCCGAGACGAGTTTGACGGTCGACGGTATCAAGTACGTGGTGGACGCTGGGTACAGCAAGATGAAGGTATACAACCCAAAGATGGGTATGGACACTCTTCAGATTACCCCAATCTCCCAAGCAAACGCGTCGCAGCGATCAGGACGTGCCGGTCGAACAGGGCCTGGAAAGGCATTTAGGCTGTTCACTGAGAAGGCGTTCAAAGAGGAACTCTACATGCAGACGATTCCCGAAATCCAGCGTACGAACCTGAGCAACACCGTACTCATGCTCAAGTCCCTGGGCGTCAAGGATCTGTTGGATTTCGACTTTATGGACCCCCCGCCACAAGACACCATCACGACGTCCATGTTCGATCTGTGGGCCCTGGGCGCCTTGGACAACCTGGGCGAGCTGACCACGCTCGGTCGAAAGATGAGCGCGTTCCCCATGGACCCGTCCCTCTCCAAGCTCCTCATCACGGCCGAGGAATACGGCTGCAGCGAGGAGATGATCACCATCGTGTCCATGCTCTCCGTCCCCAACGTCTTTTACCGGCCCAAAGAGCGGCAGGACGAGGCGGACGCCCAGCGCGAAAAGTTCTGGGTCCACGAGTCGGACCACCTGACGTATCTCCAGGTATACTCGGCGTGGCGGTCCAACGGCTGCTCGGACGGGTGGTGCATCAAGCACTTTTTGCACCCGAAATCGCTGCGCCGCGCAAAGGAGATCCGCGACCAGCTGCTCGATATCATGAAGATGCAAAAGATGGAGATGCTCAGCTGCGGCATGGACTGGGATGTCATTCGCAAGTGTATCTGCAGCGGCTACTATCACCAGGCGGCCAAGTACAAGGGCTCCGGGGAGTATATCAACCTGAGAACCAACCTCGGCGTCCAGCTGCACCCGACGTCGGCGCTGTACGCGGGCCACCCGCCCGACTACGTCGTCTACCACGAGCTCATCCTCACGTCAAAAGTGTACGTGTCGACCGTCACGGCGGTGGACCCGCACTGGCTTGCCGATTTGGGCGGCGTGTTTTACTCGGTCAAGGAGAAGGGGTACTCTGTCCGGGATAAGCGGATCACGGAGACGGAGTTTAACCGCAAGATGGAGATTGAGGCCAAGATGGCGGAGGATAAGAAGAGGGAGGCGGACCGGGTGGAGGCGGAGAAGGAGAGATTGGAGAGGAGAAGGACAGGTGGTGGGAGTACTGCGGTGGCTGGGGGGAAGAAGATTGTTACGCATGGGGCTGTGAGGAAGCCTGTGATTAAGCGACGGGGTAGAGGCGTTTAGCGACCTTTTTTTTGGGGTGGGTTGGATAGAAATTATGAATTCTGGGGATTGAATTCCTTATTCAAACTTGACTTACTTGATTCTCGTTGTGATTCATGGACTCAGTGATGGAGAAAGAGACGGGAAAAAGGAAGCGCGGCGTCAGAGCAGCGTCATTATCAAGTTGGCAGGATCTGCTAACACTCGACATGAGCCTCAAGTTCGGTGGGTGTCCTCGGCCCATATTGACCTCGTACCCCTTAGATACGAGTAAACGGGAACATCGAGGTTTCTTGCCAGGACTTGCCCATCATAACCACACCTTTGAAGCATAGACTCGACAGCTTCAAGCGATCAACTAAGCCTTTGCTTACTACATCGCGGATCGATCCCATAAAGACCAGGGCGAGATCTCAAGAGGGATGAGAAAATTTGCACAAACCTGACGTATGACACATTCACCGTATAGCTAACTGGCTGAAGAGGTTCCACTTGTAGCACCTGACACTCACTCATATAGACCACCGGGATTGCAAGGCATATGCCTACCTAGTTGTCTAATATGGCTCCCGCCGTGACCAAGAGATCCCAAACGGTCGAGTATGAATGTTTAATGGTCATGAGTGGCCCTAGGGCATCTCTCGTCCGCTGGTCCCTGGCTACCTATTTAAGAGATTCAACCTCTTCGGAAATGGAGCTTTTCTCCCCAGTACGCTGCGCGCGGTACGCCTTTGCCATGCTAAAATGACCGAGCGGTTATCCTGGAATTTACTAGAGCCCGGGATTCTGAAAACGATGCGTGCCTCGGGCTCACTTTAAGTTTGCTACTTGAAATATATATATACACCTCTAGAAGACGCCGTCTTTCCTTAATATCAACGTATTCCATGAAGCCTAGCGAATATCCACAAGATAGAGGGGAGCGAGTGAAATGCGGGTATAATGAGAGGGCCAAGGTAGATTTGGAATATATCGTAAAGCTTGCTAGTTCATATGTAACAAGAGCTTTGTAAGAATACCGTCCGCTCGCGCCAAGTCCCTAGGTTATTGCGAGGCCGGATTGTGTCTTCTTGTTAAGCTCCCAGTCTTGTTCCAGAGAGACTTGAATGATCCTTTATAGTTGACAAGGCAAGCGGCAAGAATCTACCACAGGCTTTGGCGTCAGAGGATTGGCTCGAAGGAGCAAGTGCTGGAAGTGGCGCTATGTGTGTCAATTCTCTCTACCGCTGTTATTGAAGAATTCACCGTGACCATTAGTATTGCTAGCAACTCTGTGGAGGGACTAGTTGCTAGCGTTTCAAAGGAATATAGAGATTATCCCTTTGCTGAAGTATAGGCTTTCTATATAAGAAAGTCGCTCTCTGGCGTATCAGCAGGGGGGTACCTTCCTCGTGCTTCGGCGGACGTGGATGCTTCTCGCGATGCGCCGCGGGCCCATCTGCTGTAGTACTGTAGCACACCTCGAGTTCTAGGTGCTGTATGGCCTTGAAATTTTCGAGAGCGGCCATGACATTGGGCGGCGCTTGGGTGGTGAGGACCGATAGCTTAGGTAGGGAAGAAGACCTCTTCCCCCTTCTGACAGGTTGTGCGAGCGGAATATCATCGTGGGCGACCTTGCAACCAGGTCGGTTTTCTATTCTATAATATCCCCTAGAGAGGTATCGTAGGTTTGGTTTAAGTATCGTAACTCTTTCTATCGGAGGAATTGACATGTATTCCGCCAATAATACTCACGAGACAGTGTGGATGGAGTACAAGCGCAGAAGTGTTGTTAAACCCTCCTACCTCTAAAGATAAGCGCCCAAGAATTTTTTCTGGGTTGCCCACATTTGTTGAAGCAAAGGATGTCGGCAAAATCTATGGCCTTGTTCAACAAGAAAGGCTATCTCGGATCTGGAAGCTTTCTTATATTAACTCTGTTTTCTATGTAGCCTCCAGTGAGATGGTGCCGCGCCTACTTGTTTTTTGTAAGACAACGCCCTGGAAAAAAGCCAAGCCGTGGAGGCAAATACTTCTGAATCGTAAACTTGCGCTCTGGATAGTTGTAATCACGTTGACACGCGGTGGTGGTGCCGTTTACGATTGCACGTTCGTACGGTCCTCATCGTCTCTAGACTCAGCCGAAGAGGGGGCTTTGGGTTGATTTGAAGCCTGCCCGTTCTTTGCCGTTCTATCTGATCAAGAACGAGGGCAAGTTTCCCTAATCATACATCCGCCGCAAGTGTAATTGATACCCTTTCAAGCCAATTGTCACTGGAATATGCTCCTCGTATCATTGGTTGAGCGAAGTTACCTTTAGGCAAGGAAAGTTGAACAGACACTTCAGGATTCTACAGCTGTAACATAGGTAAAGTGCCGTTGTTTTGCTCCTTTTCACCATCCAAGGTCTCCATACTACCACAGCACTCTTCATCCCAAATAAGTCACCCAGGCCGCAACTCATCGCCGAACGGCGAAGTCCTTCTCGTCTGGAACAACATCTCTTTCCTCCTGGTCAAGCTTGACGACCCTAGCCGATCTCGGTCCCTCGTCAATGTCCTTGAGTAACTTCTTCAGCGCATCCTCGTCGCCTTGCGCTTCACCCTCAACCTGTGTCCCAATCGCGTCAGCAGCGCAGTTTTCATGAAGCGCAATCTCTTGTCGAACCCCCATCGCAAAAAGTCAAACCCGGAAAATGGTTGACAACGGGAACAAAACAAGCATTGAGAACCCCACCTTATTGTTATCAGTGTTGCGACACCATCCCGTGAGACCATACTCAGTGGCTCTCTTCTGCGTAAAGTACCTAGCAACCGCATCGCTTCGTCAATGTCATACTCTCAGGAAAGTCGACAATATCTCCAATTCAATTGACACCAAGCCGGTTCAAACAAAATTGAAAAACCCGTGTGGTCGGGAATTTTCCATCACATACCGGAATCCGACACCTGGATTTGTGACGTCAGTGTGTCCCGGGAAAAAAAAAAGTCACTTATCACAAGCTCACACCCCTCCTCCTTATCCAGATAAAAGCTCGGAGCTCATGTGGAGGGGAGGAGGGGCTCAGGATTGGCAGAAACGTACCTTGTACTTGACCGCCATGGGCCAGAAAGTATATCTACTTTTCGTCAGTATCTCTAAAATCCTGTCTTGGGAGGGATCGCGTACTCTCTTGGCCATGTTGACTTTGGACCTCGATTCCAACGACTGTAGATGAAGTTGCATGGGTTCAGGAAGTGAAGATGCACAGAGGTCAAAAGTAGCTCGGAGCTCCCCTCGAGCTCCCTGTGACATGCCATGGGCAAAGACAAAAAGCGGGAACCAGCTGGTGGGGGTCGTCGACACCGATGACATCCATGCCAGCGGGTGCACTTGCCTAGGTGACCACCCCATGTCTGCACCGTTATCGATAGGCTAATCCTCGGCGTTCTGCAAGGTGGAGTTTCCTGGTGCGGCCTCAATCGCCAGGCGAATTTGCGCTTTCTGTCCACGTTGAGATTCACAACATACACATCCATCCGTCTTCACATCTTTAAACCCAACGTCCCAAACGCCGCATCCAGGACATATACCACCTCCAAACCCCGCGCATTCATATACAACAATCACGCGCCCCGGCGCCCACATCTACAACATCATGGCGTCACCCGCCGACGAATCTCCGACCACAGACGCGGCTCCGGCCCCGGCCCCGATCATGTTCCGCGCAAACAAGAAGCGCAAAGCAGGCCTCCGCCAACGCGCCGCATCGCCCACCGAAGACAACGACAACAACACCGTCTCGAAACCGAACTCGATAGCAGAAAACGCTACGACACCGGCATCAATCACCGAGACCACCTCCACCGGCGACGATGGCCCCGAATCACACATCCCCTCCGCCCTCCGCCACCGCGCCCGCAAGCGCCTCAACGGCGTAGGCTTCTCCGCCCGAGGGTCGTTCTCGGCCACCATCACCACCAACACCGCGGCTGGAGACGATACAGATCCCATGAGCCTATCATCATCGCGCGCCCTAGTTCCCGCCCCAGCACAAACCCCAGACGACGACCCCCTCATCGCAAAGCGTTTCGCGCCGCAAACCGGCGCGGCAGCCACAACAATTGTCAATAAACACATGTATGTATGCCCCCCTCCAGGGAATGCCTGCCAAACCATATACCCGACGCCAGAGGCTGATCAAGCAAGGATGGAATACATAGAATCGCACCTCTCTAACCGCAACCCCCCACCACCACCATCATCCGAACAATCAACCTCCCAATACCAAGCCGCCGCAACGAATCCGTCAACAACAACAGCAAGCGCCTCCACCGAGACCCCAGACCCCAAAAACCACCCCATCATGCAAGGGAAACTCATGGAAGTCGATCTCGGCGACGAAGTCCGCGCCCGGAACCAAGCCATGACGGAAAAAGCAGCCCGCCGCCTCCTCGGCGAAGCCGTTGACGACGACGGCAGCGGTAACGGCGGCCGACGAGCCAAGAAGCCCCGCCTCGGCAGGGACGGCAAACCCTGGCGGCCCAGGAACAGGCGCAACAGCGACGACGTCAAGCGCGACCAGCTCGTCGAGGAGATATTACGCGAGAATAGACGTGAGTACCCTCTCCCTCCTTCTTCTACTCCTACTCCTCTCCTCTCAATTACTCGAAACCATATGCTAACACGTACCCAACGCAGTTGACGTCTACGACGTGCCAAAACCCCAAGAACCTCAAAACGACGGCGACGGCGACGCAGACGACCGCATCGCCGAGGAGTTCCGGCGCGAGTTCATGGACGCCATGGTCCAGCGCCAACAAAAGAAGAAGACGGCAGCGCCAGCGGCCCGCGCCGGGGCTCGCAAGGCCGACGAAGAGGTTCTCAAGGGTCCGAAGCTGGGCGGTAGTCGCAACGCTAGAGCCGCCATGCGCGATTTGCTCTTGAAGAAGGAGAAGGAGAAGGACTCGAGGAGATGATGAGCCCCAGACCCCTTGCTTCTTTGTATGCAATAGTGACAAAAGACGAGTTTGGATGATACCCATGATCAAAAAATTGGACATTACAGCTTAAAGATTGATTTGAATTTCATGATTGGCATCTATAAACCAATTGAGTACTCCTAAAAAACAGTTTGCCTGTACCCACCCAGAGAAAATTATCAATGAATCAAAAGCAAAGTCATAACGACGTGCAAGCCAGCCCTTGATCCTGTAATCGTTTTGATATCCCATACTTTGCCCGTAGCGTTAAGAAAAAAGAGAGAACCACACCTATCCAAGACTGTCACGAGTCACTAGTCCCTATAATAACGTAAAGAATGTGGAGAAACCGGCTCGTGAAAAGCTCTCTGTCTAGGCTCTCGCGAATTTGCAACGCCGGGGGGTATTATCGATGCGGTGAATCCTTATGCCAAGCTTGATGCTGTATATGCGCATTGGCCCCATCCAAGACGCCGTGTGTGATTTCAAATACAATTTGTGGGCCTCAGAGTTCGGATATTTGTGTGTAACGTATGCATGATGGTCGTTGAGAAGACATAATCACCGGATGTCAAGTTGGAATGGCTTGAACCGGCCGCCGATTGTTGCGCAACGGGGGCATTTGCGGCGTGCCCCCTGCTCTGCCATGAGAACGTCGACACACGCCTGGCACAGACCGCAGATGCACTCCGTGCAGGCGTAGGAGTCTTTGAGAAGTGAAACGCTCTGACAGGCTGCGCAGTAGATCTGAGTATTCTGAGAAGAATAACTTGGTGATGAATCCGATAGGCCTCGCGACTCGATGTGGAAGTTCTCCCCGCTTTCACCGCTTTCAACCGACGGGAACGGGTCAATTGTGTCCTGGCTGTAGGACGGCGGGGTCAAGGCCTGCTGTAGTGGCGAGGCTTGATAATTCCCTCCAGCTGTCGCTGATGAAAATCCATGGTGCTGGAATGGCGGCAAAGAAGCCCTGTGAATAGAAACTGGTGATTGAGGCATCTGGTATGGAGGTGAGAGAATGTAAAAATGCGAGCACATGAGAGGTTCTTACTGGAGTCCTGTCCTCATCGATGTCGCCGGCAGCAGATGCGGCTTGATCGGCGGCATCGATGAGATCTTCCCATCTCTTCCCATAGTCTGCAGAAGGTTCAGCCGATAACGCCTTACGGTCATTGTTACCTGGTCTAAGCCGTTCGTCGTTTTGGATCCGCCGAAGCCAGTCTGCTGCCGAGCCGCGAGACTTCTGCTTCTTGTGGTGCGCCTCTCGGCCTCTCTTGGTGACGGACTGCTTCCTTGGTCGGGCAGGTCCCACAGCAGGCCGCTGGATTGGGGGTAATGTTGAAGAGCGGCCGGGGGGTGAATTCGCCAGAATTGACGGAAGAATATCCCGCGGCCGACTCGAGTTCATAGCTGGGAATGGTTCGCTAGTAACGTCGTTATTCGTTAAGTGCAGCGGCGGCAGCTCAATTGATGTCCTTGGAATGCGGCGTCCCTCCGTGTCTGAGTGCCAACCCTGGTAGCGCACGTTTGATTAGCAATCGTTGTCGATGTTGTTAGTCAGTCAGGAGAGGATGTTCTGGCTCACCATTTCCTCCCATTCGGGTTCGACTTTGTGGCCGTGAAGCTGAGCCAGCGCCGCAGCAGCACTGGCGGCGGGGAGCATGGAACCCACGGTGTGATCGTCCATGGTCCGGGGCGTGCCCGGGTTGCTAGTATCGTACATGTGGTGGTCGTGATTGAAGCCTTGAAGATGGTCAATCTTTGGGGGATAGCCCTGGATTGAGAGGGACGAACCCTGAGGAACAGAAGTTGCGCTTGGCTGCATTGGAGGACGTTCGGACGGAGGGGTGTTGATCATGAGCATAAAGCTTTCCTCGGTCGCTGGGAGCTTCGAAATGTAGTGTTCTGGATGAGCGCGGCGAATGTGTTCTTGCATGGAACGATATCGTTTTTCCTACGATTTCAACGAGTGTCAGAGTAGCGCTCAATTTTCTCTTGGTCGAGTGGATTTTTTGCTATAGTAATCAAAGCTCTCTCTGTGCACTGGGTCCAAGTAGAGAGGTGCAGCAGCGCAGACGGGGGCAGTGTTGGTCTGCTTGTGGCGAAGAGGGCGTCGTGAGGGAGCAATGCGGCAATGCAGCACGATGAGACTTACACCGATGCATCTTTTCCTACAGCTAGATCCATCCTGATTCCGCAGAGGACAGACGACCTCATTGTTGGAGTCGGTGATTGAAAAAGAAGACGTGAGAGAAGATCTGGGCGGCATCTTGACCCCACCATGCGCCTGAGGGCTATTATCGATACTGAGCGGGGTGAGGAGCGATAAGTGCTGTTGCTGTTGTAGCGTATCGCGAAGCGAGGTCAATTGAAGGTGACTGGATAAGTTGGAGCTTGAGCATTTGACGGTTCGACCAAAGGCTACGATATTCGGTGAGCAGGAGTCTGGAGCTCTGGAAGCTCTCGTCTTGAGGCGTGTTACAAAGAGTGTTTCGAAGAACAAGGTGTAATGGAGGGGGAGGATTCAGGAAAGGACGGGGAGGAAGAGGAAGAGAAGGAACCTGATTTTGGGGGGCAGAAGGGAAGTTGACCGAAAGCAGTAAGTAGCGGTAATGGGGAAAAGAGAGGTACGGGCTAGGTAGGGGTGTGGCTCGGTCTGGTGGGTATCTTATGGAAGGTACCCAGGGCAGGTCAGGACAGGACAAGCTACCTTGCCTTGCCTTGCTCACCCAGGTACATCATGGTCGCAGCCCAGTCACATAAGGTCAGGTATTACGCAGCATAATCCGTAGCCAAATGACCCTCTACTTACACGGCTAGGTAAAAAGAGGTACGGACGGATAACAGCAAGGTGTGTGAGCAAGGAGGGAGCTTGGTTTTGGGTCTGGCAAAACCTTGCCTGTTCTTCTCTCAGTCGCCCATGTACTCTATCTAGTCTTGGACATTGAAGAGTACTCCGTAGGCAAGTAGGTGATGGCCGAATCGACGAAAGCAAGACAAGACCAAAGCCGCCGACGAATACCTACAGCTCCAATCTTGATCTACCTATGTTGTAGGACTGCCTTGCCTATCTCGCGCCGAAAATGTTGCCATGATAATTGAGTTGCGCGCTCGTACCTTTTCTGTGCCTGAGCCTATGCTGCTTATGGGCTTACTTCTACGGATACAGCACACCTGAAGCAGATGTGATGAAAGATGCAGATGAAAAGGGATATTATCAGCCGCGAATAAGGAGACGGACGAGCGAGGGTGTGGCCGGGAGGTACAAGGAGCAAGGAAGTAGTCGGTTTTGGGGAGCGACAGAGGTGAACAGCTGACAAGCTGTGAGGTAAGACTTGGTATTCGTCGCATGGTTAGGTGAACCTAAGTCCACCTCAAGGTTGGGCCCGTGGCAGATGGCGTCAATGTCACCGGTCGCCAGACCGCCAGCTACGAGTAATCAACATTTTACCATCTGCCGCTGGTGGATGGAGGAGAGCGCCGTTCTGAGGGGCGCCGGCGGTCGGTACGGTGACGCGAGATGGTGTAAGTGACCAGCCAAGCAGAGGCTTTGAAGCTTCATCACCACCAGCTTCAGAAGGATCTAGTCGGCTTCGCCAGCTCGTTGCAAGGCAGTGGCACGGGTGTTCGCCGAGGCCGAGCTTTCCATGACACTGGGCTCATCGAGCTGGGCTGTTGAATGTGGAAACAAGTCCGATGGACTAAACGTATTGCTCCGAGAGACGAGTAACAAGATGTTTCTTCTTGAGTCAGTCATTCCGCCTCTTCTCTTTGTTGGACGAAAAAGATTGCAACACGACGTGCCTGACTTGTCCAAGAATGGCGGCAGCCATGACCGCGAGTCTCTCTACTTTTGCTTCCGTTTCCGCTATTGCTTGGGTGCTTGAAAGATGCGGCATACTAGGAAAATAACGACAGCAGCTTGGTGCTCATTCAAGGTACCACCGGGCGACGGCGTCATCTTCCAATGACAGGAGGGGCAACCCGAAAGCTCGGGGGGTTCAGCAGTGGGATGGATGGAGAGCATTCCACTTGGGAAGCACAGGGGGAGGGTAAAAGGACGTACGGATACCTAGGTAGGTACTCCGTACTGCACAGTAAGGTAAGGAAAAAGGTCGGCAAGTCGACCCGCCGACGATGTCAAGAGCCGACAATTGGTTGGCGTTGGTGGAAGAGATCAATGACTCGATCGGGGATCGAGTGTGTCTGGTGGATTGGATTGGCTTGGTTGACCCCAGGGTTAGAGGGAAGAGGGGGATCAAAGAAGAAGGGGAAAAGGAGGACAAGAGGACGAGAATGAGGCAGGGGGCGTGGATGCAGAACCAGGCAAGATTCAAGTCGAGACAATCGGGTGGAGGATTTGCACGGCGGAGGAAGGAGGATGAGGTCGAACCGTCGAGGATCCCACTGAGAAGGAGGGGGTGTGACAGGGAAGCAATTGACAACCACACACAGCCTGCGGTGGACAAGGACGAGGACGAGGAGCAAGTACATAGCGGGGAGGGGCAAGAGGAGCAACAGCAACAGCAAGAGCAAGAGCAACAACAACAGCAACAGCAACAGCAAGGGGAAGGAGAGGAGGGGGGTGGGGTGTGAGCAGGGTAGGAAGTGGGCTGCTTTGCTTTGCTCTTTCTTTTCGGAGCTTGCGAGTGGTCGACAGAGGGAAGAGGCCCTTGCCGCATCACAGGGGAGCTCTTGAAAGTTGAGCGAGCTTGCCTGTGCCTGCCTCTTTTCCTTTCCTTCGTGCCTTCCTTACCCACGGCTCAGGGCTGGCACCAGGAAGTAACTCGCAAAAGTCTGTCACTAATTGACCCCAAGCTTGCCCTGTCTGAGTTCTTCGCCTTGCCTTGCCCCACCCTTCAACCGACCGTTGTCAACTCCCGTCGCTCCACGATCCGAACTTGGAAGCAGAATCATGCCTTTCATACGGATGCCTTACTGAAAACTCGAGTGTTCATATGCCAAAAGATGCTTCAGGGATTCAAGCTCCGAGGCCACGGCGAAAGGCTTGTTGTTGCTCGCATGTCTTGCGTCTTGCCTTGCTGCGGCGTGGTGGTTCTGCTACTCGGTTGCTTGCATTCGCCCATCTCACTCCTCCTCATCCTCCTCATCCTCCTCCTCCCGCAACACAGCGGAGCTGGACCCCTGGTTCATTCTCGCCTACGCTTACTGGTCGGCCGTGGTCCTGACCTCGGTCAACGTCTGCCCGCTGCTTGGATCCCCGCTGGTCGTCACGTTGACATCCCAGCTAACGGGTAGGGGCCCCAAGTGGTGTACCTAACTCTGTCACTCTCTCCATTCGTAGCTCCCCTGGGCAATCACAGACTCCAGAGAGACGCTGTACCCGCAAGTGCGGATAGCATTGCGCGTGTACCTCTAAGCGAAGCGAGGCTTTCTTTTGACTATGCTGAGCTCTTTCCTGTATGGAGCAATGCTTTTTGGCATGGCGAACAATGTGCACAACGCAGTCCAGCATACCTTAAGAGAGAGCTACCCAACTCTTTACGCATGAACATGTACAGTATTGGCCGTTGCTTGCTTGCTTCATTTGATCAGTTCAAGAGCTAATTTTACCGCTTTGCGATGGCATTGCCGTGGCCAGATGAGGAGGCCCAGACCAAATCTCCGGAATAAAAGCGATGAACGGCCCTTCTACAAGGAGAAGCATGATCGGGGCTGCCGTTGGGCATTGGGAACGGGGGACACGGGCCAGCGGAGGGCCAGCAGAGGCAAGAAGGTGTGAGAGACACGGAAGAAAAACAGAAAGATGAGCGAGGATGAGGTTGCTTCTGCCTCGCCGGGTCGGCATCAGGCAGCCCGAAGCACCTGCCACCAAGACACCGCCCACATCATACACTACTCCGTACGCTACTTCGTACATGCAGGGCCCTGGCCTTGCCTTGACAAGTTGGAAGCATTTTTTGCAAAGGTGAACCCTGGAGCTGCAGCAAGTCCGTGGTATCTGTAGCGTCTGCAGCGCCTCCAAAGCACGCATCGGTGGAGACTCTACCCCCCCCGACCCGTGGACGTTGGCGCGAATCGTCTGTTCCACAAGCGGAGAGGGAAGGCGGGTTTGACGGGGTGGAGATTGGGACAGAGCTGTGGAAATAGTGAGAAAAAGAAGACGACAATGAATCTGTACGGATACACGCAGCACGCCTGGTGTGTGATCCGTACGGTGAAGGTAAGGGTAGATGTGGATATCTGCAACGACGAGTCTTTTTTTTTTCGTTCTCTTTTTTCCCCTGTAAGCAATACTTTTCCTTTGTCCTTTTCTGCGATGCAGCTCCAATGCCGCTACACTAGGATTACGCAAGGCCCAGGGAGCTCTTCGGCACGTCAACCTGCCTCTTTAATCCACAGCTACCTTGCCCTATCATGTCTAGACGTTACGAAGCTGCCGGGTATCTAGATGTCAAGCGAAAGAAGGTGAATTTTGCTCCTGCAGAAATAGTCAATCTAAGTCATTACGAATGAGGTATCCTACAAGTACTTCTTCGTCGAGCAGGTACGAAGCACGAGCAGCGTAGGTACCTCACGTTTTTTGCTCTCTTTTTTTTTTTTTTCTCCTTCCGCCCCATGCCGCGATGGGCAAAGCTGTTGCGCAGACAAGGGGGGTACGTATTGAAATTGCCAGGGAAGGTCCCCACATTCGGCGCGAGGACCCTCCAGTTCTTCGCCTTGCATCCTCTTCACCTCGACCTATCAACAATCGGCAGATTCTATCCAGCAACGAGAAAAGTAAACCAAAGAAAAAAATTCAACTTCCAAAGCCGGCCGGCCGACACCAGAATCCGATGTTGAGATCAGAAGGAAAAAAATCAAACCTGCAGGCTGACCCAATCCACTTTGGTCTTCCCTCGCCAAGCCAACCTCTTTGGAAATAAGCACAAGCTGCCAGCTACAACCCGAAACCACGGCTTTTCACCGAGGTGGCGCCTGCTCAAAGAAGAGAGAGAGAGAGAGAGAGAGAGAGCGCTCCTCCAGCTAGAGGCCCCAAAAGCCTTGTTCAGATGCCGCCCTTGCACTCCCATCTCTCTCGGCCTTTTTACCTCCCCTCGGGCCATGTATCAGCTTACTCGAATAAGTCAGACCGGATTACCAATGGCAGGCAGTTAAGCAGTAATTATTCGTACGGAAAACCATCGCACATGGCTAGTCAGCCCTCTCTCTGCTTCGTAGCAGCTCTGAGCAACGACTGACAAGCTCGCAGCCAATTGCACCTTTCCCTCAGAACTCCCAATTCGCGACCATATTTTCCCCTGCCACACACTCTTTTCTTGCCACTTACACCCCCCCTGGACCCTGACCGACTGGGCGGCTGGCACTTCGGAACCGCAGACAGCACTCGCAGCTAAAGCGGGTATTGATTCAGCCATACTCCCTCGAAGCACTAAAGTGACATCACCCTGCTTGGACTGGGTCGTGCTTTCTTCTGGCCTTTGTTTTCAATACCTTTTCTTCAGGGAAGAAGAAATGATTGGCCCCTGAGCTTGACAGACACGAATCTCGACTCATCCGTGGACTCGGTTACAGAGTCATTTCATCGATTGATGCTTAGACACGGGTGCCATGCAAGTAGCACTCTGCTCTTCAAGTACACTGCAAGTCGAGACCCTCAAATCGGACCAAATCGGGGGCACCATCTCGTGATGGCCCACGGAACGGTACACGAACGCCTCCCCCTATGCCGCTGGCGGCTGCATCGCTCAAGTACCTACCCTAGCAGGAGCTACCTGGTCAGGCTGGTCTAGGAGGCACTTGTTAGCCGCAATTCGAATGGTTTCATGAATGCCGAAATGGCCCAAAAGAGGACCAACTAGGTACTGTCATCGAGAGCAACGAGATCGAGCTTGGCACTGCTGGAAAGAAATGAAGAAAGCGGTGAATTAACCCCGCCTTTCTGCCCCTTTCTGCCCCCCTCTGCCACCGCAAAAGTCAGTCACGAACGGGCCTAATTACGAGCTGATGCCGCACCCAGCGGCCTGTCGCATTTCGGTGACAGTCACCGCCCGTCCTGTCCAGCACCTCCTAGCTGGTACCGGAGAGAGAGGAAAGGAGAGGCACGGAGGATGCGGGGGATAAGGTCTTGGACGCGAGCTCAACCGGCTGATAAGCGACCATCAACCAACCACAAGCGATGGCCGACAGCTTTGACGATAAAAGCTCCCTCCAAAGTAATCCCACGCGACTTTACCAGAACCAAAAAACCCTACAGAATACCACCTGGAGCTTCATCTCCCCCTGTCTTGTCGAGCTGCTACTGCTCGAGGGACTGTGGCCGTTCGCGAATTTCAAGCGCCAACATCTAGAGCCTTCACTAAGAATGCAGACAGAACTGAGAGAGTCGTCCCAACTGCGGCGCCGCGTACACTCGCACAAGTACTTGCTTACGAGTAAGGTAACTTGCTTGGGGAACATTCCCGTCAAAGACTTGACCGCCCAAATTACACGTTTATTTCGGGTTATTACGAACCTATGCTAGTCTTAGGATACGGCGAGCTCGCACGGGTCCGAGATTTCTTGATGTCGGCGGAAATGGCCCGCAGGGCCGCAGCAACAGCCACTCAAGCCTGCCTCCTGTCGTGCTACAGACTCACAGTTCTCTAGCGGGTGACTGGTAGCAATCTAGTGAAGAGGGAGAGAACCCGAGAGGAGTTCGAGAAGCACTCCTTTGGTGCCTGTCACATGCATACTGGGATTTTTTCTTTTTAATTTTATTTTTTCTCGGTTTTCTTTCTAACCACTAGTACGGAATCCTCGCCCAACCGTCCATCAGCCTCCTGATCTGCCGCCTCGCTCCCTGTCTTCCGAGACATGGCGGTCAATCGAGAGTAGGTACGTCTAGTCGGAGACACCGACTACGTGCGGTCGTAACCTCGCAACCGCAACATTGTCACTGTCCTTCAAGCCAAGCTTCAGGGATGACGACACTCGATTGCCAGACGGAGGAACCCAGTAAGCTTTCGATCGGATTACTGTGCCTCGTCAGCGTCCCGGTGCACACGAGACACAGTTCGAACCGGTCTATCCACACCTCCGGCCTCCTATTCGACTCACGGCGTCTCGTTCTCAAGGGACAGGATATCTCCGACAGTGTCAAAATCCGAACGAGGACCGCTGTCCCCAGCTGTAGCATGACCTCTAGACTCCATCATGTGGACGACAGATGAACCATAGGCCCACCGCTCACCACGCTTTGTGAACCGTCCCTGACTCGGCCTCTTGAAAACGGTCGAATTCCTGCTTCCGGATCCCCCTCTACCAGAACCAGAAACAACCCATGGCTTCTACACCCACTTCTAGGGCAGAATGGCAACCAAATGACGTCTTCACTTCATCCTATAGTCAGTGTGGAAATTTCTAACTCACCGCTAGAAATACTTGTCCTCGCGGTCTGGATGACAATGGGACAGTCATCCCTTGCCTCCTAAGGGGTAGCCGGGACTGCACCAGCCGCAACAGCCGGCTGTCAATCCTGCATGAGGTGCACAATGAACGTCTAGGCTTCAATGTAGGTAAGCATCTCCATTGTCTTTGCACCCAAGTCGACGGACCGCTGCCATCTTAACATCTGGCAACTCGATTCGACTTGAATCTCCTTTGCCCTGCATCGTCCGAATTCGACCTCGTCCAATCAAACCCCACCGTCTTCTAGATCCCAAACAAACTTGTCACAAGTGCTCGTTGATCAGCCCCTCGAGGCTTAGCGCACAGACCTTTGAGATGGGCCTTTGCTGCCAAGAAGGTCTATAGAAACTCGACTGCTTCGGCGAGTGATGCCGGCTTTTTGATCAGTGGCATCTGGTGTGTAAACGGGATGGTGGGGATATCCTAAAGATGCTTCGCCTGACTGGACCGGAGAGAAGAAATTGTGCCTACGGAATCTGCAAGGGACGCACCTACAAGTTTCTAGACCAAAAAAATGGCACAGCCTCCAGAGTTTCAGCCTCCGACCTTGACCGAACTTGGCGACCTCTCCAAGCAGCCCGTAGCCGGCCGTTCACACATAGCGGTCGTCATATCCTCATCGGCCGGGCCCCCGGAAGTCTGAGCACCTCGCCTTAACTTGCCCTTAGCCTATTGATCTGTTAAAGATCCGACCACAATGCTCTGACCCTCTCTCTCCAGCAGCCAGCTTGCGTTCACGGACTGGCGAATTGGCGTTACAGGGACCATGTTTCGAATCTGGCCAAGGGAAAGTTTCCTGAAATGGCCTCGTGTTTCCCTAAAGGCCTTCTCCACGTCCGATCAATTACGGCTACGCATCCCCAGAGTTGCGTCCCGGCGCGCCCCCCAGACGTGCCCGCCGTCATGGAACATATCTAATTGACCTCTCTACTTGTTTTCTTCCTTTTGTGTCCGATTCCCTCTGGCAGACCATTGCTCAGCAGCAATACTTTTCATCTTCAAACTGGCCTAGTTGCAGTGTCGTTCGTTCTCGTCTGTTTGTTATTATACCCTTCCGAGCTATGGCGTTGACTGTAAAGCAGCTCAACGCGGATGCTTCATTCCTCCTCACCTTTGAGCCCATTGTGCCCGAGTCACTTCCCGGCATTGCTCCAAGGCCGTTTAGAATTTTGATGGATCCATGGATCACGGGGCCTTCCACCATATTTCATTCGATTCTCTCAACCGCAACACACAAGGAGTGCCCATGCGTGTGTTCCTTACAGCACCTCCCCGAGCCCGACCTCGTCATCATCAGCCAGCACAAGAGCGACCATTGTAATGAGGCAACGCTTCGCCAGCTCCCCGCCAGCGGCACGAGGACGCTGATATTGGCGGAGCCGGCGGCGGCCAAGGTGATTCGAAGCTGGAAGTATTTCGACAAGGATAAGGTCTTTACGATCCCGCGGTGGGAGGACCCGCAGGCCTCGGGGAAGCAAACCGTCATCAGGGTCAAGGTGCCCCCGTTCTTCCCAGGCGGTGAGCCGGGCGAGGTGACGGTTGCCTTTGTTCCGCAACGGAAGGACTTGAAAGGCCTGCACGCCGCCGTGGGAATCACGTACCGGCCGCCGCCGACGTGGCCGCGGTTCCCTCACCTCATGACGCCCCCGAGGACGCCAGTCTCGCTACGGACCGCGGCCAGCGCCTCGACGCCCCAGCTCACGTTGGGGCTGGGGGGATCTCACCACCAAAAGACAAAGAATTCGTCCTCCTCCGCCTACCTCAGCCTGCCGACGCCGCCCGAGACACCACCCAGCAGCCGGTCCCTGCGCTCCGTCCGGTCCGCCGCGTCCATCAGCCCAGACGTTCGCGACCGAGCCGTCTCGGTCATCTTTTCGCCCCACGGGATATCCTATAGCTGCCTGGAAAAGTACGCCAAGACGCACCTCAAGGCCGAGGCTGCGTTACCTCTGACGGCGCTGCTGCACTGCTTCGACACCGTGTCGAACCCGTGGTGGCTCGGCGGGAATATCTCGGCGGGCATGCCGGCGGGCCAGGAGACTGCGGCTGCGCTGGGCGCCAGGGCGTGGGTTAGCACGCATGACGGCGATAAGGATGTCAGGGGTTTGGTGACGAAGATGTTGAGGACGAAGAAGTATACCCAGAAGCAGGTTACTCATCATTCTTCTGGCGGAGGGAGGAAGCGCGGCGATAAGCTGGATCGCGAGAGGGCTAGTGACCAGGACAAGAGGGAGAAGGCCAAGGGGAGCAAGAGTACAGAGGTTTTGGTCCTTGGTGTCGGTGAGGAGGTCGCCATGACGAGGGAGGGCGTTTGGAATGTTGAACCTGGTACGAGGGTGCTCTCCTCCTCTTCTTCTTCTCCGCCGTCGTCTTCGTCGTCGTTCTCCAAGAGTCTACTTGGGAACGGAAAGGGGTTAAAGGGGCGGGCGAGGGGACGGGGCCTACCGCCGGTTGATACCACGGCTAAATATGGGCCCCGCTGAAAAAAAGAGAACGGGATACCCGGTGTGGAGACCGGTACGGAGTTGAAGTTTTATGTCTGCCGGGTTTGACCCGGGATTAGTCTTCCGTGTGTGTTGGAGCTACGGAGATTTTTTCATTTGTAGTATGGGGAAGCAAAGCGGGACACGAAAAAAGGAGATATACCCCCTTCTTTGGAAGGAAAGGAGACGCCATAACATATATAATTAAGAACTTATTAATCAGATATAAAGAGGAAGAGGTGGATAATCAAAGGGGGTTTGGGATATAGGGGGTTGGCTAGTTGTGCGGTTTAAAGGGAATGCTCGCCCAGGACGGCGAGATGTCTCCTTTTGGTGGTGTGAATGATGGGTCAAACAGAGCCTTTGGGTACAAGGAAATGGAGGATGATAGCTACTTGAGAGACACAGAATCAATACGAGTAATACGTGGCTATTTCAAGTGTTCCTTCTCATTATAACTGTGACAGTATTGTGGTGTATTTGATCCCCATCTAAAGGGGTGCTGATGCGACTATCATGGAGTGAAAACTTGTGAAGCCTCCCTGGGGACAGAACGGGCAGCTTTATGTCAGAACGAGGCTGGAGTGTAGAAAGGTAGTAGTCCCGGAAAGCCTGCCGTGTAATAGAGGTAAAGTGTGCCCACCATTGAAACTGCTTGCTCGGAACGACATGTCCTCCAAAGCAAGTAGACGCAGACTTACTGTGATGACATTGCGGAAAGGGGTATACCCTTAATAGGAACCGCCAAAGATTGAGTAGCCAGATGCAGCTTGGGAGTGGTTAGCATGCCCACTGAGCCGGATCTTTCTAGAACAGAACTGGCTGACAAACATAGTTACGTTATATAATTCCACCTCACATCTACGTATATACATAGGAAGTCCTGCACTAGCGATAGGACTTGAACGCCCACGACTGCTGGGCAAAGACTCGCCCTCCAGATAGTAGCTATAGCCGACGACGTAGGTTCCGTGGTGTTGGTCTTCTTTGACTGCTGAAGGTAGGGTGGTCTAGAAAGGTGGAAACACGGACGAGGATAACTCAACTGCGTGAACTCTGACCGGATAGTTCCATCATGACTTGACGCTCTTATGAAGAAATATATTGCTGAACACGAAGGTAAATATCCGTGATGTTTGGTGGCTGATGAAAATGAACTTGAGGGCTTGTGCTCTTGGGGTCTAGATGCCAATCGTGTATGCTACATGTTCACTACGCAAATCCTCCTATGTGAACTCCAACTTTATATCCAACTTCGCCTAATCCTTTCATTAAGACTAAGATGTACGTTAACGAATACAATAACTTCGTGTCCAGTAGCCGATAAATGCCAATATGCTATATAAAGTCTATATGCTGGCTATATTCACATACACTCCTCACACAAACTACTGTGTGAACTCCAACTAGATGAATCTACCTTCACCTTAAACGCCGTAGTTATCGTCATTATCCAAATAGTTCTTTACAGCGACGTCTTTTTAAAAACCAGAGCGCTCGTCAGGCAGCTAGGTCCACGGGACCCAAGAATTCTATATCAAACTCGGCCCCAGACTCAGCCTCAGACTCGGTCTCGTTTCCCTCCATATTGCCAAGAGCACCCCGCAGTCGGGCACCCGTAGCAGCCTTGCGGCCGGATTTGACGGTGGTGACCTGCGATAATTGCATATACCACACCCTCAAGAGCACACGCTCTCAATTTTCTATGCCTTTACTAGCCACTTAATTCACGCCTAGTCATCTTTGTATTCGTCGACGTCTATCTTAGTCTTGATGGAGGCCGTTGGGCGGCCTTACCTGGTGCCACTGCCACTGCCACTGCCGCTCCGGCGACTCCCACCTTTTTAGATCTGGTGTTTTGGTTTTCTTAGAGTGGCAGTGCAATGCAACAAGCTTGGAAGCAATTTTGTATCATCATGATGTGGAGTCCACGGGATCGATTTCGTCCCTGATCATGTCTAGGAAGGAATTAACTCGTTCAACGGTCCATTAAGTCTTACAACGAGAGGGGTAAATTGACCCAACGCCGAACCATTCCCCTGCTTCCAAGACCCCTTTGGTCTTTGTCCAAGGCAATAAGAGAGCAAAAGGGGCCAGGAAGCAAGATGTGATATGAAGATGGAGAGTTACGCCTCTAATGCCGTTTCCGTCATGTCATGTATGAGATAACTTCACGTCTTTATTACCTTTTTTTTAATTTTTTTTTTAAAAAAAAAGTGTTCAAGTTCGTTGGTCAACAAGGCAAATATACCCTTTTCCGGCCTTAAGAGTCTTGATGGATCTTGTCCTGGGCAAAACGCAGACGGGACTTAAGAAGCAGTCCATTACATATACTGTTGCTCAAGCCCTCGTATTCTTGACATGTTTAACTGCTGACGAATATAAGAGAGACCGAGTCTAGATGAGAGACATCCAACCACGAAAGCTTCGAGTACAACCTTAGACACTGGCAAACACCCAGATCTCACCTACAATGATCAAAATCGAAGCCTCACCCAGCCGCCCAGCCACCAAGGAAGCTAGCTTATAACACAAGCATAGCCGATTGGCAAAATTCAAGCGTCTGCATGTCTAGCGAAGTGGTGATCACTATGATGCTTATCAAGAAAATTTCAATGCAATGCCCGATATTTTTTTGAGGTACTGCCATGATTTCCACCTCAGATGCTTCCCATATCATGCATTCAATCCTGAGTCCACCCCTTGTGAGTAGAGTGCCAAATCCAGACCATAGACCTCTCCATTACCTGCACCCATTCACCCGGGGTATCTAATGTTCCCACCTGAACAACGCGTCTTCTTCTTTTCTCTTCTTAAACCATGGAGACACATCTCCCTTCCAGTCCAACCTCGCCTGCTGACCGTGTGGAAAAGCTAGCCTCGTGATGTGGGCCAGAATTAGATTCGAACCAGCCACTCCGGGCTCAAACTCCTTGGGTCTCGCAATCCACACCTACACTCCCTTCTGGCAGACCTACTTGAGCTGCTTGAGAATCTCCGTCAAAAAGTCCTCAAAGCTGAGGGTAATGTAGCCGTCTCTGTCGTCATCGTACTTCTTGAATACTTCCGTCATGCGCTTCAAGGAAATGCAAGCCTGAACGAAGAGGTCGAAGGACATGACACCTTCTCCACGCTTGTCGTACGTACGGAAGAGAAGCTCGACGAAACCAGGGCTGAGACGGTAGCGGAAAGCGACCAGGGCGTTGGTGAATTCGCCGAGGGAAATGTTCCCAGACCGGTCGGCGTCGAATCGGTCAAACAGAGTGCGCCACGACGCAAGGTAGGACCAGAGGCCGCAAAATTCGGCGAACCCAATGGTTCCACTGCGATCGGAATCGAACATGCGGATCATCATGCGAACTGTCTGGGGGTCGAAAGCAGTCCAGTCACCATTGACGAGGGCGGTTGACAGCTCACGCTCGGAAAGCTGACCAGTGCCTGTACACAGTCGTTAGTTGGCGGTTGTCGTGACAGGGTGTCGACAGCATCACTCACAATCCTTATCGACCGCTCGGAATAGGGGCAGCAGTGTCGGGTCTGCGCCGTCTGCGCTCATATCAGGAGCGGGAGAGGGAGGCGGCCGAGAATTAGGGGGTGGCCGGGGCTGAGCGTTCGGGCGGGGGTTGCCCGTCGGGGGAGGAGAGCTGACGCCGTACATGTTGGGGCTGGGTCGGCGGTGGTCGTTGGGACGGTGGTAGTCGTCGCGAGGGACGGGGGGAAGCTTATTTTCGTAGCGAGGCTGAGAGGACTGCTGAGGCTGCTGCTTGGAAGGTGCCGGAGCGCCGCCCTTCTATGATGAGAATGTCAGTTTATCTGCAAGGTGCGCGATCCAGGGGTGACGGGCGCCGATGGGATGAATGGAGTAGAAATGTCGTCAGGTGACCGGAGGCCGAGGGCGCAAACGTACCTGTTCGGGTTCCGCGAACCTAGGAGGGGGTTAGCATGGCGGGGTAAAGAAGGAGATTGGATATGTAGGCCATGGACAATAGGCTAGGTGAATGGTGTGTTGTGCAACGTACCTTGGAAGTTCGTCGGGGTTGTAGGGTCTGTTGTACGCCATTGCGAAAATTGGTGCGATTTGAAGCAAGCAAAAGTTCAAGAGAAGAAAGAGAAGGGTCTTTGGAGGCGACACTGGATTGAGGCTCCTGGGGTATATGAAGCTGGTGAGGTGGGGGGGGGATTACTGTGGGCAGAGAGCAGAGGGGAGCCGCAGTAGCTGTATGTAAAAGCCAAGAGAGAATGGAACCTGGAAGCAAAGCAGGGGAGCGGAACCGCGACTCAACGTCAGGCGGCAGTCGGCACGCTAGTCAAGAGGTAGGGCTGGGTGGCCGGTGGGTTAGGCTGCGGTGGAGGAGAACAAAGTGCCAATCGGGCCTTGAGCTCAGTGAAAAGAATGCAGAGATTGGTTTCAGCCGCACGCCGAATGTGCAGTGAGGCTTGGGCTGAGTATGGGTGGTTGCTGATGTCTAAGGTAGGTAGTAGTTGCGGTCGTAGGTTGATTTATGGTGGTGGTGGTGGTGGTGGTGGTGGTGGTATGTAAGGCAAGGCTTTCTTTCTTCCTCTGTTCTTCAGTCAGGGTGGTGGGGAAGGAAGATAGGTAGACAGGCAATAACTGACAGGTCGTGGAGATGACGAGGAGGGGGGGATGGTTATCTGGCCTTGTCAAACAAGACTGAACAGACAGCTAAGAGGTCGGAGCTCTCGGCAAACGAAAGACCGGACAGGGCAGCTTCTTTCTTGGGGGTGCGCGGGATGGCACGAGCGGTGATGTGCAGGGAAAGTACGTGTATTGTTGATGAGGTATTGGGAGAAGCCGAAGCCTCGGTGTGTGTATGAGTCGGCGCCTGAGTCACGTCACGAAACAGATTGGGAAGAATTGAGTGCAGTGCGCAGGCGTTGTGGCGGTTTACGGCTTCGCGGCGACGCGGTGCGCTTGAGAGGTTGCGAATGGATAAAAAAAAGACACCCAGAGGCCAGCGGGAGTGCGGGAGACGGGATGAACAGGCGATGGTTTGCAAAGTCAGCCTCTTGAGTGGATGTGTGCGAAATTGCTTTCTGGGGATACGGGCTAAAAACAGAACAAGCTCCAATTGATTCTTTGCTCGCTTTTGGATTCTGATGCCTTTTTTTGCTCATTCCTTCTAACTTTTCTGTATCCGTACCAGGCACCGGGTAAGGGACTATCCCTAGGTGTCTCTTTCCGATTCAGGTTTTATATTTGTGTACGTATTGCTCAGTTCTCTTTCGTCATCTCTCGACTTCTCCCAGCATTCTGCCATTCATCTATCAGTCGTCAGTGTCATGGACTCATCAGAGTCAGTCATTGTCTGTCAAGTCAGTGCCCAGCTCGGTTTCGTGACCCCGCCACGCTCGCCGCTCTTCCTGGGTCCGCTGTCGGGTGGATCTAAGCCAACGCCGCGCCGGGGGCTAGGGGGGGAAATGCGAGCTATTGATTGAAAAAAGGCTGACAGAACGGGAAGAATACCCATTGCAATCACAGACACCTGGAACAGGTAGTGAACGTTTTACAGGAACAGATACGGGCAAGTCCGCGCAAATCTCGTCAGAAAGAATCACCCACGAGGCTCTAGCGCAGGACAGCTCGGCGACATACGCGCTTAGCGTACGGATAATTCGTATCTTCAATACCGTTGTTGCTAGTTTGACTTAGCTTACCTCTGTGCTTAGGCATGTGGGTGATGACATGCGTGGTGCACTGTTGTTCCCTGTATCCACTAAATGGCCCCAAGGGGTCTTTTCTTCGTCTCGGGACCGGGTACGTGATACGATCCAGATACAGATCGCGACGGGAGCCATAGAAAGGGGTCCTGCGCACTTTAAATTCTAGCCTGGAGCCTCCGTCTTTTTTTCTTTTCCTCCCCAATCATTGCAATCGCTGACCGACCACGCTGACCATCCCTAAGGCTTGATGCAGCCCGATCATCAGAGTCTAAGGTACGGTGTAAGGTACGGGATTCTCCGTACGGATACTTGCCGTATGGAGTAAGTTTTGACAGGATTCAGGAATGAACGTTGGACCATGCGTTAGAGGGGTACGTATACACGTAGGTTGCAACTAACAGTAATGATACTTCTTTCTTACAACTTCGGGCTCCCATATACCACATACTAGAGGTGACGGGAAAGTCCTTGACACCACAGGGCCGGGCGGCATGACATCCATCTGAGATGAGCTGGTCGTTGAGGTGTATCCCCATTTAAGCTTATTTCACCATGGCACGTTCACTCGCCTACACCTGAGATGATCTGGCCAGTTGGCAGCTGTCCCTTCTTGCCCATGGTCAGCCTCACCCAGTAATCACCTCCCTCATCAGTGTCTTGCTCGACTTGATTGTGCCTTGCATATAAACAAGTCCTCTCGTCTTCTACTTTGAGGCCCTCTCTCCATCCTCGAATCATCGTGTAAGCGTGACCGTCCACAGTCAGCCCGTACCACCCTAACATCCCCCTTCCCCCTCCAAGTCTGCCCTGTCTGCCCTGTCTGCCCCACCATAGCCCCGGCACCAACGCCCCTCCCCAGAACGCCGAGCCTCCAGCACGGGACGCCGGCAAGCGGGATTGCGTATGCTTTCCAGCTTTTTTTTTGCAGATTCGCGGCCATCAACTCGACCTGCCCGTTCTTTCTCGAACACTTGGAACACCGTACACGTTTATCTCTCTCCATTCCCCGCCTTCACATCCATCCAAACTTGTATGTACCGTCACTACCGTGATCTCCTTCTCTTCAAGACCACGCCCGATTGATTCACTCTACCCTACATTGGCCCGCCACTCTGACTTTTCCGCCTGGCCCGTTTTAGACCCTCCAGTCCCCTCCCCTTCTAGAACACTTCCTCTTCCTCTTCCTCCTCCTCCTCCTCCTCCTCCTGCTTCTCCTGCTCCTCTTCTCCCTCTTCCACCTATCTCCATTACCCCGCAAGTCTTGTCTGTCTTGTCTGTTGTTCCGTCCTGTTCTGTCTGTCTGTCCGTCTGTCCGTCTGTCCCTCTACCCGTCTCCAAGATGTGTACGCGCGGCTTCATGCGGCCCCCTCACACAACTCCCGCCTCGGCCCTTGCGGTTTGCCGCTTTTGGGTGCCACCGACGGCTTTCACAACCTTCTGTCCTCTCGCAGCTGGGCAAGTGCCCTGAGAGATCGATCCAAGCTGGATCGCCGAGCTGCCTCTGCTCTGCCGCCTCTCTGCTATGTTTCGTGTGCAGGGCCCGAAGCGAGTTACACCGGAGTGGGACTGATTTGCTCGGAATTCCTTCAGGCTTTGGCATCATCGTGAACACCAGTCGCAACACACTTCTCTAGGTATTCGTCTCGAACTCACAGTGGACGGCAACAACTGGGCTGTCATTTATCATATCCCGCCTCTTCGCCTCCCTCGCGTGACACATCGTCTCAGACAGACTAGAAATCTACGACAGCCGGCATGACCGACACCAACCTCTCCACCAACGGCAGCGGCGAGTTCTGGCTGTATGGTTATGGGTACGTTTTCGACCCTTCGAGATCACCCTCGATCCCTGCCGCTCTCTCCCTCCTGGGCTGGGCTACTCTTGTTCTCCAGCTCCTCCCGCCCTCCCGCATGGCGCATGCATCCCTGCCGTAGACAAGCCTCACACACGTCGGTGCTAACGTTACAAACCCCGTCCTCCAGGAGTCTGATATGGAAGCCTCCGCCGCACTTCGGTTAGCCTCACCTCGTCCACACCACACCATACCACACCCCCCCCTTTCTCTCCTTCCCTCCTCCTCCTTCTGCCCCTTGCCGCCATCCGAGCCGCCGGCTGATCTGTGTCGTCCACCCCCACAGATAGAAGAATCCCTGGTTGGGTGACGGGATACGTACGTCGCTTCTGGCAGGTTCGTCTCTCCCTTCCCTCCCCCGGGCGTGCGGTCTCATCCAGCCCCGCGGGACACAAGGCCACCTTGCGTCCCTAGTGCCCGCTGCCACCAATGCTTATTTCCACTTCGTGTCCTGCCTTTGCCTCGTCTCCACTAGTCTCACTAACACCTCACTCAGGCAAGGTAACCATCTAACCCTCAAAGGCTTGATGACTACTACCATCTGCTCTCACCTCGAGATGTTCTGACCCCTTCACCAGTCAAGACCACAGAGGCACACCTGAGGCTCCCGGTCGTGTCGTCACGCTCATTGAGCGTTCGTTCTGGGAGCAGCTGACCGACCACCACGACTCAGCACCTGAACGCGTCTGGGGTGTCGCCTACCGTATCAAGGCAGACAAGGTCGCTGAGGTCAAGGACTACCTTGATATCCGCGAGATCAACGGCTACACGATCCATTACGCCCCTTTCTACCCAGCTGACGGTTCCGAGCCAATTCGCACACTTGTGTACATTGGCACCCCGGACAATGACCAGTTTGTCGGCCCGCAGGACCCTCAGGCCCTCGCCGCCCACATCCGCAAGAGCCGCGGCCCGAGTGGGCTGAACATCGACTATCTTCTTGGCCTCGAGGAAGCTCTTGACGGACTGAGCCCGAAGAGCGGCGACGTTCACATCACCGACCTCTCCAACCGAGTACGGGCCATCATCGCCGCCGAAGAAACATCGCACGATGCTACGAAACCACCGTTGTCAGCTGTCGGCGGTACCTTCAAGCAAGGAACCAGTGTCAAGGAACAGGAGGAGACTGAAAAGACAGACTGAAGAGTTTTCTACACATTCTTTCGCCTCTTTTTCTTTTTTCTTAAAACCAAGACCCCTGCCCACACACACACCCCCTTTTTTTACTCTTCCCCTTAACCCGTGGTGCAACAACGCCCTGGAGACATGTCAATAACCAACATTGTGTTTCAAAACATTCAACACATAGAGAGACAAATCAGGCAGACAAGTAGCGTTAGACCACAAATCCGTTGGCTTCCACGACGATTCCGAGAACACTCTGCATCATCTCCAGATACCAACCAATACCTATCGCCCACCCCCACACTCCACAAGGATCACCGGAATAGGAACCATCACCGCATGCGGAAGAAACCAAAACACTTGGTAGCAACCATTTTGGGGCAAGATGAAGATCAAAGACAGAAGCAGAAAACCATTCCATTTGAGAAGACTAGGCCGTTACCAACCCTTTTTGACCGCGGGTTGGGGTTTTATTTTCCAGAGATCCAGTGCAACAGAAGAACCGGGTATTGTGTTGCAGCGAAGAATATCACCAAAGCTCGATCGAACCAACGGGCGCGCACACGAACGTCTGTCAGACTCGGAGCAGTTGAGCGTCGGCAGCATGTCTTGGCCGCATGTTCCCGAGTTGCGAATACCGACAACTAGCGGGCAACGAATCTCCGAAATCTAGCGAGCACTAATAGCCTCGGCCGCCCTGGGGCTGCTGAGACGGGTCGGCGTATCCGTAGGGAGCCTGGGGTGCGTAGCCATCTATGATGTGTTAGCAAGCTGGACCGATGACAGAGACAGCATCGTCGACTCACCCTGGGGAGGGGCACCGCCGTAGGGCTGCTGAGGGGGGTAGCCGCGGCCGTAGGCAGGCTGCTGCTGCTGCTGGTAGCCCATGTTGGGAACACCGTATCCGCCGGGAGCGCCTCCATAAGGCACAGGGGGGGCGCCGTAGCCGCCACGTCCACCACCGCCGCCGAAGCCGCCGCGGTAGCCACCACCACCGCCACCGCGGGGACCGTTGTCGGAAGCCTTGTCAACGCGAATAGTGCGTCCATCAAACCTAGCAAGTTGATTTGTTAGTCGGCTGAGGGATTCCCACGATCATTGCGCCGGGACAAGCAAGCAATTTCGCAAAGGCAGCGTACTCGACGTTGTTCATGGCAGCAATGGCCTTCTGAGCGTCACCATCCTGAGTGTAGCGGACGAAGCCGAATCCACGGCTGCGGCCAGTGTCGCGGTCCTTCACAACGACCTTCAAGCAGGGGAAAAATAGCGGTCAGATCTCTCTCTCTCACACACATACACACTTTCGCTCTCTTTTGGGTTTACTGGAATGTTGGGACAAAGTGTCTCTCCATGGTCTATGGCGACGCCATTCTCAAGAAAGTTTCTTCGAACCGGACGATCAGTACTTACAGCTTCCTCGACGGCACCGAACTCCTCAAACTTCTGTCTGAGGGTGCCTTCCTCAGTGTGCCATGCAAGGCCGCTGTTGGACGTCTTGTCAGCAAAAGCTTGTTTGGCAACGTCGACGTGGAGAATGCGCCGGCGCAGAGGGACTTACCCAATGAAGAGCTTAGACATGATGATGGTAGAGTAATGTGTCTTGTTCCTTGCAAAGAGATTGCTGAATTATCTGTTTGTCTTGCGCGTTAGGTTCTGTCTTAAGGAAAGGTCCAAGGGAGGCTGCAATGCATAAATGCGAGTTGGTTTCTGAGTGGCGCCAAGCGGGGTTCTTGATGATGAGGGAAGAAAGTCAAGGGACGAAAGCGCTCTTTTTGGCACTTTCTCGGTTGAGCATGCGAGCCAACTCTGGACGATTCGCATCCACCTATAGAGCAAAGAGACGAGGCAGTGTCCAGTGACGGCCTTTGTCACTTGACGATAGCGCGCAAAGTGGCCCGACATGGGCGACAAAGCAAACGTACAATTTCCAGGCCGGAGGATGGCAGTGCGAGATTGAGGGAAAATGGGGTTGTGGGCTGTGTCAAACAAAGAAGTTTGCAGGCGTCGCCACAAGAGAGAAGATAAAAAACAGGCGATGTCGACCGTTGGAAGAGGCTGAAGTGTATTGATTTGTTGCAATGTCTTTTTTTTTTTTGAGAAAAAGAGAGCGAGGGATTGAGGGAAGCGAGATACGGACCTGGTGGTTGGAATTAGGTGGGCGGTGTTTGGTGTTGGTGGTTGTAGGAGTGGTTGTGATGACAGACGTCAGGATTGAGACTGGGCTTTGATGGATCGAAAAAAGGAAGGAGGGGGTGAGAAGGAGAAGAGATCGAAAGGCCACCTTGAGGGGAGAGAAAGGAAATGCTGGTTAGCGGGAAATTTCTGAATGGATGGAAGGGAAAGGGCGTTGAGGCAGTGCAAAAAAGGGCCCCAAGGCAAGGCAGGTAAGGTTTGGTGTGTATGAGTGTGGGAGTGGGAGTGGAAGGCGAGTTGACTGGACAGGAACGGCTGCCGTAAGGCAAGGTAAGGAAGGTAGGCAGGCGGGGTGGGTTGAGCATACTCAGTACTTCGTACCTACCTACCTTGACTTGGATGGAAAGGTCAGGTAAGGTACGGACTACGGAGTACCTTTCGGATACACACACAGCAAATTGAAGAGGCAAGGTAGGAGCGGAACGGGGGGTGGTGGTGGACGGGGGAAGGGGAAGGTGAGGGGCGGCAGCACTGTTGCCTCTTGCTCTTGCTTCCTGAGGTGCTTCAAATTTTTTTTTTGGCTTGCGAGGCGTGTGCAGACAACAGAGTCCCCATTTGCGGCTTGCCGTCGCTGGTCCCAGCCAAGCAGTTGTCGCATGTCCGTAGTCTTCCGTGCTTGTCGCCGCCGCCGGCTGTCTTGCTCGGATTGGGACTGGAAGACGCCGTGCGGGCACGATGCGAGATGGACAACAGCTCGTGGCGGGAACGTGGAGGGGTCCAACGAGTGGAGGGGAGGAGGGGGGGCTCAATTGACCGACGGGCAACAAGACGAATGACGGCATGCAAGGTACCTTCCCTAGCTAATGACTATGGCCAGGTACAATGGTAAACGGCAGGGTTGAGGTGGTTGGTCTCGGCCTGAGGCGACAGGAACGGCCAAAGAATAACGTAGAAGAAAAATAAAAGTACGACGGAAACAATAAAAAAACAAACGAACCGTACTCGTATACTTAAGGAGACAGCGACAGAGTGAGAGATAGAGAGGGAAAGGACGCGTTGAATGACGGAAACATACCTGTTTTGATTGGTTCTCCGTACCCAATATCTCGAATTGAATTCCTGTGATGGAGTCGAAAATGCGTTGAGGAAAAAGTCGAGGAATTGGAAGAGAGAAGTAATGGTAATATTCTCAAAGTAGATAAATGGAAAAAGCACAATGCGGGACAAAAGCCGGTAAGAATCTTTTTTCCCCTTCTCAATCAGTCAGACCAAGTACCAGATCCCTGACGATAAGGTAGCAGTAGGCAAGGGGAATGGGGGAGAAAAAAAAAGAGCTTCAACAGGGACAGGCGCAGTTCAATGTCGGAATCGAATAATCGCGCTTTTCTTTGTCTTTCTCTCGTTCCTTTTCCCGCGGTCTTCGGTTTTCCCCCCTCCATCCGACTCCCTGTTCCTCATCTTATATATGTGATGGACACAGGGTCCGCTGCAACGACTCCAGCGGCGGCGGCGGCGAAAAGGAAACCAGGAACCAGAAGCAGACCTGACAGGCCAAGCAAGACCAGCCTTGTTTTGATACATGCGATAGAACGGAGTGAGAATGACAATATGAAAAACTGACTTGCCTGCGGTGAGGAGGGGGCATGTAGGTACTCACGTTCGGTACCTTGCCTCACTCCGAGAGGTACATGCGTCCTTCTTACAGGCCCGCTTGCTTCCTGGATCATTGCCGCCGCTGCTGCTGTCGCTGTTGCTGCTGGCACACGAGGCAAGGGCCAAGACATCTGGGAGATCTGCCCGGGAAGAGGGACCCATGAAAACCCATCCATGAACATCTAGTGTGGTGTCAAGGGGAGGGGGGGGTCCTAAAGAGGGGACCGCCCACATCCCAAATTCGGCTCTTCTGCGCAAGGGGGGGTTGTGGAAGGGAAAAGGACCCAAGGGCCAACGCCCATCAATGTTTCGACCAAAGCATAAGTGTGGTAGCAGGGTTAGCTTCCCCTCCCAAACAAGCATCAAACAGACGAAAAGCTCACATGTACATCCATCCCCGCGATACTTCTGTCATCCATGACCGTCTTTTCTCTTGCCGCGAGACATACTACCCAGACGCAGCGCTGCCATTCGCATTCAGTGATTCTGAATCAGTCCAATCCAGCCAAGTCATATGTGCTTGCCCCTCGTTTGCATGTCGCCCGTCAGACCGTCTTTGAGCGGATGCCTTTTGAGAAAACACCATGCCACAGCTCTTCGGTTTCGATACTGATACTGTCGTTGGCGCCGCGGGGTCCTGCTGTCGCGGCCTGGCGTCGTGGACATTGTCGCGTTCCGTAGCACTTCAAGTTAGACAACGCAAGACGAGACGCACGCACTTACGCACTCATCCTCCAGGCAGCTGCTCTCCTGAGGCGTTCTCCCGTTCTGTGAGCTTTCGTTCGGGGCTCATGCCCCGTCAGCAATATCACCATCATCAAGAGCCAACGGCTTGTCGCTCGATACACACTCCGGAGCCAAGCACCCAGACGTCGAGCAACTCCACTGCTGCCCGTGCTTCGATACGGCTCATCATTGTGCCCAATGTGCTCACACTTGCGGTCGACCTGACTAACCAAGCGCCTGCAAGTGTGGTGGGATGAGATGCAGAGACCAGGACCACGGAAAGCTTCTTAAAACCCATGAACCCCAGCCATTGCAGGGTGTGAGCAGGCGTAAAAAGGCTTACTACCGGATCGCAGGCGAGGGGAAAAATCTCGGCCATGGGAAATCAGCCCATGATGTATGATCTAGTTGCCCCTCGTTGCAGCCAGTCGAGAAACTCGCATCCGCACAGACGCCGGCGCTGTTAGTCTCTGGGGAGCCGCTAGATAGACGATGGTTAAGCTGAAGCTGGCAACGCCGAAGAGGGGTACTGCAAGAGACATAGACTCCGTCAGCGGCCAGCCTGGATTTCTGGAAGTTGGTCGAGAAAGAAGAGGGAGGAGAGTCGACAGGGTGGGATCCTGACAGCAGAAACAGATTTGCATCTGTGTCCGCCATGACTGCTGGTCGTGCTGGAAACACCTGCGCGGGACGACAGGCTTGGCCTGGTCACTTGCGGACGCACTGGACCAAGAGTGACATTCCTATTCGACCCCACACTTTGCACAGCCTCCTTCGACCATGCCCATTTTGAAGCAAGATGAACATCTTGGAGCTGCAACATCATTCTCCAGCGTCCACCTTCTCCTGAAAGTGGAGTCTCCTAGTGTTGCACCTCGCTGCAGAGCCTGCAGAACCGGTTCTCGACTCGGCATATTGCGACATTCGCCGTACCCGTGCCGCCGCCGCTGCCCTTGCTGCGTCTTAGCGCAATCGACCATCCGTTTGCTGACATGTTCATGCCATGCCGCTGGCAACTGCGAGTGCGGCTTTTATCCCACGCAGGCGTCCCGGAGAAAGCCTGGATGACTTCGATCGTCTTTCCAGTCGTCAAAGTTGCCCATGGATGGTGTCGGTCTGTAGTCCGTCCCTGGCTTGTCGTCCAATGCGCTTCAGGGATCCAGCCATTTCCTTTCGTCACGCTACCGTCGTCAACCTCGGCTTGCCGTTCCGCCGTGACCTTGGCCTAGATGGTTCTTTCTCATGCGCAAAGATATGACCAAGCTGCTTTCGAAGGCGAGAGTTCCTTTGCCGGCATTAACTACTCATGCGAGGCGACACGCGAAGCAGTCCTTCTTGGGAGAGCTCCAGGGCCAGCAGCTAACAAGAAGTCGGTAAGCAACCTCTTTTTGGCGCGCAAAACGCTCAATGCCGTCGTTCCCCTTGAGACATCCACTCCCCGCGATGCACTGACCAGTTAGAGGCCCATGAGCAGCCTTTGTGATGTGGGTGAAGTTGTGAAGTCAACCTCGCAATGTGGATGCATCTTGTGGTCCAAGTTCTCCATGCCAGTGGAGCTGGTCGATCCAGTGGAGACATGGACGGCCGTCACCCCCCTCTGTCGTATCGTCAACTTGGTTTGGCCATGACTGCCCCTCCCCCAAGTCACGCACGGCGCACAAACAACCCCTCGACTCTCCTCGACGTTCGACCTCGAGACACTCGGGACGTTTGGTACCTATTCGCCCGACAATCGCCCGTTTTGTGCGACACGACATCGAAAAAACTAGACAACCCTGAGCCGCCTCCCAGCCGCCAGCGCAACAACGACCAGTAGCAATGCGTCTCGGTGACGTCGGGCTCTGTCGTGTTAGTCGCCGTCCTTGCGACTCAGACTTTCACCTTGGATTCATCATGAGGATTTGAACAGCACCATCCAGAAAGAGCTCTGATATCAACTGTATGATGTGACGCAACGAAGTGTCGACGGCTAAAGGGCCCCATCAGTAGGGTCTAAGGCGGTGGAACCTTTAAACTACGTACCCTTGGTAGTATAGCCGCCGTGATATGTCGCATGGGCCAACGATGATGGTGGCCTTGAGGGGCAACTTGGCCTCCGGAATGCCACCAGCAGGAAACCTAATGCACATGTCCGCGATCCAGCCGGGAATCCCAAGGTTTGGGGATGGCTCCACGCTCCAGCACCGTTTTGATTTTCACACCGCTTGGCTGCTGCTCCGATGATGGGTTTTTGGCTTTCGCAAGTGGAATATAGGTAGGTAATCGACGCATGCCGTACACTCGCTCAATGCGGGCAGGGCTGGCGGTTGGAAGGAGCACGGGGTTGTTCTCTGGGGATCCCAGGATTATTCGAAACTGCCAGGGACCGTCTATAATTAAAAGGTCTTGACCGGACGAAGATGAAACCTGCTGCGCCTTCTTCGAGGTCCACATCCTGATTTTTGGTCGCAAAAGCAAAGAGCTTATTAGGGCCAGCGTCGTTATCGACATATGTCGAGAGCTTGAGATACCGCTGCGCAATGACCTGTCCGGGGGGGGCTCTTGTAGCCACGTGCGTCGTCACGGACGATGCGACCCTGCAAAATGTCTCTTGAGCTGATCTCAAATGCTACTTGCATCCGGCCGCCTGCAATTTCTTGGTTGCCCGACTCCCCGACCATCCGGCATTGTCGCCCAGAAACTCTCAAAGAGGATGGGGTATCGGCGACATCGAGCCCGGAGACAGTGTTCTAGCTTCGCATAGCTCTGGCAGGCTTGGACTCCGCATATTTTCAAAGTCATGTGATGAACGCAGGTTACAGCTCCTTGCCGCCCTATCTGCATCGAAGTGAAGTGGATTTGTTGGTGGGCCAGACGTGGAAACCGTGCGAGAGTCGTTTTAGCATATTTCGTGGCCACAGACACGAGAAGCCTGCATGTCCAGCTGTCAAGCATCTGTCAGGACGGGTCGAGTGCGGTACGGCTTCCCCCATTGCCAAGGTGGGTGCTATCAATAGAAATCAGCCGGGTGTTCGATACAGGACATGTTCCGTCTCTACTCCGTACAGGGCCATGTCTTGGCATTCTGAGACAGCCGCCACTTGAGGTTCGCGTCGACTGCATATCAAGTGCGCCGACCAGCCGAAGTTGGTTGTCGTCTGACCCAAAAACCAAGGCGGATTGGGTATGGTGTCACGATGCCCGACGATGCTCTTTACGCGAGATCTCGCGCACACAGTCATGCCAACTTGTCTCACCTGCCACCGAGGCTGCGTCGAATCACGGCTTGGCCAAATCGGAGCCTGGTTTAAGCCACGATCTACTTGGCGGTATCCGTACCATGAACAGGTTGCAGGATTCTGGGAGTTCTTCCAGCGGCGTGGACAGGTGCTCATCCTCTCTTCAACTCTCTCGTCTTACACAACGGCGCCTTGGCCAATGCGGGTTTCGTATAGGAGGCTGGCCTTCCATGGTTTACTCGAAAGACACAATCCAAATCAAAATCAACTCAAGGTAGGTGGTGAATCTTCCTCCCGGTCGAGGTAGCAAGCTACCAAGGTGGGAACGCTCGCAACGCTTTGGAAGGCGTTTGTACAAAAGCGAGAAGCTGGTCAACACTGAGGCCTGTATGGGGTTGTAACCATTAGCCAAAACTCTTTCCGAAGAATATCTTGATGTCAGCAGGCCTACCTTTGAAACCTTAGCATGCCGAGTGGCTCCAGTTCGATTAGCTTGGTGAGAACAATGGTCTTCAGGTTGCGTGCGAAAAGGTCGTTGAATTGGAAGCTTGGAGACTGGAACAGACAATCTTCAGATTTCGAGTGAGGTTGGGTCCGGCCCACTTCCAAATGAGTAAGGTATTACCGCACGTCAGATCAGGATGCAAAGGGCCTGGCCTTTGGGCTAGAGGATTCGTGCTTGCCCTACTTGGTTTGCACAGCAATCTTAGCGTCTACCTGATATCAGGTAAACCGTTCCTTCCCATGTTATATGTGGGAACATCAGTCGACCTCTTTCCGCCTTTGAAGCGAGCTCCACATTGCCTTTAACCTTCCTTACGTTAGCGAGGACCTCTTTCTTCGCCCTGCAACAGAGATGGAGGAAAGACCAGGTGAAATCGAGACTGGAAGAAGGGATGCATTCCTCAGGGTACCGGGTGTTGGTCTGTTCCATACGACGTGAATAGCTATTGCCGCCTATGGGCGAGTTCAGGTAGCCCGACGATGTTCTTTCCAGGAACATGTTTGGCGTTTGGCTCAAGCTCCAAGACTGGATACCTCGAGACCACATCTGCCCATTCCAGTTCGCTCCGCTGAAGTTCTTTGCATTCCCGGTCTCTACGAGCTTCACGACTGCGCGGAAATAGAGTACGATGGATAGTCGTCAGACCAAAAACCGTAATCTAGACCTACATCAACGTCAGTACGGCCACTCTGGCGACAAAAACGTCGCATCAAGGCATCCGCACCTGGAGGAACCATGGACAAGCCGTTCTTTGCCGAAAGGGTTGGATCATGCTCCGGATAGCAACGTGCTTGGAGCCGCCAGACGTGGCACTGGCATCGTGGAAGACTGGCTTGTCAATGTCAGTCGTCGAGGCATCGATACTGAAAAGTCCGCAAACCGACTATCATCAAGTCAGGATAAGGGTAGTGCTCAAACTCCAGGATGGAGGCCACACGGAATCTCCTTGCAGAACACTGTCCGAGGTGGTCACAAACGTGCCCTATCGCGAGATAGCTCCATCATCCCCGAGCCGATGACGAAGATAGCCAGACCACCTACAGCGGCAAATCGCCATGGCCCCAGCCATCGTTCTCTCGCGGCAAGGGTAACGGAAGTTCCCATATCGGCAGATAGTTCTCCGCCCAGATTTGAGAAGCGGACGAGACACAAAACAAGAGAAGATCGATACGATTCTCAGAAGAAGCCCAGAGCAAAGCGACGCAGGGCACCTGAGGAGAGCGCTACGCGCCCAGAAAACGTGCCGAAGAAGTCAGTCTCATCAGGTCGAGGAGTCATGAACAACTTCCAATCTGAAGCCGTTCTTAACGACAGACTCACAGTGGGTAAGCCTTGGCTTTCCGAAATCTTTGTTAACGAACTTTTAGCTCCAGCCGTGCCTGACGCCAGGCCTCTTTCAAAATGGGCGGATATCCTCGCCAAAGCCTGGTAAGCTACCATTGCCTGGATGCCCAGAATGCGCAACTGATTGTAGTAGTTGGAGAGCTAGCCTACAACTCCATGGTTTCGGTCGAGCAGCCTCCATCACGCGAGTCTTCGTGGCAACGACAGCAACGCTTAGAAGCCAAGGCCAGACAACGGCGAGAGAGTGAGCTGGTAGAAGTATCAGCGTTTCTTCGTCGCAAGGAGACGCCTACAACAGTACACCCAGTCATCGGTCGAGAGCGACCTCGTGACGGGTACGAAGACCGGAATACGAGTGACAAGCTAGCTGAGAATCTTCCGGAATGCGACGATCGCTTGTCAACTAGAAGCATCACGAGGTCTGATGCTCTTAGAGACAACCGACGCCACTATATCCATGACAACACGTATGTCGCCCCGGCTAGACATGATCGGTCAAGCAGCAGAGCTACGACTTATGTCACTTGGGCCACCAGCGGCAATCATCAAACATCCTTGCCAGGCACTCTTTTAACCGACACCACAGTAGTACCCCTGAGCCAATTAGAGAAGCGCTTCGAGAGACCGGTGTATTTAATGATGCTGGAGCAAGTGGAAACGCTTGTGTCTCGTTGCATGATTCGTACCAGCGCAGGCAAGAGGTGCATCCTGATGAAGAGTCCACGAAATTCAAAGCTTCCTGTGAACGACCATTGATTATTCGGTATCTGGATAAGGGAGTCATGACTGCGGACGAACGGTCACTGCCACCTTGCGCATTGGAGGAATCCAGGAGTTTGCCAGCTACGTGCGATTCTTTTGCGCCAGAAGGTACGGTCGATTCTAGGGCGAGGGTCTTGGTAGACACTACTACGCAAAAGCCGATGAATGAGCCGTCTGGCGGAGAGATACACAAGGACTCTGACGTAGGGTCCCATTGTAAGACTGTCACTCCTACGACTCGAGCATCCACGGCCATACAAGCGTACCTGGTGTCACCCCCCAACAACCTCTCCGCGCAAATGCAAGCAACGTCAGCGAACACCCGGGAATCACAGACGAGAACACCGACCATCGAAAAAGCCACTGAGGCAGTGGCTGAGGAAGGTGATATGCGTGCGAAGGGTGACGCCGAGCCTGACATGGAGCAACGGCCGAGCAGTCTGGAGGGAAAGTTGCGGCGCCAGAACGATCTGCCGAGCCTCCAATACCTTACCGGCAACATGTAGGTGCTGCAAATGCTCACAGTTCGCCTAGAGGGGGCGCAAATCATCACTATGCCTTGCCCGAACAAGAACCAGCTGGCAACAACCTCTATGGTCATCTACCCTATGGGATTGGTTGTAGGGAAGAAGCCCTCTGGCAGCAACCAGTGTTCTCGCGGCCGACATCTCTGGTCAGTCAACCAAGAAAACCTCATGCTCGCGTTCTGGCGGCCAAACTACTTTCATTAGCGACGTAGTCTACTCAGGCTGCTGGTCCTTCCATTTCGCCCGGAGGCTGGCCACGTCGATATCACATCTTTCTGCTTTCGCAATTATCGATTTCGCCTTTCCTGTTACCGGCGCGTCGATCATCATACCGTCCAACGTCCAGGCTCCACGGCCCGCCTTGCTAGCTTTCTCGTCTGCGATTGCAACACGCACTGCCCACTCGACCTCCTTTTCGCCAGGGGCAAACAGTTTCTGGACAAGTTCCACCTGGTTTGGGTGTATACACTGCTTTCCGTTGAATCCCATGGACTTTCCTCCGATAGACTCCTCTTCCAATCGCTTGAGGCCTTCATCTCCCTTGTAGGAGGTGCAGACAAGGTCGATCGCACTAGGTAAGCCGGTGGCCTTGGCAGCAGTTACAATGGCGGAGCGTGCGTAGAGAAACTCGGTGAGAGATGGCGTTCTTGTCAACGATAAGTCCAGGGCAAAGTCCTCGGCCGCAAAGATGAGACCGCTTAGATATGGCGACGCCTTGCAGATTTCCGAAAGGTTCATAACCGAACGCGCAGACTCGATCAAGGCGATGATTTTGATGGGATTCTGTGATGTCGCTGTGTGTCGTTCGGGGGCTACATGACGCAAAACATCGGTAACGTAAGTCAGATCGGCAGCGGAGTTGACCTTGGGAACAACGACAGCATCGATATTTGGGAGTGAGCCTAAAGACGTCAAGTCGTCCAGAGCAAACTTGGTTTCCACTGCATTAATTCGAACTGCCAATTCGGATATCGACGACGGCCTCGACTTATGCTTGGAGAGAAAAGACCGGAGCTGCCCTCGAGCCTCTGATTTCAATGAGGGTGTCACGGAGTCCTCAAGATCATATGTCACGTTGTCGGACTTGAGGCCCAACGACTTGGTCAGCATCTTTTCCGATGATGAGGGTACTGGAAGCTTGTCAGCCAAATTCTGGGTGGATAAAGTGGCTGTAATCACCATAGAGCAACGCCCTACGGACGATTGAAGAGGACCTTGCCGTCATGATGGATAGCTGGTCAGACGCAATGCTACACCTTGGGGTTGTGTAAGCCGTAGCCTATCACTCTTGAATTGATTAAAAGTTGGTTGAAGTTATGAATGATAGCTTCTTATGTGAACTGAGGTGGTTGGTAAATCTGGCCACGACGAGATGCAGTTCTTCAACCCTCTGGCGCCGGCTAAACGTTGTCACTTTAAGGACGATACTCGGTAACTCGAGTTCGGAACTGGTAGCTCAAGTCGGCTACTTGGATGCTGCAACAGTGAAGCTGGGGTTCCTCTGATGATGTAATGCGACCAATGGTCGTTTCTGCCAGCTCAGACCGCTAATAGACCCCTGGAGCGTCGGGAGCGCTAAGAATGGGACCCACCTCACCTCATGCACCAACGGGCCCCCTGGCGGAATAATTCAGCCTCCACCCGCCGAACAGCTTACCGTAGCTTCAACGGGTCTGGGCCAGTGAACGCGCATGGGAGGACAGCCAAGCTGGAATCCACGCCTGTGGCCCGCGCATTACGACAGCTGTACCGTAATGAGTTTCTGGCCCTTTTTTCGAACAGGCATCCCTCTCGTCCTCTCCCCCCGACTGTCATCAGAAACCACGATATGCGCACGACGACGAAGATCGAGCCAAGTCCCCCTGATTGCGTCGACATACTATTTCCCATCGGCTTGAAAACGGAAATCTGAGCGATTGAACTTTTGAAAGACACGATACCTACCTAGTGTGACGGCCCCATCGAAGCCAACGAAACGTCTTAGTCGACACACACACCGATATGGAATCCCAACAGCAGCAAGATGCGCCGGGCTCCCTGAGCTGGCGGTTGAGCTCGCATCCCATCACCCTCTTGACCTTTCTTGCATTTCGGATATGTTAGTCAACCATCAAGCTGCCTGGTCTCACCTTTTTATTGCTTTCGTCTTGATTGGGGACCTTGACTGACATGCTCTTGTGCGCGAACAGCAAGTGTACTCGTGTACTTCCTCGGTCTGTGGATCATCAGAAGCATGTACGTCGTCGCAAAGCTCACCCTCCCTCCTCGAACCTCGAACCGAGCCATTCCTACAAATGGACCCCGACCTCTCGAGCTCTTTGCCTTTATCCATCAACATACCCCGGGCTAGATGGCTCACGTGGCCCACCCCCCAACGGGGCGTCTTCGCTACAAAACTGCTGCCTCGTAAACTCCCGTTTGCTAACCCCAGGCCCGTTGGCTTCTTTCTTCCCCAGGATCATGATCTTCATCATAACCATCCTCCTCCTCGCCGCCGACTTTTACTACCTCAAGAACATTGCCGGCCGCCGACTCGTGGGACTGCGGTGGTGGAACGAGGTGGACGTGCAGACGGGCGACTCGCAGTGGGTCTTTGAGAGCAGCGAGCCCGGCACCAAGACGATCAACCCGACCGACAGCCGCTTCTTCTGGCTCGCGCTTTACGTCCAGCCCGTCCTCTGGATCCTGCTTGCCGTCTTTGCGCTCGTGAGGTTGCAGTTCTTGTGGCTGCCGCTTGTTGGTGCGTTGCCCCTCCCCCTGCCTGACCCCCCGCCATCCCTTGGGATGAGTGGGAGAGGTCTTCTTCTTCTTCTTCTATATCTTTGTCGCGATGATGAGGGGGTTGGTTCTTTCGGAGGAAGTCATCTAATTACTTGGAACAATGTGTGCTAACTCCTGGCGTGTTTGCAGTCATCGCCCTGGTCCTGACCATCATGAACGCCATGGCCTTTTCGAGATGCGACAAGTTCAGCCACGCGTCCAACTTGGCCGGAAGTGCCCTCTACTCTGGCGGTCTGGCGGGAAGCATTGCGAGCGGCATGGTCGGCCGCCTCTTCAACCGCGGTTAAGTCACATTCACCGTCTTTGGTGTAGAGCACGACATCGGGGTTGTTTTTGGAGCTATTTGCAAGATGACGAGTCAGCGGGTTATCCTTCAGCAGAGAGGAAAGCTCTGTTTCTGGTCTTGATGTGGCCGTTGTTGCCAACGCAAAAGCAAAGAGGTAGAGGAAGGACAACCGCAGAAACCCACAAAAAAAAACCCCGAGCATACAGCCCGTTTTCGCCTCAAGGCCGGAACGAAAAGTGGTGGTTTGTGATATTGCTATACCCAAGCTGTATACTAGACATGTAAGCATGACCAGGAAGGTGTTTTTTTTTTTCTTTTTTTCTTTTTCAAATGATCATAGGCTTTTTCTTTCTGTTCTTCAAAAAACAAGGGCAGCGCTGTCCAGCCTACCTTATGCCATGACGATGCAAGATTTTGTTTAGGTCAAGATCATCAGTGAGGCGAAGTGCAGAACCTCTCTGCCTTTTTGGCAAATGGTGATGGATCAGAAAGATGTTCGTAGCCAGGAGATACATGTGCAGTATACCACAATTGATTTACGGTTCATCTTTTCACATGTTTCAGACAAGTGGTTCATCTCACTCATCAATGGGAATGAGCCCGAAGGAACCGAATAACTTCTATAGTCTTGGTAATGATGTTTTGTTGTATTTCTTCATGAGTTTTGTTCTTCTTTCATACTTCATCTACTCTAACCCGCTATCTCTTTATCGCTTTTTTCTTGTGTCAATCAATAGACAAGCTCTGCATAGCACCCCTACAAAATCCAACGTTTAGAAAGAGGACCCGTTGATGCTGAGTGGGTTTGCCGTTGAGCACATATATATAGAAACAAGCGCTGGTTTATGAATCTTGAACCGAGACAGGAAGAGGCGCCTCCACTATACCCAATACCGCTGTCCGTAACCTCCGTCCCCATCATTCCTCTTCATCCATGCCCTCGTGACCGGGCTCTGGCGAGGGCTCGAACTCCATGTCGAACTCGTTCTCGTTCATGTCGAATATGAGGTCTGCGGGTATCCGCTGGGCCCCATCGCCTGGACAACTAGAATCCTCTTCATTCTCGAGAGACTCCTAATTCTTCGGACTGCTGCTCGCCTGCTCCCCCAACGGCGACGGTACACCGCCGCCGCCAGGCGTCTGGCCCCTAAGCACAGTAGCAGCCGGCGCGCTCGCGGGACTTCCCCGCCTCGAAACCTGGTTCCTAAGCGCGACGATCCGATGCGCCTCAAGCCTCTTCTCTTCAAACGCGCGGCTGCGCTCGCGTTCCCTCTCAATATTCTGCTTGCGCTCCGCGAACTCCCTGTCGACCTCGGCAAGCTTGGCATTCTTCTCCGCCGACGTCTTGAGCTTCCTCTCATACCGCCCGCAGACCTCGTCCACTCTACGTGCAGCCGACGGGGACACGAGCTTGGGCAGCAAGTCATCGGGTCGCCGACGGGCAGAGTCGCCGTAGAAGCAGCGGAAAGTGACCTTGGTCTGGCTCGTTGTGTCTGCGGCAGTACCCCAGACTACAATCTCGTCGCCGTCGTAAAGCTGGACCCAGTTCTTGGATGGGCCGGCTGGGTTCTTGCAGTCGTGGGAAGGGAGCAGGACTCCATTGAGAAGGACGCCGTTTGTTGCCTTTGTGGACAGATAAAAGGCGAATCCTTTGCCATCGGGACTCTTGTCCCAAGGATGCTTGGTGACGTCCTTTGAGGGATCGTGACCGTCTTTCCATAACAGGATTTTGAGAGCGTACTTAGGCACCCGAATCTCCGTCTTCTGCTCATAAATCACTGTATTAGTCGGTCCACGTCCCCATGACAGCAGTGAATTGGTCATGGGGACCGAAATGCCAGAGACCACCGAACCAGGGGCTGATTCCAATACGGCGACGGCACGTTTCGGTCCATCGTCAGAAACAGGCACTATTATCTTCTGTGTATCTGGAGGAAGTGTGTCTGGTAGCGAATCTTCTTCTTCTTCCTCTTCGAGTGGCGGTGCTGTCGGAGGAATATCCCATTCTGTACCCTCCAGGACTTTCCTGTCGTCTCGTTTTAGTAAAGCTCGATTCGTGTCATCAATGGTCGACTGTTCTTCTGTGTGCGTGGCGAGGACACCATTATTTGGCGGAAAGTACTTGAAAGCCAACTCCCACAAGGGAGTCTTTCCCGGGCCAAACTCCTCTCCCCGGCTTTGAGCTGCCTTTTTGAACGTTTCGTACTGTAGTTGTGTCATCTCAGGGTAGCGGAGATGCCATGATTCGACATTGTTCTTCCAAAAGTTCATCTTGTTGAATGGTCCGTCTATCTGGCGTCCAGACTCCAACCTCTTAATCTGCGGTACTGACGCGAGCAAATTGTACTCCTCCATTTGCTTTTCTGCCAACGCGTCGAGGTTGCCCTCGGACTTCAGGCGCTTGAAAGTTGGCTTTTCCCGCGGCCGCGGTTCGAATTCGTCGCTTGTATCGAACGATGGCGGCTTCCTTTTGCTGGCGGTGAAGAATGAGCCGTTAACTTGACTAACGTCTGCGGACTTCATCTGGATATCGCTACCGAAATCAGTCGCCCCTAGACTCTGAGACGCAACGTTTTCAACCAGACTTCGAAGTTGATCCGCGGACTGGCCATTGGCTGACGAGATGGACAATCGGACTCCGCCGCTGCTGGCCGACTTTTGGCCGATAATTGTCGAAACGTCACCAGAATCGCAGCTGTCCAGTATTTCCGTCTCTACACTCTCGTTGCCAAGAACGCCCGAGTCGGCCACAGGCAGGTTCAGTCGCTCTGCCGGTATCGCCCCCTTGCTTCCGACCGCAGACATGTTTACCTCTCCAAACAGTCTCGGACCAGCACCCTGTCCGCGAGGGCCGAATGTGCCGCCGTTCTCCTTTTCTGAATCCTCCTCGATGAAGTCGTTGACAATATCATCGTCCACCTCGTCCTCCAGTGGCAATTCCGTATCCAGCAGATAGCGTGACTGGCCTTCTTCTAGACTGAGTTGAGACGCATTGACCTGCAGCTCTTCATCCTCGTCGGTGATTTCGTCGAAGGACTGGTCGTAATTCGTCAGAGTTTTCAGCCTGTATGGCCCTAACCAGGGATGGGACTGAAGGTCGCGGACAGTCGCCCGGCATTCTGGCCGTTTCTCAAGCATGTAGCATAGAAACTCAATGCCTTGCCTTGAAATGTTCTGTCGTACCAAAGGCATGGTGTTGAGGGGCACCGTCATGATGGTGTGCAGCAACTCCGAGTAACTAACACCGTTATTAACTGGGTACGGGGGGCGGCCTGTCAACGCATAAAAGAGCACGCCACCGAGCGACCAGACATCAACAGCGTGGTCGTATCGCTGTCCAACCGCCGCGCGCTTAGCTCTATTACGAGGGTGTCGGCGGCCGTCGTCATCGTACTCGGCATACTCCGAGTATACCTCGGGCGCACAATACAACAGCGTTCCGCAGAATGTTCGGAGGAAGGTTTGTTCGTTATCGACCATCTTGGAGAGGCCGAAGTCGGTCAGCTTCACCTCAAAAGGGTCAAGTGATGAAATGAGGATATTGTCAGGCTTGACGTCTCGATGCGTAATGTGATTTTCGTGCAGATGCGCCAAAGCGCTCAGCAGCTGGGCTGCCATTTGCTTGACGTTGGTCTCAGCCAAACAGCCTCGGCCGCTGATGAGTTTTCCCAAGTCACCACCTCCGACGTACTCCATAATGATGATAAAGAGCCGGTTGTCCCAATCGAGATGCTCTATGTACCGTACAATGTTCGGCTACTTGGAGTTAGGAGGGTTCGACGTAAGAAAAGGGGCTCAATGTAGAACCTACGTGCTGGACCTTTTGCATGATTCTCATCTCATTCTCCACCTTTTGATCGAGGACGCCGTTTTTTATGAAGCGCCGCTTCTCTAATTCTTTGGCAGCGTATGGGACTCCGTCGAACTTGGACGTGACCTTGTACACAACCGCAAAGGCTCCCTTGCCGATCTGGCTGACACGATTGTACCTACCGGACCCGTCCCAGTCTCTCGGAAAGCGGTCGACGTTATCTTGTGTGGTTCCGGACGGCAGCGCTATCCGCCGTGTAGTGGCCGTCGGCGGTCTCCTAGGAGCAGAGAACAAGTCGACATGCCCACCAGGACCCGGTACCAACGTCTCGTTGACGTCCGGCTCGCGCAAGACTTCCATTCTAGCAAAGTATCGCTGGAGCTTGATGTTGTAGGCCCTCTCATAATCACCGACTCGCTTCGGCATCCTAACCATGAACTCGAGGTCGTGCTTCTCGTTGTGCATCAGCACCTTGATCTTAGAACCGTGACTGAGCACTCTCTTCATGTCGCACTTCTCATTGGGGCTCTTAGGCTTCGAGCGCAGCAGCACCTGGTCGACAAAGGTCCCGTTGGTGGATTTGTCCTCGAGCATGACCACGCCGTACTCATTGACATAGATGCGAAAGTGAACGTTGCTCAGGCGCTTCATAGGGTCCTCCTGAAAGCAAATGTCGCACCTGGCTCCGTTCCTGCCAAATAGGAAACCGCGAAGGGGATCCTTGGTCTCGGCCGACAACCTCAATATGATTGCATGTTCGACGCTGGGCGGCGTCAGCTGGAATTGGTCGGCCGTGTCCTCCCTCTCGTAGTCGGGCTCAACGGCATCCGCTTCCGCCCTGCCGACGACATGAGGCGAGCGACAACTTGCTATGCGTGCTACCTCGGCTCTGGCAGACTTGGTATGAGGGTAGAGGAGGCAGACAATATCGGATATGTCCTCGTCGGAGAAGCCCGAGTTCTGCTTGCCTATGCGGCGCGGATCAAGGACATTCTGGGTAGCTAAGGCGCAGAGAGGTGGCAAAAGGTCAGCGTCTTGGTCTATTGGTCTACGGCGACGACTTGCTTAGAGCTCAAGATGGGATGAAATAAAAGGGCATACCTTGGGTGGGCTGCGACCCATCACCCTCCATTGGGACCACTGGAGAAGATTGAAGCTGGTCAAGCTTGTCTAGGCTGCTGTCGTCGACCGCAGGCTGGGTTTGACGGACGGCCGGCGCTGGAGGGGAATCAATCGAGATGCGCGGCCGGATAGGATAGTTTCGCAGCCAAAAAGGAGAAGCTGGCGATGCATTTACTGAATGTGGGCGAATGGAACGGTAATCGACGTTGGGCTTCAAGAATAATGTCGATATTGAAGGATGTCAAGTACGTCTGGACTATTTGCGCCGTAGGCTTCAATGGGACAAGCGTAGGTGGACTCGGTGGTTCGCAAGGGCGCCTCGTTTCGTTCCTCGATGTTCGACCCAGTAGGGGGGTGGCAGTGGTGGTGGTTGGGTACGAAGTATAAGGTATGTTTATCGTGGGTATGCGCGTCGTTCGCCAGAAAGTTGAGAAATTCGTGGGAGGCAACCCCAAAAACGAAAAGTCGGGGTACCTTACCTTGCCTTATTGCGCTGTGATCGATAATGCGATGGGCGAGGTGGAGGGGTTGTTGTATGCAAAGTCGATCCCCGGTCACCCGGCAACGTCGTATCTTTATAAATCAAGGATGCGAGGACGTCATGACCAGCCCAAATAGGTACATACAGGGGGGGGGGGGGGGGGTAAGGAGCAGCAGAGTGACTGGTGAAGCAAGTAAATCACGACGCCTTGTACAGCAATCAAGTATACGCTGGGAATAGAAATGAGAAATGGGTGGAAAGAAGGGCAATAACAAGTGTCAATTTTAGGCAGCGCGTGGTTGCTTTCCGGACAGCGCGTTGCAAGTCAGATGATGCAAACTTGGAGGCGTGAGTTGGGCATGCGCGTGGGCGTGGACTCGACCTCGAAAGCACAAAAGAAATGTCTCTGATGTTGGAAAGATGCGACGAGCCACTGGCTGGGGGTCCTTCTCGGGGCGCAGAGGGCGTTGAGGGGGTCTTGGTCCGTCCCGTCAGGTCCTGTGTAATCAGTGGCCACGAGGTAGCAAGAGCACCCGCACCCGCAGCCGCTGTCAGCCAGTCAGTGGCAGGTACTTGGACCTTGTAGTCTCCACTAAAAAGTATCCTCCGACTTACACGGCACCCGCCGCCAAGACGCGCCAAAAGACGTGACGGGCAGGACAAAGTCAAGACGCGGCGACGTGACGGCGGAGGAAATCCCGAGCCATTTACACGGTAAGTAGTTGAAGTGGCAATAAACTAGGTAAGGTAGGTACGCTTCCCCAAGCTTGAGCCTCGGGCAGTCGAATTGAGTTGCCGGTAGCCGCAGCTCTTGGGACCAGCTACCTTGTTTCTAAACGATGCCTAGATGGCTGTCGCCTGTAATATCCGTACTCCACACACACTTTCCTAGTGTTAAACTTCACAAGTGAACTCCTGAGCGGGAACCATCTTCACCGACTTCACATGTCTGCCTAACAAGGGAGAACTTGCCTCGCCGATCCGGGCCTGAAGATGCCCGCCCGTGCGCAGGCTACAGGACCTGGATACTTGTTAATCACAACGCACATCCGTAGTTCACTATTGCAATCAATCTCGTCAAATTGTGATCTCGAGAATTAGGAACTAGGCAATACCAGAATAATTTCAAAAGCTCTTGTCTTGTAATGCTAATTCTTTCTCATCACTTGTGTTCGGCCGTCTCTGCTAGTCATCAATGCCAACCGTCGGCCATGCTATTATCCAGCCTCTACGCAACAAAAGAAATCCCAAATGCTTGTCCTATCTGGACCAAAGACTACAACCAACTTTCCTATGGTTGCAATTACTTCTCTCCAAACGCCTTCCATGTGGCCGTTCCAGATGATGTTACACTCTTTCAAGACTGAGGCGCATCGCCCCCGTCTGCTGGTATCAACTCAATCGATAAAAACCGAACTTCTTCCTCTCTCTCTCTCTCTCTCTCTCTTTTTCTCTCTGTCTCGTCTCATTTATACCCGTCGTCATTCACACGTCTAAAAAGCCTGTCCTTGGTATGTCGCAGGGTAGGCTTGTCCACGTCCGCCCTGACGAGGTCCCGGGGAGTACTGGCCCTGTTGCTGCTGCTGCTGCTGCTGCTGCTGCTGCTGTTGCTGCTGTTGCTGCTGCATGAATCTGGGGTCCATCATCTGCGGCCCGGGAGATTGACGACCCTGGCGCATGGCCATCGGGTTGGCATAAGAGCCTCCCTGGCTGTATCCGCCTCCCTGACCAAAGGTGCTGGCCGCACCTCCGTAAGTGCTAGCGGCGCCGCCTCCGTAGTTGCTCGCGGGGCCGTAGCTGCTACCTTGAGCGAAGCCGAAGTTCTGCGCAGGCCCGGTTGCGTATCCGTTGGGCTGTCCCCTCGGCTGACCCATTTGGCCCATCTGCCCCATCTGGCTCATTTGGCCAACCGACATGTTGCTCTGAGTGTACATGCCTTGGGGAACCATGCCTTGGGGAGACATGGGCTGCTGTTGCTGGGCATACATTTGTTGCTGCTGGTAGACCTGCTGTTGCTGCTGACGTTGGAGCTGTTGCTGGTAAACCATGGCTTGCTGCTGCTGGCGCTGGTTGATAGCTTGCTGCACCGCCTGCGTGTTCATGCCCTGCTTGGCCCGCTGTCTTTCCTGCTCGCGAGCATGGATCGCACCGACCAAGCCAGCTCCCTGCTGTTGCTGGTTCGCATTGCGGTTGCCGGCCATCGTGATGAGGGGCGAGCCCGTCATGCGGGCAACATGCTCCTGTTCGCGCGCCGACAGGTGGGACGACACCTCACCATTGCTAGACATGTCGAGAACAGCGTTGGCGCCGCGAGAGCCGGGACGCTGCAGGAGATCCGCCGAGCTGCTGCGAGAGTGACGAGCGAGCATCTCTTGGGAGCCGCTCCGGGTCATGGCGGGAGTCGGGGTCATTGATCGCATGGTAAGGATGTTGCCAGAGGGCGTTCTGTTGTGGGCGTACATGGGAGCAGGCGGTTGGGCCGCACGCTGTTGAACAAACTGCTCCGCGCTCATGCCTGGACCGTTTGGCACAGCGGCAGCACCTGGTTGCCACGCAACCTTCCTGACTGTATCCTCCGATTCTTGTCGGTTATGGCTGGAGTCGATGGCAGTGGGAGACTTCATTGCCGCTGGAGAGAAAGGTTGTTGAGGGCCGGGCATGGCCTGGTAGGTCATGGGCGTAGGTGTCTTATTTCTTGCGGGCTGATTGGCTCCATAGTTGACGGTAGGCCCGAAGTTGACATCAGGAATGGCAAACTCTCCATTGTCGGAATCGGCACCACCCACAGTCTTCAGAACACCTGCTCTGGGCCGCTCGAAAGACTTTTGAGAACGCTGTGTCTCACTGGACTTGCGACTAGCGTAGTCTGGGCTCGCGGTCGACGAAGCGTCGTCGTAGCAGCTGGCGTCGCTCCTCTGCGTCTGAGCTCTGTTGATCTGCTGCTCGGGAACCGGTGTCCTCTGTCTGGGGTCGCGGGGCTGGATCTGCTGGAATCCCGCTTGGTCGATAATGTTGTTGCCCCAACTGCCACCGCTGGATGCCGAGATGGGCGTCTGTTGCTGAGGGCTTCTCAAGCTGTCCGAACGAACCGGCAACGGTTTGCGCTGGAAGGCGGCGTTTGTATCGATCCCAGGGAGCGGGACACCACGGCCTTGAGCGCGAGGGTCTCTACCATGCGGAGGCGGCGGTGGTCCCATGGACTGAGGGTTCATACCGCGGTTTCGCATTTCCGGAGTAGGCACTCGGCCCGGCCCACCCAAAGGGGGAGTTCTGGTACCATCAGGTCGCGAAAAGTTGCTGAAAGACGGCTGAGGACGGATCTGAGGGGAGTGTCCCTCAACTGGGCCTCTCATCTGCTGAAGGCCTTCCAAGTGTTCAGGAAGGGGAGGGGGTCTCGCGTCTTGAGGGCCGCCTCGGCTTTGAGGGTTGGGAGGCAGGGGACCCTGGGGGTGAGGGCTAGGGGGGCCGAACGACTGCTGGGCAAGGGGCGATCGGGAACGCTTCTGGTTCATGGGCGGAATGGGGGGCGGGAGACCACCGGAGGAAGGAGGGGTTTGGTTAGGGGTCAGAGCTTCACGAGACATTGTATCGTTAGCAGTGCCTCCTACGTGGTGGTGGTCGGGATAAGCTTGAGGATGTACCAAAGGACCAGATGGCGCAGCATCCTCCCCACTCCTCCGCTCAGAAGACGCATCGGATGGGCTATCGGGGGGGATCACAAATCCTCCTGCTTTCGTCAACTGGGAAAGGGTAGTAGTTGACAACCGAGTGGTAGCCCTGCGAAGATCTGGAGAGTGGTAAGGCTTGCCTGCAGGCTTGGAATTAGGACCATAGTTGAATGCAGGAGGGGCGGCAACAGGCTCTGGCGACTCCATCTGGCGCACAGCTCCCTCGATCTCTCGCACCGGTGTGCTCCGAGCTGTGTCTTCCTCAGAACTCTGAGTTCCTGAACGAAGGATACCACCTCTTGCAGGGGGCGGGCCACGTGCTGGTGATGGTCCTCTGGCTGGCGAACGAGCAGGTGAGTTGTTGTAAGAGTTGCTGCACGAACTGTCATAGCCACGATCCTCGGGGCGCTGGGGTGTGTGGCCAAGCAGATGAGGGTCTGAAGAGTTGCGTGCATGGTTGGCCTTGTTCATAATACCAGCCAATGCGGGAGGTGCACGAGACGTCGTTACAGGCGTGCTCTCTGAGCGGTTGGGGGTGCCCAGTGACATTGATCGAGAAGACCGGTTTGAAATGGCATCAGATGCAAAGCCAACTCTAGGCTTGGCCGGCACAGGGCTGGAGGTGCCATTGCCGAAGCTGAGACGGCTGCTCTTCTTGCTTCCACTTCTTTGACGCATGGCTTGCGACTCTTCCGCTTGATTCATTCGCTTACCAGTAAGCTCCTTGAGCTTCTTTCTCCAGTCACGTTCCGACCAGCTTGAGCTGCCTTCTTCATTGATCAGAGTTGTAACGTCCATGATCTCGAGGTAACCATATCTGCGGTGCTTTGGCATGGCAAACATCAGCGATCTCGGGTCGAG